TTTTGGGAGGAGGAGCGAGCCAGAGGCAGCGATCTTCTAAGTACTGCTGAGACTGTGTTGCAGTCGTTGACCCGCCATACCCCGTGACCTTAGAGTCGATGCCCGTCACAATAACTCGTCGCAGGACAATACAACTTCCCAGACCCGGCTCAGCCCAAAAGTCGTCATCGACCCCCCAAAGGGCCCAAATCCCAATGCAACGACGCCATCGCTCGATCCGAGTGTCCCGATTCGACTCTGCAGCTCCGCGATGGTGTGGACATACACAGAGCCGGCCTATCAGACCGAACGTCAACTCTCGATTATCGCTGCGGTGCGCGGGGTTGCTTGGCCCCTAAGGCGTCTCTACCCAATGACGCTCACTCTTCAGGTAACAAGATTGCACAGGAGGGCGCAACCCGGCCAGAATTGCTGGAAAGAACGATGAACATCGAGGCATCGGGGCCTTGAACATTCGTGACCACCTTCCCCGGACAGCCAGTCAGTCCCACTGGCCGATCCGCCCTTCGTGGGAGAACTTCGGATGTTTAATCTGCCGTTGATCAGCATGGCCTTTGGATTCCAGGTTCTCTGCGTGGATGTTAGTGGGTGTCGACTTCCTGTGAGGTCAGCAATTGTGTGTCAATCCCGATTGAGTGCAACGACCCTGGTCTACTCCTCTTGTCCATATTCACATGGACATGCGTCGCCTTGTCAATCCCAACCAGCCGGGGCTCAAGGAACGTATTAGTTGTAGCAGGATGTCCGAGGATTGATCACTGATCGATGGTCCGACGTGCAGTGTACACTAACTAGTTCTCTTGTCATCAAATCCCCTTAATGGAAAACGGGACAAAAGAAACCAAATCCTGTAACCCATCCCAGACAAGATCAGCGATCAGCGATACCTGCTCCGGAGTTTCCATCATCCCCTGCCGGCCCTTCCTTAAACATCTGACTCTGCTTTGTACAGAATATAACTACCGTGTCTCTGGGGGCTAAGGCGCCAAGCTCCCAAGCCAGCTAGGTATTCAAGCTGTCAGAGGACCCAGGAAACCCAAGAAGCTCGGCGGCCAAGCGGCCAAGCAGTCAAGACTAGACAATGGTAGACAACGATGCAACGGTGAAGCGTGCGGTGAACCCCGGTTTGTAACGACCCTTCATGTCAAGGCTAAGAGCCAAGCTCTTGGAAAAACATCGGGCGATTGCACAAGCAGTGATAAAGAAGGGAGGGGTGGTACAAATACACGACACTACACAGCCACGTGTGAATGGCGTGTGGGGAACGGAATCCACAGTCCCTAGCGCGGGTCTGGGCAGAGATGGTTTGCAGCCCACAATGCGGTCTAGTCTACTACATCATGTACTCTGATAATTCATGGTGGGCTGGGTGGGGAGATAGAAGTTGATAAATGCGATGACGCGGCGGCGAATTGGAGCATGCAGCTAGTCAAAGGGACAAAAGGCATGGGTGCGGCACATGTGCGTTCACATTGTGAGATTGTGAGATTGTGTGTGATGCGTGTGTGTTCTTTTGCCTGTCTGGATGTGGCGAGATGGGAATTGGAGACTGTCAAGGGCGGGGAAGACGGACTCCAAGAAACGGGTTTGACTAACTATTGGACTTGTTTCGTTGGAAGGGTGTGCAGGTCTGCAGGTGGTGTTCAAGCCGATTGGCATCCAACAAAGCTCAATCCACGGCCATGTCTGGGGGACGACTGAATGAACTGGAAATAAAACGGATGGGAAGAGACCCGGAATATTCCGTGCATTTTTACTCATAGCGTTTGCCGAGCAAAGGCTAACCACCTCCAAACGTGGGACAAAATTGGAGCTAGCAGCTGCAAAGGTGCGAGTTTGGTTGTCGGCGTGGAGAACATGCAGGCACCCGATGGCCGATGTTTCCGCGTTGGTGTGGAGTGGGAGTGTGTCTGAACTCTGGAAATTCGGTGGCGTAGACGGCTAACGGATTGGTAAGAATGGCCAGATATGGTAGACTGTTACACCGGCTGATTGGGGCGTTTGGCGATTTGATGATCATCAAGGCAACGAGAATGGAAGACGGAGGAAACAAAGTATCGGGACGACGAGGGGAACAAGATGGTGGAGTTCCATCGCCCAGCCGGCACTCACTTTGACGGTGCTCGTGAGGGTTAGCAATCGGTATCAACAGAACGAGACCCCGGACGAACACGAGAGCCCTCGCGTCCCGTTTATGGGTTGCCGCGGAAGTTCTCAGCATCACATTTCCAAACATTGTCACACGGTAATTGGGCAAGATGTGTTATGTTAGGCAGGCAGCTGTATTCTTCCTTCGACCCAGGTTCCAACAGGCTTCCGCCAAAGATACCCCCCAATACCACTGGTGGAAAGCCCGTTCACCTCCCTGAAATACCATTTTAAACCACCTGCCCCCAAGCCAGTCTGCCGTATCATACCGAAGAACAAGAAAACACCGAAAGTACATGTACTCATACACTGGTTCGCCGCCAGGTGGGTATCAACAGGCCCAACGGACCGACCCGAGAGTCCGTGGGGAAAACAAGAGAAAATAAGCACGTAAAAACATCAGGAAGAAAAATGCAAACAGAAATAGGAACCATCCGCCAGTGAACCATCTAATGCCAACACCGGATTCCGAATAGCACATACACCCATGGCGAGTCTTTTACTCGTCCGTCCCCTTTCCTTTCTCTTCCTACCCCATGTGTCTTTGGTTTGAGGTGGTAAATTTGATGCAGAGCTGTGGCAGGGCTCCTTCTGGTCCTCCTCGTGGTTATATTTTCTAGGTTGGGGTTTGACCCATGCCCCATTGTTGGGTCCCGAATAGGGTCGTCTGTTTTTTGGGTGAACCCCAGATGTTGCGCGGTTGACGCCATGTGGCCTTGGCGTGAGATGATGGAACTTGGAGATCTGTGGCAGGGATCATTCCAATTCTTGTTTGATGTCTTTTTGAGAATTCCATTCTAGGTCTCGGTGCCCCATCGTTGTGCCCCGAATAGGGTTGTCTTTTATTTGGGTGAGGTCGAGGTGTTGTGTAGAAGATGCCATGTGGCCTTGGCTTGAGATGATGGAGCTTGGAGAACTGTGCCGGGAATCGTTCGGGTCTTCGTCATGGTTCTTTTTTCTGGGCTGAGTGTTGACCTGTGATGTCCCATCGCCATCCTCTGAATAGAGTCGCCTTGGGTGAGCCTCGGATGTTGCGCAGTTGATGTCATGCGGCCTTGACGCGAGATGATGGAACTTGGGGATCTGTGGTAGGGATCGTTCCAGTTTTTGTTTCGGCGTCTTTTTCAGCGTTTCGTTCTAAGGCTCGGTGCCCCATTGTTGTCCTCTGAGATTTTTTGTCTCGTTTCGAGTCAGCCGGAGATGTTGCGCGATGTATGCCATGTGTCCTTGGCGTGAGCTGTGTCCGGGGCTCGTTTCGGTGCCCGTTTCGGTTTCCTTTGGGGTTTGTTTTTTGGGCTTCGGCGCTCCATTCCCGGTTTTGGAAGAATCTTGATGGGTATTTGGAGATGTTGCGTAGCTGATGCCATGTGGCCTTGGCGTGTGCTAGTGGATGTTGGAGAAGAGCTGTGGCAGGGCTCGTTTCGGTCTTAGTTTCGATCTTTGGGAAATTCTTTTCAGGCTTCGATGCTCCATTGTTGTCCCCTAAGGAGTTTTGTTTTGTATTTAAGTTAGCCGGGGTAGTTGCGTGGTTGATGATATCATGTGGCCTTGGTGTAGTGGAAGCTGGTGACGAGCTGTGGCGGGGCTCGTTTCGGCTTTCTTCTTGGAATTCCGCTCCGGACTTGAGTACTCCGGATTTTTGTTTTGTATTTGAGTCTGCCAGAGATATTGCGCAGTTAACGACATGTGACCTTGGCGTGAGCTGGTGAAGTGGGTGAGGAGCTGTGTCAGGGCTCGTTTTGCTCTTCGTTCCAGCTTTCTTTTTGAAAGTTCCTTCTTGACTTCGGTGCTCCATTGCTGACCTCTGGGGATTTGGTTTTGTATTTGAGTCGGTCGGAGATGTCACGCAGTTAGTGCCATGTGACCTTGGCGTGAGCTGGTGGAAGTTGGTGAAGAGCTGTGGCGGGGCTCGTGTTGGTCTTCGCTCCAGCTTTTTTTTGGAATCCCGTTCTCGGTTTCAGTGCTCCAGATTTTTGTTTTGTATTTGAGTCTGCCAGTGAGGTTGCGTAGTTCATGCCATGTGTCCTTGGCGTGAGCTGGTTGGAAGTTGGTGTAGAGCTGTGGCTGGGCTTCTTTTTGGGAAGGCTGTTTTGGGTTCCGGTGCCCCATTGCTTTCATCCGGCGATACTTGTTTTGTATTTGGTTGAGCTGAAATGCTGTGCATTCGATGCCATGTAACATTGGCGAGAGATGATAGAGGTTGGATTCGATAGGAGCTGTGTCAGGGCTTTCTTCGTTCAGGTCTTCGCAGTGTTTGCGAGACAATGGCGGGATATGCTCAAAATGTGGCCTGTTTTCGGCTTGGGGTGTTGTTTGGAGGCGGCACGCGCTTATGCGGAATGAAGTTTGAAGTTTGAAGTGATTGTCTTGAGTGTCCTTTGTTAGGAATGGCGCTCCCAGCTGATGCTCTCTCTTGGAGGAAGAACGGTGATGGAGGTGAAGAGTTTAGTTAGAGTTTTTCAGAAGTCGACATCACCCGGCTTGGTACGTTGGGGTCGGAGACCAGGAGGTCGAGAGAAGTCGAAGAAGAATTGCTGCGTCCGCCGAAACACAAGGTGAGTCGAGAAATGGATGTTTGGTCTTTGACTCGAAGCATCTCGGGCAAATGCGCTGTCTCCGCGCCAAGACTGCCCAGGAACAGAGAGCGAATGTGTTGCTGCTCCGTTCAGCAGGAAAAGAAACGTGCAGAATTCTCGAAAAGGAGGATGGCCGTCTCTGCGGTAATCCCGCATGCAAAAAAACAATAAGCCAGCCAAGTACCTCGTGTCTCGCATTCAAAGAGCAAAGCTCCATACTGCGCAAGGACCCGAGTATCACCCCCAAACCTAAGGGAATCTTTTCTCCTCTAGGTTTTAAAACCCATCCAAGCTGAAGTCACCCGTGAAACCCCCGTTGGTGAGCATCGCCGCCAGACGCCTTCGTTGTAGCGTCATGTCGTTTTCGGTGTACGCGAGCTTCGGGTTCAGGCCCAACGCTAGACACATGGCATTGGTGATGGTGAAGACGCCGCAGTCCCAGCCGTTTGTCTGCCGTGGCGCGGCGTAGTCGAAGGCACTCCATTCGGCCTCGACAAATTTATCCTCGAGTATAAAGCGCACCACCTCGAGCAGCTTGGCTTTGAGGGTCGGGTGGCCTGCGCCGCTTCTCATCGAGTCCATATGGGCGACGGTGCGTTGCCCGGGACGGATGACTGCCAATGTCCAGTGCGCACCGGAGCAGATGGGGATCAGAATGGTGTCGATATCGAGGAAGTTGGCTTTCCGGACACCGGCCTTACGCAGCAGGCGGCCGCAAGCACCGATTCCATGAGACTCGACGCGTGGCCAGAAGTATGAGGTGAAGGCGGCACACTTGGGCTCTTGGTCGGTGGCGCCCTTGGCTTTGTTAACGTAATCGGCGAGGTAGAGGATGGAGCCGATGATAATATTGTCGTTAAGCCAGGCGGTGGGTGGAAGCAGCTTCTCCACGAAATCACGCCTGGTCAGAGACTGGCCCTCGAGCGTCTTAGCCAACTCAGCGGAGGGGTTAGCAGCGGCGATTTTATTGACGTCCTCGTCTTGCTCTTCGGAAAGGATGTCAATGAGGGAGCGGGCGGGCTTCCTTAGGCCGGTGCGCGGGTCGACTTCCTGGGCGGCTGCCTCACGCCGACGCTCTTCTTCTTCCTCTTCTTCGCGGCGACGCTCTTCTTCCTCTCTCTGGCGCTCCAAATCAAGGCGCGCCTGCTCGAAGAGAAACTTTTCAAACTCTTTTCGCTTGCGCTCCTCTTCGATACGCCGATCATTAGCGGCTTGGATGTCAACCTGGAGCTGTGCATCGACCTGCAACTGGTCATACTTAGTCTCCGAGATGTTCAGGGTCGCGGCACACAGTGCGGCCAGGTCGTCCTTGTCTTCGGCAAAGAACTTGTCCAGAGCCCGAGGATCGTACTCCTTCTTCGCGGGCGGAACCCATCGTGGAGCGAAGAGGGTCTTCTCGTTGAGATCGCCCTTGAGGCCGCTAAGGAAGTCCTTGTATTTTCGGGAATAATACAACAGGCCCATCTCCTGCTCGTCGGTCTCCGCCTGGTCAGACTGGGACTTCTGGGGGTTGCCGAGGGCATGGTGCGTCTTGAATTCAGCAAAAGCACGAGTCGAATGCGCATCGCCAATGACGCGGGCCTCAAGCTCCAAAGTCTCGTACTTCTCTCTCTCCGACGAGGTCATGACGCGAACGGGGAGGTGGGAAGGGGGGACAAATGTCGCAAGCGGGCTGACAAATGACAGCCGCTTTGTCCTCTTTGTGGGCGGCGTGGCGAGCGGCTTCGAGGTGGGGGCCGGGGCTAAGTCGGAGGCTTGGTCGACGCCTTCGTCCTCGTTCGACGACTTGAGGATGCTCTTGGGCGGGAACACTCTCTTGAAGGCGCCATGGCGGCCAACTTTAGTTTGGTCGGCGGCGGGGGCGGAGGAAGCGGCGACCGGGAACTTGTACTCGTGGAGGGGCACGATCTCGTACTTGTCGGCAGCTACGAGCTCCACGGCGGATTGCGGCTGCTGGGGGAAGTGGCCCGGCATGGCCACCGTCGGGTTGGGCGAGACGACCACGTAGCTCGGCAGCAGCTCGGACTTGCGAACGGCATTAGCGTCCACAAGCATCTGGCCGATGGCCAGCCGGCTGCGCGGGCTCATCTCGTAGTCGCCTTCGAGAGAGAGCAAGTAGGCCATGAACTTGGCGCGGCCGCGGCACTCGAGGCGGAACTGGGCCTTGTGAAGGGTGAGGGACCGGGGCGGGCGCCGGTACACCTTCTTGAGGGCGTCGAATCTGCCCTGGTCGTAGACCAAGTCTACGAACTCCACGAAGCTGGCCAACCGCTCCCGGTACTGGTCTGCGGCGCGCTCCCACTTCTCCGTCTGGTCGCTTGGGAGCTCACCCGGCCGGATGGGCTCCCCAAGGCGGGACTGGTACTTCATGATGCCAATGCTGGCATCAACAATCGCGTTCGAGACGCCACGGCCCCGCAGTCGGATTTCCGCGGCCGAATAACCACGGACGAACTTCCTCTCCAGAATGGCGTCGTGCTGCGCCGAAAAGTCGTTCCTGAGACCCTCGATGGTCTCCCGTCCGATGAGGGCGGTGGGTGCCGCAGCCCACTCGAGGTCGTCGAACCCGTCGTTGGCGTTGGCGGTGGCAGTGGCCACCCGCGATTTGACCTTCTGGACGAGGACGTCGCCGTCCCCGCCAGCCTTGTTGCCGATGTGTTTGACAACGTCGCCGCCGTCCTTCTCGATGCTCGGGGCGCCGAGGAAATTGGTGACCGAGCCGCTCATGGTCGTGACCGCACGGTTGATAATGCCGCGCGCCTTGGTCCAGATCGACTGGTCGGTGGTGGTGGTGGTAGAAGGGAGGGTCGCCAAATCCTCAGAAGCTTCGAAATGCTCCTGCTCCTTCTGCTCTTGCCTTCCCAGCGCCCGCCGAGTGGGGCTAACTGGGTCCAAACGAGCCCGCTTTGTGTCGTGGCGCGCCTCGCGGCGGCCAAAAAGTTTGCCGAGCTTGCCGGCGGGGCGTTTTCCGTTGGCGTTTCGGTGGGAGTCGAACCCACCGCGAGCACAAACGCAGTGCCACTTGGTGTCCTCCTTGTTCTGGAGGACCCGGAGATCCTTCTTCTCCGTGCCGACGAGGTAGAAACGCAGATGGCCAGAGGCCGCTTCTGCTTCCTCCTTCGACTTCCAGATGCTAGGGTTGCCACAAGTGCAACCCCGCAGGAAGTGGTCGTTGCGGATCGAAATCCACAACTCCCTGGCGAAGGAGTTTTCGCCCTCGACGTCACGGCGCTCCGAAAAGTACCGTGACTCGCCGCGGTTAGGCGGCGAGGCAGGAGAAAGAAGGGGGGTTGCCGGAACGGCGGGGGGAGGTCGGATTGCCTCGAGGGCGAGGCGGAAGATGTTGCTGCGGTCAAAATTAGTCTTTCGTCCCGAATTGACGCCGACTTTCCTTTTCTCTGAGCGATTCTTTTCGTTGGATGACTTCTTGAGGTCTAAGGTGCCAGCGGCTGGTCCAAAAAATGCCCCGCGAAACTGTCCAAAGACTGCCTCGACGGGATGCACATCGGCCGAACACCGCTCGCCCTTCGCCCTCGCGCATAGCCATTGCCAAGCGATCAGTCTGTACTTACAGGTTGCCGCGGATGCGGCGGGCACGAGAAACTCGGGCAGAGCCCAGGACGCGATCTGGCGATAACTCGCCACGCGCAGTGCGCGTGGCACGAGGGGTGGGAGCTTGTGGCCGCATTGTTAGTTGCTTGCCTGGTTGTAGGAGAAAAAGAGGAAGAGTTTGGGATCGCGGGGTCGGAAAGAATTAAATAGGCGGGTGGGTGGCCCACGCTTTTTTGCCCTGGCCAAATTCGTAAAAGATTGTGCCTGACGGCGATGGGGGAAGGAACGGAATTTTCAGCGTAGGGCACGGAAATGTGTAGAGGGCCGCGAAAGTTCGGAGGAAGGAGGTGCAAGTCGGATCTGGGAGGGCACCGCAGTCGCCAGGTCACCCAAGAGAGAGGACTTGGATAGCATGGAACAACACTGCTGAGTACACTTGGGAAGACTTCCGCCCAGCCCCAGGCGAGAACCGGTCCATCCATCGTAAACTCAAGATTGATATCCTTATTTCTATCTGTCGTCTACTACGACAATTCTCAGGGGACTGAAAGAACCCAGAGTCAAAGGAGTCTTTACCCGATAGTTTCGTTGGACAGCTCCACTTCAGGCCGTTTCTTTAAGAGTAGCAATCGTAGACTCGCTAGCAATAATCGTTTTCGATACAAGGGATAATTTGACGTTTGTTTCGCGGGACAACTAAGGGCAGGCACGCGGTCTCGCTTCGGTCAATGGGCTCGTCAGTCGCAGGGTATTGCACCCTCAATCGCGTCGTTCGCAAATTCGTGGCTCGTTATCTACGCGTCCCATGTGAGTCATAAGCATTGGATTAGGGTGTGATGGGAAGGGGGGTAAGAAACACGAACAGCAAAACCCGCCCCGCAGTCGCGACAACAGGTGAGGTTCCAGGTTGGTGTTGCGGCTCTGCGACTACAGATCTGGGGAAACCGAAAGCTTGGACGTTTTCGGCCTCCCGTTGGTGCAACGCAGGGGCGCCACCCGGTTGGCTTGAGAGAATCTGAACCCCACATTTCTGATTTAATCCGGGTAAGTACCTATTCAGCTATTGTAATTAAGTATTGTGTCCCATACTTACTGTGTGCTGTCTCCATTAACAGGGACAACAACTCTGTTGTACTAAAATCATTACATGAACTGGGCGTGTAATTGTTATTGATTATTTGGACTACAATCCGCTGCAGGACGCAAACCCAAGTATCAAGCATGATTTGCAAGTACTACCGATTTATAAATTAGAGTGACCCGCGCCCTGTTTCCTTAGCATTTGGATCACAATAACACGTCAAAAAGGTAAGAACTACTCAACGCAAGAGGGGTAAAAATATTGGTGGAATGCTAGCCCTAAAATACCTCCAAGTTTGACTGGATAGCACCAATATGTTGTGGCAGCTGTGGGTTAGGCAGAAAACCGGTCGTGGTTCCCAAGCTCCGGCGCTCCCTTTAATCATGTGCTGTCTTCCCGCCGCCCATGACTTTTCCTGCAAACCGATTTCCAACTCTGTCTTTCTATTGCTAGTCAAGTGTGTTACCAAAATACCCTCGACCGACCACTCCTCCAAGGATGCTCAAACTAATTAGCCCTGTATCGGAGTACGCCGAAAATGGTAGAATAAAATGCTGTTACGATTAACTGAATCCCTCAAAAATTTAAACCGTAGCAATTACACTGCCTGGCCACCGCAGACAATGAAAAACAAGCCTGGAAGTCTGGACAGACTTGGTGCCAGCGCAGCTGCTTTGTGTATGCACTCCAGCCGGGCCAGCCCTGCTTTCGTCCTTGGGCGGTTACGAGACCGACGACCTTAGCCTCTCGGTTACCCGTCGCAGACACGGGACGAACCGCATATATTGAAATCCCGAATTCCGTGGGTACTATTTCGACAAGGACATGACGCGCAATGGCAAGGACGCTCCCTAATCGCACTCTGGGTCATTTGAGATGCACATCCAGAGGCGAACAGCGAGTCCTTTTGCCCTTAAATACCGGTGCAATGACATCAACCCCGGCAACAATACTTGTAGGGCCTGGAAGAGGTGCGTATTTCCTTGTCCTTCATAGGAGACCAACAGTATTGGGTTTGTGTATTCTGCTCAGGGGCTCGTTGCCGAGCGACCAAATCGACCCTAACCCTTGAATGGATGATGTATGAGCTCCGAATGATACGAATGGTGGTTCTTCTTTTCTACTTTGAAGACATACATGGCTGCAATCCTCTTCGAAATTGAGGAGACGGTAATCATACCCTAAATTCGGTGTGCATAAAATTGTAGCGGCCTTTAGGCATTTATCGCAACACACGGGTTGGGGTTTATCTTCCGGACGAAAAGAATGAAATATGTTGAACCCCGCAGGTTTTAAACACTGAACGAAAAAAAAAGTGGAATGCTTCAAGAGGAATTTCTCAAACCGCTTTGAGTAATTGTCGACGATTCAAAAATACTGTTAAACCATTGTAATTTTCCCCCACTCGAATAACCATCAGACCCCAAACAAGCAGGATTTATACAAAGATTTCACACACAATGGGGAAGAAGCCCAAACCTGCTCCCAATGGCGAGGCCGGGCTGGTCAAATCTGCCCAAGCCAAAGCTCAAGACGATCAAGTCATGGCGGTACGATCACTCCTGCACTTCGTGAACTTCATACTGTTTCATATCCAACCTCACTGTCTTTTGTCTTATACTGGAACCACAACAACGACCTCAACTCACCTATTTACTCGCGGACACATGCTGACACCTCCTTCACCCAGACCAACAACAGCAGCATCGTCTCTAAGCGATCAGTCGAAAAGCTGTACTACCCAACCGAGCCACCCTTCTTCCGCCACTTCGTCGCCAAGTTTCAGCGCCGCGCTCCTCTCATCAATCGGGGCTACTGGTTGCGCCTGCGCGTCATTGACGTTCTAGTCCGGGACTTCTTACGCGGGGTCCAGCGCCGAGGGAAAAGGGGTGTGGTGATAAATCTAGGGTGTGGGAGGTCAGTTGGCCCGTGATTGTTCATTCTCTTTTCTTCACGTCGGGCAAATGTAAGAAGGAGGGACTAACTGTGTATGGGGTCACAGCGACGTTCTTCCATGGCAATGCCTCACGCGTTATGCAGACAGCTGTGCGGGCGTCAAGTTTGTCGATGTCGATTTCCCGGACTTGATCGAGCGGAAGCGGCGGACTGTGCTGGCTACGCCAGAGCTTCTGGGTATGCTGACGGGTGTGAAAGGGGCAGATTTTAAGGATGGAGCTGCCGACTTGCCCAAGCCGGTTGTATTTGATAGCAACCAGTATGCGCAGATTGGATGTGACTTGAGAGAACTGACGACGTTGTGGAAAGGCTTGGAGGCCATGGCGGGCAGTTTAGAGGAGTGCGAGTTCATTTTTGTTGCAGAGGTGTCGATTACGTATATGGAGAGGGAGGGGGCGGACCAAGTGATTTCGTGGGCGTCGGGAATTGGGAATGGTAAGGGATTCTGCCGTCACATCTCGATATCAGGTTGGCGCGGCTCTACTAACACACTCGACGTAGCCGAGTTCGTTCTCCTCGAACAAATCCTCCCCGACGGCGAACACCACCCTTTCGCCTCCACTATGCTCAGCCACTTTGGCAAACTCAACACCCAGCTCAAAGCCGTGGGCACTTACCCCACCGTCGCCCACCAACACACCCGCTTCTCTTCCTCCGGCTGGGACTCGGCCAAAGTTTGGACGCTCTGGCAGGCGTGGGCTGACGAGACATTCCTGTCCCCCGCGGAGCGCCTTGCGCTGGATGACATCGAGCCGTTTGATGAGTGGGAGGAGTTCGCGCTGTTTGCGAGCCACTACTGCGTTGTCCATGCGAAGGTTGGCTCAGGGAATGATGTAAGCGCAGTGCCGGCCCCGTTAATACCCTCCGGATCCGAGTTCCCTGTCGAGCCGGCCCGGCTGCAGTTTGACGAGTGCGCGGGGACAAGAGGACAGCGGCGCTTTGCGGCTGCTATGCAATTGTCCCACCCGGGAGCTAAGACACCGTCCGTTCTCAACATACTGGGGCTGGGCACAAAAGCCCGTTTACAATCCTACGATGTATTCAGCCAGGATGAACCAGGTGTTGGGATACCGTCCATGACTTTTGCGGGGGGAGCACCATCAACGAGAATGTGCCACTCCTTGACCGATTTAGGAGACAACGGCGTCCTATTAGCAGGCGGGCGCGGTTCGCCGACCAATCCGCTCAAGGATTGTTGGCTGTTTAATAAGACCGCAAATACTTGGGAACCCACTCATGATTTGCCGACGCCTCTTCACCGGCATGCTGTCACAGCCCTGAGGGCTTCGGGGCTGGCCCTCCTTCTCGGTGGGAGGGGAGAAAGGGGCGCATGGGACGGATGTCTCGTGTATCACGCCGATAACGGCTGGACGAGCTGTGAGGTTCTTGGGGAAGGGAAACCAGCTGCCGTTTATGGGGCAACGCTGGCTTGTCAGAGCGGTGGTGACATGGGTCACTTCAGGGGTATTTATCTTGGCGGTTTACAGGATGGTCTTATTTCTCGTCAAGCGTTGTCTTGGGAAGTGGACGTCTCAGATTTCCAGGTATGTTGTTCCTGTCTTGTCCATCCCACGTCTACAAAGACGTTAATGAAAGATCCTGACAGAAACATAGAAACCGACGATCAAATTCACACCTCTCAAAATCATCGGAGATACACAGGGAGAGGCATCCTGGCTACTTACCCGATTCGGCGCAACCTGTTTTACGCACGTGAACGAGTTTCTTATCATAGGCGGTGTTGCCCGGGACCACCTCTTGAGCAACCAAGACGAGGTAGTCTTGTGCTCTTTGTGGGGTGATGAACTCCGCATCACCCGCAGACTGGCTAGTCAGAGCTACAAAGAGACATCGATACCACGGCCAATGTTTGTGGGCCACTCCGCGGTCCGGATCGCGAATGAGAGCATCGTGGTCGTCGGAGGCGGGGCTACGTGCTTCTCAATGGGCACGTTTTGGAATAAGGGAGTGTATCATCTGCGTTTGCCCGGGGCTGACAAGATGGTGCCCGCCCCCGCACTTCCATGGGTTCATGAGAGGGCGGTTGAAGTCATCCCAACCCAGCGGGGTCTGCCAATAGCCCCGCGGCAGCAAGGAAACCATGAGCCGGCGGAGCCCACCCCGATCCCAAGGTTAAGGTTGGGAACAGCGGACGATTTTGCCAAAGTGGTTCGTGCTGGCCGACCTGTTGTGCTGGAAGGGTTGGATATGGGAAGCTGCGTCGCAAACTGGACCTCGGATTACCTCGTGGATAAGGTCGGAGCGGACCGGGAGGTATGATTTGATGCCCTGTGACAACCTCACGATGCACGAAACTAACAAAGCAGATCGTTATCCATGAGTCCGCAAGCCAGGCCATGGATTTCACGGCCAAAAACTTCCGGTACGTCACGACTGGGTTTGGCGAGTTCACTCAAAGAGTGGATAAGGGCGACAAGTTGTATTTGAGGGCTTTGTCGCATGAGAAGCCGACTGAACATCCTGCTTTGTTGGCCGAGGACTTCCCGTCTCTGGCACCAGACTTTGTGTTGCCCCCCCAACTCTCTCTTGTCGAAGAGAACCTGTTTAGCTCTGTATTGAGGATGTCTGGGCCGGTGAATATGTGGCTACACTACGATGTAAGCATCTCTCCTTGTCCTTCCTATTAAGCCCACTAACACAGGGCGCAGGTCATGGCCAACGTATATTGCCAAATAAGTGGTTCGAAAAGGCTCCTGCTCTTCCCACCGTCGGACGTCGAACACTTCCCGTTCGCTCCAGGGGCGTCCAGTTCTGGTATCGATGTCTTCTCATCGCTCGGGTCCCCTGAGCTCATACATACTCGGCCACACGAGGCTATGGTGTCTCCTGGGGATGTGCTCTTTCTGCCCCCACTATGGCTACACACCGCAACACCGACCTCAGACAAAAGCATCGCAGTTAACGTCTTTTTCAAAGACCTGGAGAATGTCTTGTATGCGCCGGGGCGCGATGTGTACGGTAACCGGGACCTGGGCGCTTACGAAAAGGGGCGGCAGGACGTCGCTCGAATTGTGAATAGCTTCAAGAAGTTGCCAGCGGAGGCGAGAGAGTTTTATCTCCTGCGTTTGGCAAACGAACTTCGTGGGAAAGCGCGCGGATGAGATACAGCTGGACCGACATTCTTGGCAGCCAACATACAACCCCATATGTTAGATAATATTAGGTAATTCGGCCGTAGTTTCCGGTCGTCGCGGGCGAAAGGAAGTTCTTTTCGAAGTCGATGGTACCGTGGGCTTTGGTATCTCAAGGGATGAGAGAGTGAAGTGATGCGGTCTAGAGAGGTTTGCAGATGAGGCTCATCAGTGAATCAGCGAGAGGGCACTCTCATTCCTGTCGGGGACGGCCCGGGGTACTTCGTACACGTTTCCCCGTATTTACCGGGTACGTATCCGATCTTCAGGGCTGACCCCCTGAAACACCCAATGACGAACGAGGACGCCACGACGAGTCAGTGAGCCACATGCGTCAGGGGGCTGCCCTGACAGGTCCGCAGGCCCGCCGCAAGAGTGCAGAGACCGCCAAAAAGCGCAGCAAACACCCTGGCTGTGCGCTTGGGAATCTCCGGCAGAAGTGTACTGTAGGACCAACAACCAGCCTCCTCCTCTTTGGCGCCGGGGCTGATGGGGTTGAAAATAAGATGGTCAAAGAAAATGTTTGAAATAGTGTTGAGTTGGATTAAGAAATATTGGTATTCTCGAGATTTGAGAACACCGGATTAAAGTCCAGTAGTCGCTGGTGCACGAAGTAGTGTACTTCCCTTGATACCTCGTGAGGCGATGGCGAAATCTGAAATTTGAAAATCGAAATCGGAAACATTGCGGTTGGCTCCTTGCCAAGAAACACCCTTCCAGCCTGTGTGGCCCGTGCAGCGCCGTGTTTCCGGGATTTGCCGGGCAATTTTTTTCAGTCCGCTTTCCCCGAACTTAAGCCACCGACCCCAGACCTCACTTTTTCCAAAAAGGCTCACTGCCAAACCACTCCGGAAACCTCTCGTCAGGCCCAATTGACCCCGCGACTCCTCCGCGTGTCGACGACATAACCACTCCACTCCGCCTTTAGTTCTCTTCTTAATTTCTTAAATCACACACAATGGCTGCCAAGGTCGATGCCCCCGCGCCCCAGCTCAGCGGGCTGGGTCTCTACTCCCGCTTCGCCTTCGCCGGCGCTATTTGCTGCTCGGTCACCCACGGTGCTCTCACTCCCGTCGATGTGTATGTCCATCCTCTGGGTTTCACACCATCCGCCAGCGTGTTGCGCCCGGGAACGCACAGCCTGGACGGATGGCTTGTTTCTGTTAACTGCGCACCAAATGTTCACGGCTGACACATTGCCCCCCTTCTCCAGCGTGAAGACCCGCATTCAGCTCGACCCCGTCACCTACAACAATGGCATGATCGGTGGTTTCAAGAAGGTAGTCCAGTCTGAGGGCGCTGGCGCTCTTTTGACCGGTGTCGGCCCGACCTTCGCCGGTTACTTCCTCCAGGGTGCCTTCAAGTTCGGCGGTTACGAGTTTTTCAAGCAGCAGTCGATCAACATCCTCGGCCTCGAGAACGCCTCCCAGTACCGCACTGGTGTCTACCTCGCCTCGTCCGCCGCCGCCGAGTTCTTCGCCGATATTGCCCTCTGCCCCTTGGAGGCCACCCGTATCCGTCTCGTCTCGGAGCCCACCTATGCCAGCGGCCTTGTGAGCGGCTTCGGCAAGATGCTCAAGCAAGAGGGTGTTGGCGCTTTCTACGCCGGTTTCGGTCCTATCCTGTTCAAGCAGTAAGTCCGGTTGCGTTCCCCTTGCTGTTTCATCGTGATTACCACAGGATGCTCACACATGTTACCCCGCAGGATCCCCTACACTATGGCCAAGTTCGTCGTGTACGAGAAGGTCGCCGAGGCTGTCTTCCGTGTCTTCCCCAAGAAGGACCTGTCCGACGGCCAGCAGACCATTGTCAACCTTGGCAGCGGTCTCATCGCCGGTTTCGCTGCCGCCATCGTCTCCCAGCCCGCCGACACCATGCTCAGCAAGATCAACAAGACCAAGGGCCTCCCCGGTGAGGGCACTACCTCTCGCCTGATCAAGATCGCCAAGGAGCTCGGCCTCCGCGGCTCGTACGCCGGTATTGGTGCGCGTCTCTTCATGGTTGGTACTCTGACCGCTGGCCAGTTCGCCATCTACGGGTATGTCGACCTCGATTCTTTTCCCCCTGATTTGTTCTATGTTGTAACACATGCTAACTACCTGTACCTACAGTGACGTCAAGAAGATGGTATGTTCCATTGTTCTCTCCGCTACGCTTGACAACACCCACTAGCTCCGCGCGATCTACAAAATGCCGGGGCACTACATCTCCATTATCCATCACTCCCCACCTTTTAAGAGAAGTAACTGACAATGTATGACAGCTTGGTGCCACCGGCGGTGTTGAGATCAGCAAATAAGTGCAACGATGATACGATGACGAAAAAATGGGGGTACAGGGGCGGAAATGGGGTCCGCGATTTAACACACCGTACCGGTAGAGCGGACCAAATAGCTGCTAGCTAAACGATAGCAAAACCACAGCAGCGGAAACCATGTGCTCAAGTTTCCCTTCTGGCTTGTTCACGACAAAACACTACGTCATCCCGCGACGACAGAAGGGGCGATTTCGGAGATGATCCAACAGCTTTTGCTGTGCGGATCTCCTGAAGGTTGAGAAGAGGCAAAAAAGGAGCTTTGGTTCTACCTTTCGCTTGTTTTCTTTGGTGTGAACTCTAGAGGCGGGATCTGGTTCTCTCTTTCTCTCTTTGCCATGTTTGTGTCTCGGGCGAGCATGCTTGCACATAGAGCATAGAGCCCTTGGGCAGATGCATGTCCTGACAGGGGGGTTGGCTGTATAATAGTCCAAAATGCATCCTGATAGAATTTCCTTTGCCAAATGTTGGTGTACTCTTTTGCGTTAGAGACGGGAGTATCGGGTCTTGATGTGCCTGACTGAGGCTCTTACCCTCAAGAGCTGGCGTCCACACATATCTCAAGGTGAGTCAATGAGCTTTGATGCATCTCTATTAATACTTTGATTCCCGTTTCCGACTCCCAACGCCCAACGGCCTTAACTTTCTAAACCTCATTTCTATGACCCAAATATACTAAGAACCTTTTATCCAAACACAGCACTAACCGCTAAAGCTGTCAAAGGCCACGTGAAACTCAACCAAAACAGGCGAAACTCACCCCTTTCACCCATTTCTGCCTCCTCCTTGTCACTATAATCATCCTGTCTTCTTCAACTTTTTCACCCACGCAACCGGCCGCATCAGATTCTGCCCCACCGTCTCCCGATTCTCCCTCGCCCGCTCCAACCCGCCCACGCGCAGGCCACCGGGTAACAGCAACCACATCGCCAGGATAAACGCCAAAATCGCCAACACAATCGGCTGCAGCACTTCCACGCCCTTGTGCTGCGCAATGGCACCAACGGCGAACGGGAAGATCGCGGCCCCGCCGCCACCGAACGCCGCGGCAAACCCGATCGCCGAGACGTGGTAGCTCTTCGGTAAGAGCTTGGTCGCGGCCACGATGGCTGCCGGGAAGAGTGGGCCTAGGAAGAACCCGAGGAGGGCGACAAAGGTCGCGGACGCGGCAAAGTTGGGGACGAGCCAGTAGAGAAGCTGTAGGGCGACGGAGAGAACCAGGTAGAGAGAGATGGCGAATTTCTCGCCGATTTTGCCAGTGACAAACCCAAGGGCAACGCGGCCGACGGTCAGGCCGAGCCAGAAGAAGGTGGAGCTGAGGCCGGCGAGGAAAGGTTCGGCGTGCCGTACTTTGAGCATGAAGGTCGTGATCCAGCCGCCGAGTGAGACTTCGGCGCCGACGTAGCCGAGGAGGAAGAAGGCGACGAGCCAGGTGATAGGGTTGAGGAGGACGGTGCGGGTGGTGGTGCGAGTCTGGGTGCCGCCGTCGGCACCGTTGGCGCTGGACTCAGTTGAGCCACTGCTGGCCGCGTGCATGGCAGCGCGGTGTACTTTAGCGGTGGCACTCCAGAAGGCCGGCCCAGCTAAACTCAGTGCTACTGCCTCGGCACCGATCATAACGAAGTAGAAGGTGTACCAGGGTAAGCCACCGCGGGTGACCATAGCGGTGGCGATCAGGGGGCCGATGGTGGCGCCGAGTCCATAAGAGCCGTGCAGAAAACCAAGCAGCTCGTTGGCATGTTGCATATTGCCGACCCAGGCGTTCCAGGCTGAGTCTTCGATACCGTTACCGAAGCCGCTAAAGAGCAGGATCACGGGTAGGGCTGGGTATGGAGGGTGGAAAACCAGAGGCACGATGCCGATCAGACGGCTGACCGGCCCTATGATAGCCACGCCTCGCTGGCCGAAGTAGTGGTGGATCAGGTTGTTCAGTAATGCGGCGAGGAGATAGCCCACGAAAGGGGAAAGGAAGACAAGTGAGACGACCGTGTAGCTAATGCTGTAGTAAGATTCGATCTGGAAGAGAGTTGGGTTGGGTTAAGCAATCTGAAGACAACTAGGACGAGAGAGTAAATTCGTCGAAACACGTACATATGGGAGAAGTGCCTAGGACGGGTTCAGTAAAATGTTCTGTTTCGAATAAGTAATCAGCAGAAAGGCAGACTTACACCAAGTGAACCATCTGTCATCCCCATCAAAGCAAAGCAGTAGTTTGTCGTCAAGTATCGGAACCTGTTGATTGGGGACTCGTTCCATCGCTGGAGTTGCTCAACTGGGGGTGAAGGTGGTCCAGATTCTTCCTCAGTAACGTCCTCCGGAGTGACTGTCTTCTCGGGATCCTGGGGACAGTCTTGGGTCTTAGGAGGGTAGTCGGGGACGGCGTGGCCATGTTCAGCCGCAATGGAGGGCACGACGGCCATGTCGAACAAATTATGGATATACGCAACGGGACGAAAGACTCGAGAATCCGCCTCTGGGCGCTGCTTGAGTGAAGCTATCACCAAGGGGGCAAGTCTTTTATACACATTCGGCGCCCCGCTCAATACTTTGCTTGGCACCACCTCCGATGGCAACCCTGAAATCCAACAATACTTTCCCCGTTGACGACACGACACGAACGAACAAAAAGGCGACAAATGCTCATCCGGGCAATACCGCTATGAAGCGCGCGAGAACGCAGACGGCAGGGCGGCGGACGGACATGTCACGGACACGGCGATGCAAATCTAATTCAACCACGCTCGGCATGTGATATGGAAGAAGAGAGGCCAAACTGCAGAAGCCAATGCAACTTGGACGTGCAGACCAATAGACGGACCATGATGGAACCATTTCTCTATCGGAGGATGGGTCCTTGCAAAGGCGGAGTTCCAGAGGTCGGTGTGTGGGGGCAAGGCAGCGACACATGTTTTTCAGCGGGTCGTTATGCCTAGTGGGTGCTGTGGTGGGTGCAATTGCTAATAGGGTGGGGCTCCCGGCGCCGCATCAAACCTGGCGCATTTTGGCACCGGGCCGTGCCTGCCGACCTCCATGAATGGCAACTCCGCCGTACCTTCCCCGCTGCACCGAAAACCTCTCCTGCCTCAAGCCTACCCTTTCTCAGAACTTCTCATGCTCACATGACCCTCCCTACTTCGTTCCTTTTTACCTTTCTGCCACACATTATTACAGTTTTTTCCTATCGTGCTGCATTCTTCTTATCTTGTCGGACCGACGGGGTCCCCCCCCAACCGCCTTTTCCACCTTGCCTTCACCCCAAGGCGCGTCAACCTTCCTTTCACACACCAAACTCTGCATAACTCTCAGTTTCCATGACAAACGGATCTGGGACAGACACAAGGTCTAGGCTCTAGCCGACTTGCGGTGTGTGACTCCGCCAACCTTGCCCGCATTTTCGATTGGAAACTCCGCTTCGTACCGCTCCCGGCCTGGCGCCCGGGTACCTGAGCCTCGGGTCAGGCCGGTTATCGGATCCGATCGTTGGAATGCCGCACAGCCTCTTGGTATCGACGCCATCAAATACGGCATCAGGCTATGTAGATATTGATAACGGTGAAGAAACTGGCATGTGTCTCATCTATTTGACCCCTTCATTACACTCCCAGGGGGCTCGAGCACACGGACACAACATTCTCTTCCTCGTCAGAGCTGCCCCGACTCGAGTTAATAACCTAGCCGATCGAGCAGTTTGCTCAAACTTTTCTTCTTCTCATCTCGGGATTGCATGATGGCTTCCCGCGTCTGCAGTTCCAATGTTTTGGTATCGACGAGACTCAGTGGGCGGATTGCTTGCAGCACGGCATCGACTTTTGCAACCTTTCCAAAGCCCTCAATGCTTTGAGGATGTTTTATATCGGCTGCCCGTAGAACATCTCGAAATGCCCTCGAGTCCTCTGTCGTAGCACTGGCGCCAGTTGCGTTACCGCCCTCCCTTTCATCAGCAACATCATGGTCACTCAAACCGCTGAGGATGCGAAAAAACTCGTATGACGGGTGTAGAATGCAGGCCGATTCGTAGCCTGTGAGGCCTATGATTTGCCCTGACTCTGGATCGAAGAGGATGTTGTCTGGGTCTAGGCGCCCAAAGGCAGATGGTTAGCACATTCCTAACCTCCCTCTGGAAAGGTGATAATGCTGGGGTTGTAACTCAAAACGTACTGATTACAGCGTGAGTCACGACTTTCTCCTCCTTGGAGCCCAATTCTTCGAAGTGTGCCGACAAACCCTGGGTGACAAAGTTTCCCAACCTCTCTCTCAGACCATCGTCCACCCAGCCCTTGATGTGCTCGTCGTGATCTGCTTCCCGTAGCGCTGCCTCAAGGCGTCCCCGGAAGTAGGCTTCGTACGACGGCCAAGAACCGGTTTCCTTACTGACTATCTGCCCATCGTCCTCATACGTCACCTGCCCGAATCTGGTGATGCCTGCGGGCAATGTGAAAGTTTGAAACGACTTAAGCAATACAGAAACCTGGGTGAAGAGACTCCTCTTTTGGCCGGGGCCCATATCATCATACACGTCTGCTAATCGGCGACCAGATATTGACTCCAGCAATATCCAGCCCTGGGAACTTGATTCTGGTTGGTCTGTCTTGACATCGGCGCTCCCCCAGGCGTACACCCGTGGTACGATGTTTGGTGCAGACTTTTGGAGCGCGGCGGAAGCAAGGGACATTATTGCTACTTCATTTTCGACAATGCTGTTGTTCTGTTTGACGCGGATTCTCTTGCCGCCTAGCTTTATGAGGCGCACCACAAATACCTCGGTGCCCTTAGGGATAGCAACACAGCCTGGCTGAAGGGAGTTGATTTGGTTGGTGCCATCGTTGGTAGTAGTTATGGGTGTGTCGAGGCTGATTTGGTAGGTCAAGACTTCCGGCCCAGGGAATGTTTTGCGGCTATCTTGAACGGGCTTGATGTTTGTTCTACCCTGAACTTCGTGTAAGTAAAAACGTTACTGGGAAGGCAACCCCAAGTGTGAATACACGAAGGTGTAAAACTAACCACTGAGACCTGAAATCGGGTACGCAAGAGCTCATCGATGAACTCAAGCTGTGCTTGATGATGGTTACCGCTGTCTTCATTCTGATCCATTGTAAAGATTATCCCAAACGGTTCGCTTGAATGTCATGATACCTGCTTTGCTGCGGAGAGTTGAGTCTTTTGAGTTCCGCTTGAACTTATAACCTGCCTATGTAGGAAGGTGAGGGAGACCAACGTGACGCGGCCGTATGAGGTCATTGATAACTTGAGTGGAACTTACCCTGGAATTTTTTAGGCCACAAGGCGACATTTTGACTTTTTGTTGTAATTTCTATGTACGAGCCCTAAATCCGTCCGTATGATCGAATACATCTCTATCTACATGGTACACGTGTAAGCTGCTGCTAGGGAGTCGTAGACTCTCAGTGCCTACTTACACGCAGTATGTGAGTGCATTGACGTCCTAGAAAGGAAAAGCGGCATTATGTGGCGTCCCGGCGAACCCCTGGGTGCCGGGCACGGGCTTTTAGGGGTCCTTGCTGGGGTCTACCCGCTGCGGAATGCCTGGCTGATGGCCTCCACTTCGCCTTTCCGAACCAATGCCCTGGAGCTTCCCCCAAACCTTCAAAAGCTGGGGTCCATGATGCAGCCCGATCCTCTCTGGCATTTATCCCCAACCGAAGCCGCCAGCCCCTATCCACGCATAACCGTCGATTATCGATTGATATCCCTCGTAATGATGCGACACGGTCCATCTTAAACCAAAGATCCCGCGTTTTGGCTTTTCAGCCCGATCTGCACGCCCAAATCCCCCCCTCCGACAGACCAAGCTCGACGTCTCGATACCAGATAACGTTTCCCGCCCCCAACAAACCATCCATCTCGATCTCGTCCTGCGCCATTTCCCCCAACTACAAACAAAAATCAACATGCCGTTCCCACCCCCCAGTGACGATGAATCCGCTGAAAGCTCTCCGCTCCTCCGCCCCCGTTCCTCAGCCACAAATAGCTCAACCCTAAGCCCGTCGCCTTCCCCTTCCTCTCGCTCCTCCTCCCCGGCCCGTCGCGCCGCCCGCTCCCGCGCCCGACTACGCCTCCTCACCTCCGCCCTGACCGCGCTCCTCTCCGCCCTCTGCGCCGGCTCCGTCACGGCCTTCTCTCTATACGCGCCCATCCTCCAGGCCCGTCTGCGTTACTCGCAGTTCGAGGTCAATGGCCTGGCTTCGGCCGCGTCCGTCGCCATGTACGCGCCGGTACCGCTGCTGGGGTACCTGTGTGATCGGGCCGGGCCGGCGCCGTTGGCGTTGCTGGCAGCGGTGACATTTGGGGGTGGATATGCGGGGGCGGCCGGAGCGTACGTGAGGGCAAGAGGGGTTGTGGAGGGAAATGGGGGTCTGGGAGGAGGAGGAGGGGCCGGTGTCGCAGCAGAGTGGTATGTGTTGATGGTGCTGGCGTTTGTGGCGATTGGTGTTGGTACCTGCTGCATGTACATGAGCTCCGTCGCGACGTGTGCGAAGAACTTTGGCAAAGGCAAGCACCGTGGTTTAGCGGTTGCCGTGCCCATTGCAGCTTTTGGGTTGAGCGGCATGTGGATGAGCCAGGTGGGCAGCCATTTTCTTCTAAACCACGAGCCTGGTGCGGAAGATGGTGAGGTAGACGTGTTTAAGTTCTTTGTGTTCTTAGCCGTGTTGTTGGTTGTGGTTGGCGTTCTGGGTTGCTTTGGGCTCCGGATCGTGGACGAGAAGGACTTGATCGAGGAAGCCGTCGAAGAGCTGGAGCGTAGCGGGATCCTGGACGGTAGCGCCATGTTTACCCCAGGGAGGACCGAGAGCCAGTACGGAACCCTGGAGAGGGACGACCCATTTGACGAGCTGGAAGATGCCGTCAAGGATTCCGAGGAAGAGGAAGCCCGCTTGAAGAAGCGAACCGTGCTCAACGCCGAGACCCGCCGTTTCCTCACCGACCACACCATGTGGTGCCTTGCCCTCGGCTTCTTCTTCATGATCGGCCCTGGCGAGGCCTTCATGAACAACATGGGTACCGTCATCAAGACTCTCTACCCCCCCACTCTCCACTACGAAGGAAAACCCACCTCTCCGGCCACGCACGTCTCTATCGTTGCCATCACCAGCACTGCCGCCCGCCTCCTCACCGGCTCGCTCACGGACCTCCTAGCGCCTAGTCCCAAGGCCCGCCACGTCCAAATCACCCGAGCCGCCGTCACCGGCCACCCGCTTCCCTCTCAACGTTTCTCCGTCTCCCGCGTCTCTTTCCTCCTCCTCTTCGCTCTGATCCTCTCTCTTGGCCTAGCTGGCCTAGCCTCTGGCTTTGCGCAAGACCACGGCGACCGCTTTTGGTTAATCTCTGGGCTCGTCGGAGCCGGCTACGGCGCCGTGTTCAGTTTAACGCCAATCATCATCACCGTCATCTGGGGCGTCGAGAACTTTGCCACCAACTGGGGAATCGTCGCCATGTTCCCCGCGCTGGGCGCCACGCTGTGGGGGGTGGTCTACTCGGCTGTGTACCAGGCCGGCGTGGAGAAGACTCGGGGCGGCGGCCCGGGCAGTCCCGGCGGGGCTGAGAACGAGGAAGATAATCTATGTTACGGACAAGAGTGCTATGCGCCCGCATTCTGGGCTATGGCGGCTAGTGTGTGGGTGGCAGGCGGGCTGGTGTTGTTTGCGTGGAAGGGTAGGAATGGATGGTCGCAACGGGGAATTGTGGTTTAATATCTAAGCATTCGACTGTTTATAGGGCGATGGAAATTATGTTTTCTTTGGGGATAATGGCCTTGTTTTTTTATCTTTTGGGTTTAGGCTACTACTGCATTGGGAGGAGTTTGATCGATGGAACTTTTTCGTTTTCTAGGAAGATTGGTACAGGTTTAGGGGGGTTATTATGTGGTCGGTGTATCACCGTATTAGCCGTCAACAGCAGGCGACCGTCATCATCAGCCGTGAATAGAACCAAGATTTACAGTTTACTATTCCCATATTGCTATGACTCTCCAAATGTCCATTATCAAACAACCTCTGATATGAAGTCTTTCCCAGTTGGGTAGTTTAGGTATGTAAACTCGAACACCAGCGTGCAAATGCGGCTGGGGAGAAAAAGCATGACCCCTTACAACGATGCCCTGACCTTAGGCCGACTTTATTACTTGTGGATAGATATCGGTGTTTTCTCGGCAGGGGTTGGGCAATGCTAACGCTACACTAGGCACACTGTTATTTTTAACAGCGAACCTCCCATATCATGACAGCCCCCAAGAGTTTCGCTTAAGCCATTTATCATTACGATTATCGAGCATAGGTTGCTAACAAAGACACAGTAGCACCCCCTTAGGTATGCCAGACAACGAAAGGTTCAGCAACTTGACCCCTTCGGGCATTTCTGACCCGGCGAGTGCTTCCTTGCCCCGGGTACCGCCTTTGCTTCCCCCATCCGTTCATGAGCTGCCAACATCAAAGCCGAAGAGTCCAAATGAAACCCCAGCCACAGAGCCCAACCCCAAAAGCATCCTTAATCCCAACCAATAGTACCCGAACAGCGACGGAGCTCGGCTCATGCGAACAGTCCCACAAAGGCAACTACAAACAAAGTACCGGCGGACCCTAGCATGGCTGCCATTAACCGATTTGTCTGCTTCGCGGCGACCGGCTCATCGACAGCCCCTTTACAAAACAGCACCGACTCCGTACTTTCGCAGACATTACACCATGCGGAAGCATTAGCGACTCCCACTGCTGACATGGTGTCGCTAAAGTGACGGAATGGCACCGACACTGCAGTGCTATCAACCCCGCCGTTCGTGAGGAGCGGAAGAGGGTAAGCTGTGTAGTCGTCGTTGATGGATGATGGGGACCAAGTGGGGGAGGTGTAGTTGGGATTCTGGTAGAGGAAGCGGACGTAAAGTCGTTCGATCGGGGGATATACAAAAGCAGGATTCGAATTGTCACGCCTGTTCTTCCGGCCGCGACCGCGGCGTGTGATCCTGGAGACCCCGGCGGTAACGATGCCCGGAGCATTATCGCACGAACCCGTACCGTCGCAGGTCGCTTCGCGGAGACAGTCCGGACTGTCGCAGGGAGAAGCATCGTCGATGTCCTCAGAATCTACCGAGAACAGTTCAAACGTTAATGTGGCACCAGCCTCGGGGAGACGCGAGAACAGGTTGGCGGAAGAGCCAGTGGTGAGTTGCGCAAGGGCAAAGAACCCCAAAAAGGGTTCATGCGAAGCGAAAGCGAGATTGAGTTTGTTTCGTGTACCCCGGGACTCAATGTTCTCTGCAAACAAAGCCACCGTGCGGGACGCGAGAGTCCGGCCGGCGATGGCGGATGTCAAATCGCTTGGAGTTTTCCCCAAATGTCCGTATTTGAGGAACTGTTCCTGGGCCGCCAGGTGCCGCAATAAGTCCAAGTCTTCGGATCGTACGCTCGAGGTAAACCCCGATTCATGGTTCCGGCGGTACTGAGCGTAGTCGGACAGCTCGTGGGCATTGAAGAAGTTGGCCTGGGACCGGGGAAACGCCTCGTTGAACACACCATCAAAGAGCTTGCTGTAGAACTCCTTGGTATTTTCGTATATCGAGTCCGCTACGCTGTTGTTGGAAAACATAAGCAACGATTTGTCGAGCTTGGTGCATGATTCATGTCCATTGCTCCTGGAGAGATATTCTGTTAGTGGTACTCTAGGAAGAGCTGGCTTGGGCTAGGGGCTGTACCAAATTGAATCTGAATCCCGCTCAGGGACTGTGGTTCGAATATTGGGATATTGATACCCGCACATCGGGTAGTTGATGACTGTGCCGTCGGCAAGCCAGTTGTGGCTGGGAACATCTGTGTCGCATGAGACGTGTGGAATAGGCGGATATGCGCCTTGCATAAACGCGAGGGCGCTGGCTGATGAGCAACGGTCCACCGATGACTCGATATGTAGTTGCGAGTTGTCGATAACCTTGCGGCTGATACCAACGATTCCAACATATTGGTCGTATCGGGCGGGTCGAATGTACCGGTTGCGAAAGGCGGCGCCCTGAGCATACATTTGATGCGCCCCAAGGGGCGTGAGGGACGGGTCTGAGAGAATAAGTGGTGTGTGGTCACCTCGCATCACCTATGTTGCTGACGACCACACATGTTCGTTATCCGGCCTAGCGAATACGGACGAAACTAGTAATACGAGAACGGTTGAGAGGGTCGTCATGTTTTCGAGGACCGAGGGTCAATTGGGTGTCAATAAAGAATGGCATAAAATAAACCAAAACAAAAGGATTAAAATAAAGGTAGGGTAACGAACGTGTTACGAGAAATCGTGTAAGTTAAGAGAAAGGAACAGGGGTTATGAATCTGACGTCCTGGTTGATGGTGTTGAGGTTTGTGCTGTTCATTGGAGACGCATTTCTTTCCGTCCACCAAGCCGGTTTGCTAACTAAATCTACGCGTAGATCAAAATAGGAAGCCACAAACGCTTAACACTGGACATGGAGTGTCATAGCCTCAAGGATATGGAGGGGTGTTGGGATATTGTTCGAGGAAGGGGGGTTCAACAAATTCATTCCTCTAGCGGCAACTCCACTGCGGTTGTAAGAACTATCCGGTTCGTGCCTGAAATGAGAAGATTGTGGCTGCAGATCTTTCGAAAGCAGTCAGAAATGTTCATGTTTCAAGGATCGAGTTTCTCGAGAACTCGGGGTCAACGACTCGGTATGTTTGTGCTTGAGTTAGAGTGTCTGGTGTAAGGCATTTTCTAAGGAACATCCTAAATGTTGCCCTCTTGAAATGAAACAGACCACGGGTATTGGAAGCGGACAAGACAACAAACATGCTGGATCGTTCCTGCCACAAATTCTTGAAGTTGTCTAGTCCACGGGGACACCCATCTTTAACCCTAACCCCGAATATACAACTGCCTAGTCGCCAAGAGATCAACAGCCACCGTCAACCCAGCTCACCAACTTGATTCGGCTCGGAGACCGTTCCATCGACGCCGGAGACGGGACACGTCTCTGCCCACAACAACCCGCAATGCGTCGTGCCACCATTCAGGCCTTCCGAGCCAGCCTCCAATGCAGCACGCGAGGCTTGCGATTTAACCCGCGCCGGGGCTATTCTTCTCTCATCTCCTCCTCCACTGCGACTGGGAGACGGGCCACCCTCGTCACACCTCCAACCCGCCGATTCCTTTCCACGTCGCCACCCACACGCAGTCGCAGCAACAGTGACGGCAGCCACAACAAACCGAACAACAGCAATAGCCTCCAGATCCCAACGGCCGGGAACACGCCGGTACCCGGCGAACCACTCAGATCATCCATGTTCTACCGGCGGGCGTCGGTGGCCGTGGTCTCCGCGCTAGTGGGCTTCGGGGCATACTACTCGTACGGCGGCAACGGAACGGACAGTTTGGGAACGCGGGCATACTCTTCGGCATCGGGCGGCTCATCCACCACAGCCGGCGGCGAAATGGGGCCGACGCGCTCGGTCTTGGTGATTGGCGCCAACGATCTACACACGGGCACGTTTGTCGGCGACGGGCCCATCTCCAAAACCACGGGCACCGACGGCCGGCGTGTTATTGAGATGCTGACGCCGGACCAGGCGACCGAAGCGTTGCGGCGGACAGAGGAGTCATACTATGTGAACCGTGGCCAGGGTGTGGTGCGATATGATTTGGTGCAGCTCCCAAGCAATGATCCGATTGAGGATGATCATGCGGAGAAGATTGTGGAGATGCCGGATGGGAATGGGGTCCAAGGTGGGAGTAGCGACTGGATGTTTTGGGGTGTGTTTGACGGACACTCGTAAGTTTTGACAATGTTCGGGGTGAAACCAAGACAGCATGCTCACAGATGACTCTTTACAGTGGGTGGACAACATCAGCCAAATTGCGCCAGGCCCTAGTTACGTTTGTAGCCCGCGAACTCAACGATACCTACCAGGCGTCCAGCCTGATGCCATCACAAGATGCGGTCGATGCCGCCATCAAGAAGGGCTTCCTGAAGCTGGACGACGATATCGTGAACCAGAGCGTGGAAAAGGTCATGCAGGCCAACAACAAACTTGCTGCGGCCGGGCTACTCACCCCCGCACTGTCCGGCTCTTGCGCGCTCCTATCTTTCTACGACAGCCAATCTAAGCTTCTTAAGGTCGCCTGTACGGGCGATTCTCGGGCTGTCCTGGGCCGCCGCTCGACGTCCGGCAAGTGGACCGCCACGCCGCTCTCGGTAGACCAGACGGGAAGCAACCCTGATGAGGCTGCCCGGCTGCGCAAGCTACACCCTGGTGAGCCGGACGTTGTCCGCAACGGCCGCGTGCTAGGTAGTCTCGAGCCCACGCGCGCGTTCGGAGATGCGAAATACAAGTGGACGCGCGAGATCTCGCAAAAGCTGAGGCAACATTTCTTTGCCAATTCGATCCCGCCTCTCCTCAAAACGCCCCCTTACGTGACCGCCGAACCAGTCATCACCACCGCCAAGATCGAACCCGACAACGGCGATTTCCTGGTTATGGCTACCGACGGCCTCTGGGAGATGCTGACCAACGAGGAGGTTGTTGGCCTGGTGGGCAAGTGGATCGAGACGCAACAAATCACCAAGGGCAGTAGCGGCAGCCCTAGCAGTGGGGGGTCGCAATTTGATACAGTATGGACACGGATTTTTGGAGCCAAGAGCGGGCTTCCCGTCGAGACCGCCGCCTCAGATGCCTCCAGCAGCGGCCAAAAGAGCCCCTTTCGCCGGGGTAGCCGCGACTCGTCGTCAGGAGACTCGTTTGTCGTGAAGGATCTCAACGTCGCGACACATCTCGTGCGGAACGCGCTCGGCGGCAAGAACCAGGAGCAAGTATCGGCTCTTTTGACGCTGCCGGCGCCCGTGTCGAGGCGGTATCGCGATGATCTGACGGTACAGGTGGTTTTCTTTGGCAATGGTGAGCGTACGGGGGAGGTGGTGGTTAATCTGGACGCCACGGCGCTGGCGAAGCCGTCGAAGGCGAAGCTGTGAGGGGGCCATATTTTTTCTATGCCCGGCGGTGTGAATGGGTTAGAGTCAGGAGGTTCGTCGGTTTGGCAGGTGTTGTGCATATTGCGTACATGTGTGCATGCCGGTTAGGCGCAACGGTTGATTGATATCCCGGGGAAATGGGTTCTCAATTTTTTAGGTCATTTCTTTTGCTTTCAGCATATCATAGTTGACGCCTCTCATATCCTAACTGCTTCTTCTATGCACATATGCCTTGTGCACTTGATTTCCTCACCCCAAGTGGAGACCCGGCGGGATAACACGGTTCCGTCATCGTGCCCCTCGATCCCGAAAGCTTTAGAAAGGTTTGGGGTGCTCGGTTCATTGCCTGCGGGGAGGTCGGAATAGGGCGGCATGGTCTGCCGTGCGGCCATGGTTGGTTTACTCGGTTGACACAACCTTGAGGGATAGACACTCTCACCTCCTTTTCCATTCACCTGGCCATCGACGATGCCCTCCTTCTTGATGGATGTTGGGAGCGGGGCATTTGTTCCGGAATGAGACCTCTGCTGCAGGCCATTTCTTCAGTGCAGCAGTTGACAAGGTTTGAACTCAACATGCGAATGCAAACCCCCCTTTCCCGTTATCTTTCTGAGCGGGAGATGTGGGGGTCACCGCGCATCTTTTCGATCTGTCCATCGATCTTTTTTTTACCCTGCTTACCTGCCCAGCGCATCCAGGTCCAACTCTACAACTTGCGAATGCAGCTTGAAGGACACAAAGGTATCCATTTGTTCGGTCCGCCTAAGCTATATAGTATTCCTCAGTCTTCAACTCCCTCCACACCTCTCCCCCAAATTTCAAGATTTCCCCCATCGACAAGGCATCGGGTTTCCCGTCCACCTCCAGAGGTCGTTACAAATGGAGAAGTACGGAGTACTTCTACCTAACCCGACGGCCGGCCCGGTGCCGGCGCCAAGCCTCGGGTTGCCAGGCCCTGTCGAGCCTCATTGAGGCCCTGTGGTTCTAGGCGACGGCAGGCCAATGGCGGGGCTCACGTTGGCGCCAGAGTCTGACGTCACAGAGCTTGCGAGGGGCTGGCTTTGCGACTCTGCGAAGCGCCCAGGCCCCGATGGACATTTTTTTTTCTGTCGTTGGCGGTTTCGATCCGATGTTCTAGGCTTCTGGAGTCGCACCACCTAGCACAACATCCATATTTTTTTCTTGAGGTTCCAGGTTAGGTTCCCGCCCATCAGGCTCTTCCCCCTGCACAGCTTCCGGGGTTCCGTTGCTCTGGTCTTGTCCAGGGTTTCTCATCCATGCCTTGGGTTTGCTGGCTCGCCTCTCCAGGAGCTCTCGCTCCCCGCTTCCACGCTTCCGTTTCCGCGCCCCTCATTGATTGATACGGAACGGCGATATGGGTGAAAATAGTGGTACCACCAGGTACCCAAACTTGCCGTCTTGCCTAAGCTCGCTAAGCCTGGTAGGTTTCCATTGTTAGATAAGTGCCGGCAATTTGTTTAACACAGTTGGCCGCTGTGCGTTTTAACAAAAACTCCCGTGTGCTCCCGTCCTCCGGCCTGTTACTTCCCCTTTCCCTACCTCTTCTTTCCCTCACGCTCTCCTTCGCATTCTTCTTCCGGGCCATTTTTAAGTCTTGTGCTCTCCCCACCAGGATCCATGCCAAGCTATCAGTTGTTGCGGGGCAATTGGATCCTTTAACGCGGCGGTGCTTACTGAGCTTTCGTTGCTGCTGTGGTTATTTGTAGCTGCGCCGTGCCGTTTGCCGCGGGAACTGAAGTTGGGACCGAGTTGAAACACCACGGAAGAAGGGGCAAAGGGACAACAGCTACCGAGGACTTTTTCAATCTTCCTACATTCTATCTATCCAATTTCCTTACCTTTCCCTAAACACCCAAATCGAACCTCGGCTGTGGCGTTTTTGTCACGCTTCCCGTCACCACCATGCCTGTCTTCGATAGCCACGAGTACCTCACCGAGGAAGAGCGCAGGCTCAAGCAAGACCGCGAGCGCACAAAGTACTGGAAGAAATGGGGGTCTTACGTCGCTGAGAGGCAGTGGGCGACGGGTAAGTTCCCAACTCTTTACGCACAAGGGCTTTTCAGGAGGTGTGATGGATGTGTGCTGCAACAGGAACGACTGACTGGGTGTAGTGCGAGAGGACTATAGCGAGGACGGCGATGCCTGGAGCCGTAAGTTGTGCCCAATTGCTCTTAGCCACCACTCAATTGGGTTTGGCCCGCTCACAGAAACACTCTGTAGACTTCCCGCACGACCATGCCCGCTCTCGCGCGTACCGCTGGGGTGAGGACGGCATTGCCGGTGTTTGCGACACCCACGGCTACCAGAACATTGCCTTTGCCTTCTGGAACGAGAAAGAGTAAGAGCCAATTGCTTCTTCCACAACAGTACTTTATCCGGCCCAGATCACTAAACCTTGTGTCAGCCCCTTTCTCAAGGAACGCCTCTTTGGCCTATCGAACCCACAGGGGAACCATGGTGAGAGTATCAAGGAAGCCCATTTCCACCTAGACAACACACCTGTGAGTAATCAAGCGCTCCCCTTGAGCCGTTAGAAACGCGTTTACTGACTTACCTTTCCTCAGACGGTAAGAAATAGGCTATGTCATGCAAGCGGATAACACAACACTCACACATCGCAGCACTCGTACATGAAGTATCTATACAAGTACCCGCAGAAGGCCTTCCCATACGACGACCTGCGCGACGAGAATGCACGACGTGGTAAGACAGACAAGGAGTACCAGATTCTCGACACTGGTGTCTTCGACGAGGACCGCTACTGGGATATATTCATCGAGACGGCCAAGGAAGACGATGACCCGGATGAGCTGCTCTTCCGGGTGACTGCCTGGAACAGAGGCCCTGACCCCTCTCCGCTACACATCATCCCTCATGTGTGGTTTCGCAACACATGGTCCTGGGGCCGCGAGCCTGCCGAAAACCGGCCGTCGATGGGAATTCACGATGAGAACCTGATCAAGACGAAACACCACAAGCTAGGTGACCGCTACGTTCTTCTGTCCCCATCGCCTGGCGTTGGCGCCAGCGAAGAAGATGTACAGCCTGAGATTCTGTTCACGGAAAACGAGACGAACTACTCATTGCTGTACAAGGGGAAAAACGAGTCGGAATATGTCAAGGATGCTTTCCATCGCCACATTGTCGACCAGGAGAAGGGCGCGATCAACCCGGATCAGGTTGGCACCAAGGCTGCCGCGTGGTTCTCATTCAATGAAGATGGCGGTGTCAAGCCGGGCGAGTGTGCTGGTACGTACCCCTGAGATCATCACATATGTGATGCTCGTACTAATGAGGGCAGTCGTCCGGTTCCGCTTTTCCAAGAAGTGCGAGACGTACCTCGACGAGGAAGAGTTCGACGACATCATCGAGCGCAAGAAGGAGGAGGCTGATGACTTTTACTACCACATCAGCCCCCTACCCATGGCTGACGACCTCCGCAACATCCAGAGACAGGCCTTCTCTGGCATGATGTGGTGCAAGCAACATTACCTCTTCATCTGGGAGGAGTGGGCAAATGGCGATCCCAGCCAGCCGCCTCCACCGCCGGGCCGCAAAGGGATTCGTAATTCTGCGTGGAAACACTTGCATTGCGACGATATCTTATCCATGCCCGACTCTTGGGAGTACCCTTTCTTTGCGGCTTGGGATACTAGTTTCCACTGCATCACTCTGGCCATGATAGACCCGGAGTTCGCCAAAAAGCAGCTTGACTTGTTCACTCGCGAGTGGTACTGCCATCCTAATGGCCAGCTTCCTGCGTAAGTAATCTCCTGATTCCTTGGTGAGAACGGGAGGGAGAGGGAGAATAACGGCTGACGCTTCTTTCCAGGTATGAATGGAACTTTGGCGACGTCAACCCGCCCGTCCACGCTTGGGCAACTTTTCGTGTCTTCAAGATTGAGCGCAAGCTGTACGGCCGACAGGATCTTGATTTCCTCGAGCGCGTGTTCCAGAAATTGCTGCTGAACTTCACCTGGTGGGTAAACCGCAAGGATGTGGAGGGCAAGAATGTATTCGAAGGCGGCTTCCTTGGCCTGGACAACATTGGTCTGTTCAACCGCTCCGAGCCCCTGCCGACAGGCGGCACACTAGAGCAGGCGGACAGCACGGGCTGGATGGCCTTTTATTGTCTCAACATGCTCAACATTGCGCTCGAGCTCGCTAAGCACCGGCGCATCTACGAGGACATTGCGACCAAGTTCTTTGAGCACTTCATCCTCATTAGTGACGCCATGACGTTCCGGATGGGCCAGACCGACGAGCAGTCGTTGTGGAACGAAGAAGATGGCTTCTACTACGATGCCATCTCGTGGGGTGGCCCTTGGATCCAGCAGATGCCTGTCCGGTCGTTGGTCGGACTGATCCCGCTGTACGCCACGCTCACGCTGGAGCCAGAACTTATCAACCGGCTGCCGACCTTCAAGAAGCGGGTCGAGTGGTTTGTGAACAACCGCGAAGACGTGGCTGAGCGGACGATGCATAGCATCCGCACGCGTGGTAAAGGCGACCGTATCCTCCTGTCTCTCGTCAACAAGGACCGGCTCACGAAGATTCTCCAGCGCATGCTGGACGAGGAGGAGTTCTTCAGCCCCCACGGCATCCGTTCGCTGTCCAAGTATCACAAGGATCACCCGGTCTCCATGGATGTAAACGGCCAGACCTTTGGTGTCAGCTACGTTCCCGGCGACTCCGACAGCGGCCTGTTTGGTGGCAATAGCAACTGGCGCGGGCCCATCTGGCTGTGTGTCAACTTCTTGCTAGTCGAGTCGCTCCAGCGGTTCTTCCTCTTCTTTGGGCAGAATCTGCAGGTTGAATGCCCTGTTGGTTCGGGCGATTACATGCATCTGGGCCACGTCTCGGAGGAGATCCAGCACCGGCTGCAACATTTGTTCGTGCGCGACAACGACGGACGCCGCAGCATCAACGGGGGCAATGAGGTGCTCGACTTTGACCCTCACTGGAAGGATTACCTGTGGTTTTATGAGTTTTTTGACGGCGATAACGGTCGCGGTCTCGGTGCCACCCACCAGTGCGGTTGGACTGGTCTAATTGCGCGCATGATCCATGATACTGGGTAAGAAACAGCCCCCACATCCGTCTCCTCCCTCCTATGCTGGTTTACCCCCTCTTGTCCCGTACTAACCATTCCCTACTCCAGCGTCAACTGCCGGCTGCCGCAAACCCCGCGCACCCCGCGCGCGGGCATGTCGCATTATTTTGACGACGTTATCCAGCGTGGCACCAAAGACACTGCGCAAACACCCAGCGTTTTATCCCCACGTCTACGCCGCAGCTCGACAAACCGCTCGCTGGCCGCCCGCAGCGACTACGGCGATGACGATGAGGATGACGAGGCCGTCAACGGTGGGCTTGGTCAGAACGGGGATGGGGCGCAGAAGAAAGAGAATGGTGACAAGCGGGAGAAGACACAGCGGAATGGGGACGGGGATAGGAGGGGGTCGATCAACCCGGCGCTGCTGAATGATCCGGAGAGGGTCAAGGCGAGGTCGGAGGCGGACAAGCATTTGCATTCGTACATTAGCCAGCAGTTGGAGCGGGTGAAGCTGGAGAGGGGGGATGATTATGAAAATCTGGAGGGGGATGAGTATGTAACGAAGGCTTAGTTAAGCCAAGGGACGTCGGTGTTGGGTCGAGGACTACCCGTGGGGGACTGGGGAGTAGAAAGGGACCAGAAGGGAGAGGGCCAACAATGGTGAAATAATTAAAAGGCTGAAAGGGGACGCCGGGTGGCTTATTTTTCGGCAAGAATGAGGGAAGAAATGATGGTAGAGATAAAGTAAAGAGTTTGGTTAGTTATTTACAATAAGTGTGTTTAGAATTAAAAGTTGAATAGAAGGGGCGAGATGTGAGTGGCATGCTTGACAGCACTGATTTTAATGTGTCAACTTCCAGGCCATTATCTCAAGCCAAGGTCCAGGGAATATCCCATGTCGAAACATTCTATTTGTAGGAAGTTATACGGAGGGGATGGGCTCGCTCTGGCCAAAAAAAGCGGCAGGCCAAGTCCCTAGATAACTTACTTTGCTACAAGGGTGAAAAAGGACCAAAAAGAATAAACTAAAAAAAGCGAAAGAAGACGAAAAAGAATAAATCTAGAAAGTGAAAAAAGACAAAAAAGAGTAAATCGATCAAAATTTACCAAGATTTGATCGAATGTTAATGGATTGGACTTGAGCTATCTGTTTTGAGTGTGCCGCTTTTTTTGGCCATAGCGAGATGGGTTAAAATCCAGGTGTTGAGGCTCACTTGCTATCCCAACGTCGTATGTGGGTGGGTACTTTTGCCTGAATATTTATCAAGCGTCAGTGGTTTAGTGGTAAAATCCATCGTTGCCATCGATGGGCCCCGCGTTCGATTCGCGGCTGACGCATGGTTATTATCTTCATCTTTTGCCGTTTAGTCAAATTTTATGGTTATGCCTTCTGTGTTTCCGAAAGGAATGAGTCTTAAAACTTTTGCCCGTTTTGTTTGTAACCAGGTCGGCCCCCTTCGGTTGAGGGACAAAAGGGGTGAGTGGTTATGTGAGTTCAGTGTGTTCAAAAAGGAGTGAAAAGACTCGGGATGGGCGATTCAAAACAAAATGATGGGCAGGGCGCGAAAGGATTTAGTTTTGCTCCAGTTGCGGGCAAGTTTCGGAAGAGATAGGTTTCTGGCCGAACTATGGATTGAGAACGAACCGGTGGCACGTAGGTCATGTCAGAATTCATATCAACTTGCTGCTCGCGCCAACTTATGACGGTAAAAAAAAACTCTTGCTTGATCCAACGTACCCTCACTATGGGAACTGGGCCATCTATGGGCGAGGAGGATGGGACGGCCTCTACCAACATTGTTTGGGCAGGGTGGTCATAAAAAACGGCATTTATTATGCTCATGTACACAGAGTCTAGATAGGCATTCGATCGTCAAAGTCGACGTACCCGATAGTTCGGGCCTCTCCCCATCTCTCTCTCCACCACTTCCACTCCATATCTTCCACTCGTTCTCTCTCAGCCTCTCGCTTGCACGCCAGGCTCCTCGCTCAACGTAGTTCCATTGCTACAAAAGAAGTTTTAAATTTACAGAGTGTCAGTGAGCAGCTTGTTGAGCTTGGCAAGCTTGGACGAGACGCTAAGGTCAATTGTCCTGTCGCCGACCTCGACGACGAGACCGCCGACGATGTCGGGGTTCACCTGTGTTGCGTGGTCAGAGATGAAAAGTCGGGTTAAGGGAGGGGTAGCTGTCTGAAACATACGGTGTTCTTGACCTTGAGCTTCTTGCCAGCGCCGACGTAGCTCGACTTGGAGACGGCAGCCTCAAGGCGAGAGAGAGTCCGGTTGTCAAGGGGCTATTGCAGTGAATGAATCCGTCAGCAATCAACACCGCATGTCCTGCTGTCGCAGGCCTTTATCTCCTCACAATATAACCATCGATATCTACCTACCTGCGCGCTAGTAACGACCAACTCAACCTCGCCGCGAGCTGCGCTCATGAGCTCGTTGAACTTGGTGCAGACACCGGGTAGGAGGCCAAGGCGGTTGTTCTCGGCCAGGGTGGTGAGGAAGTTCTTGACGGTTTCGCCGGAGGCACCGGCGTTTTTCTGCAACTCGGTCACGACGGCGGTCTTGTCGGCGGCGGACAGTGTCGGGGCCTCAAGGATGGTGACGAGGTGGCTGTCCTTCTTGATCAGGCTGCCGAGGGCGGCGAGGCCCCGGGCGGTGGGTTCGAGCGAGGAGGTCTTGACGGCGGCCGTGTACTATTGTTGGCACAAAAGGCAAAATGACGCAGGTTAGTCGCTTGTTGCTATTATTCCTTTCGCCTGTTTCCTTGTTCATGCAATTGAACCGCCCAAGCCAATCCATCAATCCACCCATCCGTTGACCAACCCCATAGACCGACGATATATCCAATTGAGAGGGGTGGCGGGCGCATACCAGAGCAGTGGCATATGTGCCGTCGAGGCCGAAGAGGGTGACCGGGGGCTTGACCTTGTCGCTGGCAGGCGCTGCGGCAAAGGTACGGGTCTGGCCGAGGAAAGCACGCTGGGGAGCGGCCACCCACGCGGAGCGCAGTAATGCCTGTCGCGAAAACATGGTGACTAGTAGTCGGGGTAGGTTGCGGTGCGATGCGAGGGCCTCGAGGTGTCGTGAAGCGAGCTCCAGTTCAGTTTTCAGACTGGGCTTCGGCAATCCGGTTTGTGGCCTGAGGCAGCTGGCAGCTGGCGGGCGGGACCGGGTCAGAAATAAGGTCTTGGCGTCTGGTACGAACCTGCCCGGGATTCAGACGGCCCATTTTTTTGTTTCTCAATACCACGCTTTGCCTTGGCCATTACTATCGCTTGGAAGAGGTTGGAATCAACTCAAAAAAACCAACTGCATTCACTATTTCTTCACAGTAATTCCTACAAGAAGACCGCCCTTCCAAAAACACCGAGGCACCGCGAGCCATGCAATGGCACCGAACCATAACCCCATATTACCGTCCGTAAAGTCCCGTATGCTCCTTCTACCCAGACAAAGCTCTTCCCTTGAATCCTGATCGTATCACGGAACGACAAATCCCAAAACGCCGTTATGCAGAGAAACCTCCAACAAGCCGGTATCTCAAAGCACGAGAAGAGGAGGAAAAGAATCAACGTCAACACAACGGTTCAGTCGCTACGCAGCATGCTATCGACCAGATCGCCTAAGGGGCCCCAGTAGTCCTTGCCACTGGCAAGGCTGTGCTCGTCGATGAAGAGCACGTACTGCTTGAAACTCGTGTTCAAGTGTGGCTCAAGGCCGAGCTCGTGGATGACCGCATAGTGGTGGCAGTAGATATGGGCGTAGACACGGTACATGCGCTTGAAGATTTGGCGCACCAGCGCAGGGAACGACTTGGGGAACGGCACACCTATTGTTCAACGCCTGTCAGTCTCTGCGATGTTGGCCTTGCAGCCCTACGGTTTGTGTTTCAACCCGGGTTGGTTGGTGTCTTACCGATCCGACTCGGCAGGACAGCCTCGTTGTCAATGCTGCCCTGAACCCAAGACATCAGCTGTTCAATGTACGCCGGTGCCGGCATCTTTGTCGGTCGCTTGTAGTTTTCGGAGTCCTGCCACAAGTATTCGAACCTAACACATCAGCTTGCAGCCCATTTGTTGTTCCCGCATGTTTCGTAACGTACTCGTCCGTGGCCTTCATCTCGGGGCATGACTGCGGCGAGCAGAATTCGGTAATGGCGCCATAAAGCAGGTTGATCTGGTTGTAGAAATCCACCACTTGGGGGTATCAGCTTGAATTCTCCACAATTGGCGCGAACAAATCTCAATATACGACGTACTGTTGACAGCCAACCACTCATTCTCGTCCTCGCCCTCAGGCAACTTCACCACCTTACGCAAGCTGCCACCACCAAGCGTAGCCTCTGCATACTGGCGAAGCTGGTAACTCGTTGCGCCGCCTTTGCCGGGGCCCCGCGGCCGAAACTGGTTCTTCGTCCGAGCGTTGCTGTTTTCACGCGCATGTTAGCTGACATCTTTTCGGCGTAACTGGTCGCTGCATGTGACGCGCCCAAGCGTAGGCAATATCGGGGTTCAAAACACCAAAGGTGTGGGTTCGAGGACAGGGTAACGGGGGAGGGGTACAATCTGCGCGTTTCCATGGTGAAGATTTGCTTCGCTTGCAATAGGGAAATTAACAAAGAACTCACACGGTCGTAAGAAAGGAACTCATGGTCAAGTAGATCTAGGGACCCAGGCTTTCAGAAAGTATGGCACTATTTCCTGAACTGAAGGGGTCCCGGACCAAGGACCTGCGTTAGCGGGGCAGCTCTTGTTATGACGCAGCTGAGCAATCGGATCTCAGGAGCACCCACTCCACAGGCGGAGTCAAGGGGGAGGAGGAAAATGCGCACCGATGTTGTGAAGAGAAATAAAAGTTTGGAGTAAAATTGGGGTTGGAGGATATCGTATGGTGGGCGATGAGAATATTCCGCCGGAGGACGACGTTGCTGCTATGGATTAGCGGGTCGGTTGAAGTCGAAAGTCAACAAAGGTGCATCGATGCGACATGGCCAGCAACGGGCACCTGCCCCAGAGTGTTGTTTACGTCCGCTGGGCTGCCCGCAGCGGCGTGACAGGGGGGCAGCGCCCCGGTTTGGCGGGGCCAACGACGCGAATTAGGGGCATGGAAATGTGACATTCCACTGCATTTGCTGTTTTCAGAAACGTCCTCACAAATAAATAAAATCTTCCGTCTCTCTACACGAATGGAGGCGCCTGGTCATGGGATACCTCCTTCTAACAAGTTTGAGCGCTGTTGCCAGCCTGTTGCTCGAGTTTCCATCTTGTCAAACGGCCCAGGGTTTCACCATCACAAAGCATTTGTTTATTCAGCTAGGGCTGGCTAATTGCACCCTTTCCCCTTGGTTTTTTCAACTTTGTCATTTACTGTGAGGGTAGCTAGATACTTATAGGAGTACCGCAGGCATGTTTCTGTCGGCGCTTCCGAGTGGTAGTTTCGATACAAATCCAGTCCCCGGCCTCAACCTTCTTAACAACACCTTCACTCCAATTTACCGGCTTAAAACTCCTAATCACTAGTCGCCTCACGTTCCTTGCAGGCATGTTTTTTAATGAAATTGTATCCATATGTCTACGCCCTGTAGACGGTTGTAATGGCGTAAGTCTCTGCTTTGCTCGAAAAGCCACACGGTATCCTTACCGTCACCGAGATTCAGGGGTAATCAAAAACTAGATCTCGGTACCATAAGCATGACAGCGCGCATGATTGGGGGGGTATTGGGCCTGGACTATTCGTATGGCTAGGGATCTTCCATGCTGGCGATGAGCTCGCTGAGGTTGGGAGACGTGGAGTGGGTGGTCGAGCACTTGCTGCACGCCATCTTTCGGTTTGACGATGCTCGGTACCCGGTGGGAGGATCAACCGCACTGGCACCGTATTTCCCCAACTCGGCTTCATCGCTTGTAGTAACGGCAATGATGGGGAGTAGGTTGGATGGTAGCGAAGCCTTGGAACGGCATTGGCCCAAGTCATCGCAAAAGGATGTGCATGTCGAAGTGGTTACCCGGCGTTATAATGGGCATAAGACTGGCGACTAGGCTAGTCCTGTAGGACTGGAAACAATACCTCTTTTCGAGCTGTTTATAGCGAAAATGGTAGTAAACAGTGGTTAGCTATCTCCCCGATAGCTTGGCGCTAAGAATACCATCGTTGCGATTTTGCGTCATAGCTTGAACCTGTGTTGGGATTATGTCCCTATGATTCTTGTGGGCCTCGTGCCCCCAAACTCCATGGAGCGGTCGGAGAGCATTTCACAATATTCTGCTTCCAAACCGCCGTTTCCCTCTTTTCTTGGCCTCCTCCGCCCCCCTTAGTCCTCCCTGTCCCCCGTCCACCATCGGTGTCAAAATCCCATCACAACAGAACCTCGCCTACGTTCTCGCCCTCAAACCCTTCCTTAGAGAGCATCTTTACTTTCTGCTTTTCCTTCGCCTTATCTTGCTGCTTGCGCTTCTTCGATAGTGTCTGCACAAGCTCGACTTCGGCCAGGTCATAACCCGGGGGCGCGTCGTCCTCCTTGTCAAGGTCGATTTCGCCTAGCAGCAGCACGTTCTCGCCGCGCACGAGGAACAATCCACGATCGATATCCGCGTACAGACCTCGCGGCTGGTCGGGCGCCGTCTCTGGGGCCACGAATATCCTCTCCTTAGTGGACTGCAGTACTAGGTTTGCTGCATCGAGGGTGTTAACTCAGACAACTACTCCCTCTACCTCCTTGCTTCTTAGCTCCCCCTGTGGTGGCTCCTACCGAACTGGTCCCAGCTGCGCAGAATACCCACAAGCTTGCGCCCATCACGAAGTGCAACCATGAGTTTTTCTGGATGCGGGGGTCAGTTGTGCCTTCCCTCCAACACGATGGTACATATCTCGCTCACTATCGGTTAGGTCCAGCAGTTGGGCCGCGGTAGTAAACATCTGCGCCGGCAGCTGCTGGAGAGGCGGAGGGGGGCGGCCGAGAATGGGCGGCATCCCCCCCTGGCCGCCGACGCCGGCGTGGTGTTGCAGAGGCGGGGGAGGGGCGTCGGAAATGGTGAGATTCTCCATTACGGGCGTTTATTTTCAACGGGCTACGGGCCCCGCGTCATGAGCTGATCGATTTCTCTGTGGGTTTGTACCAGCACATTGGCGTTTCGTTGGCAAAAAAGCTTATACGGGCGGTTTTCGGGTCCCGAGTCGTGTTGTCTCAAATGTCGCTTCGGCCGTTTTGTTTCTGCATGGTGCCTTGCGTCGAAATATCGAAATATGGAGCTTTGCTGTGAGACGGGCAGGTTCTGTGAGTCGATGCCAATTGCAGTTGCCTGACAGGATGCCCGTGCTAGGTTCCACAGAGGCCGTCGCTTGAAGAACCGACCCCACTACGGACCCATTCCCCTTCACCACAGCTGTACCTGATTGGCTAATAGGCCACCTGCAAGCCACACCTGAGCGTCAGACCACAGCGGCAGCCACAACGCCGTTTGTCAGGCCTTGTGCCGGCGCGCTGGCTCGAGCCGGTTGTCGGGACCTGCGCTGTGGGCAAGTGATTCTCCTGCAGGCCGTTATTCTCTCTTCTGCATCCCGAGCAGAAATGACAAACGCCCACAGAACCTTTCTTTTCCAACTTGAACACACCTCGACAGCAAAAGATGTACCGTTATATGTCTTGCACCCCAAACTCCCTTTATAAGATTTGACCTCACAACACACACTGCCCCGAGCAAACCATTTCCCGTTCGCTCACTTATTCGCCTGGTTTTACTCTCCGTCCTCGTCTCGTGCCCCAGGCACTCCCCTCGACCGGAACCTACAACACCACCGAGTTTTCAATTTTATTTCTCACGAAATGGCGACAACAGACGCCATTATGACCGAGGCTCCCGCCGCCCACCGGGTAGACCGTCGCGCCAACGGCTCTCCGCCCCCTCAGTCCAAGCGTGACAAGCGCCGCCAGATGCTTGCCGACCGCCTGGCCTCTCTCTCGGATAAGCTCAACAAGGACAAGGACCAGGTGTTTCGCGAGCAACTGCACAAGATACAGATTGATACAACATTGGTTATGAGGGTGGACCCTTACGTTGACCGGCCCTTGGACAACTTTGAGCAAGACCAACAGAGGCTGCACCAGCTTAACGGAGACGCCGATGGCCAGCCTGGGCCACAGACGCTGCTCGACCGAGCCGGGCCGAGGTTTTCTCAATGGATGGAGAACATCCAAGACTTGGTTGAGGAGCGCGACTACGCCTTGACAAAATACAAGGTGTGTGATACTTTCTGGCACTTTTTTTCCCCACTCCCTTGCCTTGTGGATTAGCAGACTAGTCGGATTGCTAATCGGCATGCCCACTACGTAGTTTGACCACGAGAAGAAAACCTCCGAATACCTCACGACACACGCTTTTAAAGCGGAAACGGCCAACCGAGAGTACCGGGCATTGTCGCAGACGCTCCGCGACCGATTGATCAACGTGATCCTGAGCAAAAAATCCCGATTGAACAAGGAGAAGGAAGCCCTCGAGATATCGGACGCCTCGGCCCTGCTACTGCACCCCAACCAGTTTAGCATCACCAATCCCGCAAGCCCAGGGGGTGCGCACGGCAAGCGGGCCACGCGGCAAAGGCGAGAGATTGAGGACATGACTTTTGAAGGCAAGAAGAGGAAGCGACTGAATAACAATAACGATGACGACGGTTCGCCTGCGCCCCAACGGAGGGTACTGGATCCCACCGTCACGACGCCGCTCTGGCAGACCGATCGTCTAGCTACGCGCAAGGCCACGGGCACCGTATACAGCCTCGACAAGCTATTCACAGATAAGGAGCTGGGGATGGCGTCTAGTGCAGCGACCCTGGCGGCTCGCAAGTACATCCTTACCCATAAGCCCAAGCTTGACGAGAACGGCCGGCCGATCAAGTCCTCGGACAGCAGTGACTCTGGTGCTGGCGACAATAACGAAGATGATTCGGACTCAATCCCTTCGGCGCCCATGATGGAGCGGAATGTGTCGCATGCCACTCGCAGCGCCAGAGGAGGCGCTAACAACCCGAACTTTCTCGACGACAAGCTCATTGGCATGGAGATGCTCGCCAATTTTGACTTCCAGGGTAACTTTGACCGCATGTTAGCGTCAGACCCAAAATTACCGCCGACCTTTCCGTCAACCTATACTAAGGCTAGCAAGCTGGAGTATAACGTACCAACCATGCTTAGCTCCGAGGATTCGCAGAGCGACCTGTTGGTCATGCAAGCGCTTCGGCAGTACGACGACACGCACGGCGTGGGGTCCAATTTTTCAGTAGAGAACGGCAGTCGCAAGCTGCTGGAGGCGGCGTCCATGCCAGCCCAGGATGCGCGGTTCGTCGCGTACCTCCAGGGAGAACGGCCGTCAGAGAACCAGGTCCGCAAGCAGTTGGGGTTGCCGATCTTGTCTGATACCGTCGAACCGGTTATGTCGGAGCGCGCAGCAACGCCCAAGCCCGGTTATGGCGGGACGCCCGGCCCATCGCCAGCTAAGGGGGCGGTGCTTGGAGGCGTGTCTATGAGCCGACAATCGAGTGCGAACGGGGTGCCGATGAGTAGGACGAGTAGTCGTAAAGGGGGACGGGGTGGGCGTGGGGGCTAGCCGGTGGGCGATACAAAACCGGAGAGTAAGAAAACAGGAATGGTTACGACAACAATAGTGGAGGTGGTCATTCAGGCACTCCGGGCATGCATCTTTATTTTTCTATCACAGTATCAGGCGTTTCCGCTTCTTCCTCCCCCTCGGTAGCGCAGGTATCAGCGCCCTCCTAGCTTACGGCACGGTGTTCTTCTTTTTCCTGTTTTCTTCTATCCAATCATGATATACGGGGTGGATGGAGGATGATGGCCATCCGGTACTTGCACAGCCGTGGCAATGGCAAAAGGCGTTTGCGCCTGACATGTACTTTTTTTGCTTGGATAGTTTTGATTTATACCCGACGCTTTATGTCCCAATACAGTAGTATTTCTTTGCTCACCCAGTCTGAAGCAGCTTTCTAGTTAATGCACACCGTCCGAGTACTATGCTGTCCAACCCATGATCGTAAACCCAAAGCAATGCTAAATGAATGATGATTGAACAAACACCAAGTGAAGGCAAAGGAGAAAGAGAGAAAAATCAGGGACTACGCCCCAAAAACCAATGCCCGCACCTCAATACTCTCCCTCGGCTCTGCTCCCTCCCTCGTCCTCGGGTCTTCAAACGCCGTGTGCGGCACCCGTCCCCCCTTCACCTTGACGTTGTCCTCCTTCAACGAGTCACTGTCAAAGCACTCCAGCAAAATCCGCTCCGCCCCAGTCATCCCACTCAAGTAATACCACTTCTGCCCTTCATTATGCCGGATCGCCGCCGTCTGGCCCACATACCCACCTGCACTAGCTGGGTAACGGTGCTCGACGGGGATGACGTCGGTGTCGAGTAGCGTGGCTGACGAGGCATAGGCCAGCGGGGAGGATTCAATGGGCGAAGCGTTGAGGGGACGCCAGACGTTGATGATGCGGTAGCGCGAGTTTGAGAGCAGGTCCTCGGCTTCAGACTCAGAGGCGGCATGTCGACGGACACGATTGGCGGTGGAGTGTGCTGTTTGGTCGATGTGTACGCGTGGCACGGGGCCGCGGGTGCTATTGGGGCGGCGGATGGTGTCTGGGCGATGGTCAGTACGGAGCTAGACTTGTGAAAAAAAAAGGGGGGATGGAGTTGAAAGCGAGAAAGAAAAGATGAGCTTACGGTCAAAGATGATAACCTTGTTCGCGCCGGGCACGGCATCTAGCAGCAATTTCTCCACCTCCGGGTAGTAGTTCTTTTTGATCGACTCGTCGTCCGTAAAGTCCTTCTCTGCGGAGGGCGGTTGGTTGGTCAGGATCTGGAAGGCGTCGTGGTCGAGCGTGAAATTCTTCTCTTGGCCGCGGGCATCGTGAATCACGACCTGATGGGCCTCTTGACCGTAGTTACGCGGGGTCACACCCGGGGGAACATCACCGGCTAGGTTCCAAGGAGCGGAGCCGTCGGCGGGCGGGGAGTAGAAGTTGAGGTCGGTGACGACGTCACCGCGGGGCGGGATGTGGGTGATGGCCATTGTGTTGAAGGAGATGGAGGCAATTGTTGTAACTGGCGTAGGTGGTGAAGGTGATGTTGCTTCAGAGTGGACTGAACAGGATCGGACAGAACGAGACAAGTGCTTGAAGTAGATGTCACTAGATAGGAAGTGGAAGACTGATGCTGAAACGGGGACTTGATGTGAATAGTTATCATTCATGTATATATACTCCGTCTGTGGGTGTGAATTGATAATACAATATTTCCAAGCAGTTCCTCCGACTCGCGAGATGGAATCGCGCCCGTGACGGCAACGTGCTTCCGAGTGCCGGTTGCGCAATTGACCATGTCATAGCCAGGGCGAAATGGTTGTCCATGTGAACTGCCAAAAATACAGACCGCAGTGGAAGGGCGTTATGTAACACATATCGATGTCATCCAAGGTTTCATTTGTCATGGGCATCGTAATGGTTGCCAAAAAACTGCTGATTAATAAAGTAAACCCGGGGTAACAAATAGTGTATACTCAAAGGGACCTCGAGGTTTCGCTCTGAAGACCGAGATCGAGTAGTCGTCCCAAGTGCCATGGAGAATAACTAAGCCGACAGCTCTTAACTAAATGCAGGGCGGGGCTCAACGGCCAAGTGCGGGACAACCTTTTCCCTTTCAACGGTTCACATCGGGTCCGTGCCCCGCAGCGAAAATGGCCGGTGATTGGTTGCGGGTCGGCAGCATACCTTACCAAAAGGGGCATCATGTAAACAAAAGTGGTGTGGATTTCGGTGCCGCACAGCGACTTTGCAATTGGCTCTCGCATCCTCCACCTGCATCAATTGACTTATCGATACCGAACACGCGAAACTTTGGACTGCGTCGCGTCTTGGATCGCTGGCACCGACGAACCCTGTCTATACCTTTTTTGGCCTTTTTTAGTGTTTAAATTTCTGTCTGGCTTCTTTTTATTGCTCTTGTCTATATCTCCTCCTGGCGAAGGCGGGAATGCCGCGATGGACGAGGAACGCACCATAACGCTCGATCTCGGTTCATCTCCCGACCCGTTGATCGACCCCATCCTCAGTCCGCCTATGGTCCCGCCCTCTACCGTCAAGAAGAAGAGCCAGGCTGCCGGACGCCTCTTCACGGCCCTTGCACCGTCACCGCGAAAGCAAACGTTCGAACTCGATGTCGGAAACGAGCGAACCCCACAGAGGCTACGAGTCACGGTCGAGGCCGAAGACGAGGCCACGCGCAACACTAGTCGCCGACTGTTCCAGTCCCCCACTCCGAAGCAGCGACGTCTGACACCGCGGCGAGAGACCATTGTCACGACATCGGTGCCGCTGCGTGGCCTGAGTGACGACGAAGGAGGCGCGTCAGCTACCGCGACACCGCGACGGAGGGGTCGTCCGCGGAAGTCGGGTACACCTGCGACAACAACACGAAAACGTCCAGGCACACCGGCCAAGGCGGGGCGAAAGAGCGGGGAACGCGTTTCGGTTTCGCCGGCTAAGGACGTGCCCACGTCCGACATTGGGACACCGCGTTCTGGCGCGCAAGCTAAGGGGACAAAGCGCAAGGCGACATCTCCTGCAAAAGGCGACGGCGCGCCTGCAAGCCAACCGCGTAAACGAGGGCGACCAAGGAAACAAACTAATACCGCTGACGAGATTGCGCGCTTGGGAGAAGAAAGCCCTTCCAAATCTACAGACCGAAATGGCGACAGCTTCGTGGCACTACCGATACAACCGCAACCGGCCAACAAGGACGTGGAGGAGGACGATATTTGGCTCGCAACCATGTCCGACCAACCGACCCCGACTATTTCGAAGCAGAGTCACAGCTACCTACCCGACCCGGAGTCTGAGCTGGCCCGAGATGAGTCAGATTATCCAGAATATGGTTGGGCGGATATGGGTGGGGGAGCGGATTCACATAGCGAGGGGGGGTCACTGGCTAGTGAGCAAGGCGACGAGCCAGGCGACGAGCCAGGCGACAATACCATGATGGCCGAGGAATTTACAATGATCTCCATTGGGTCTTTACCATCCATGCAGCCCAACTCCAGCGTGATGGCCCCGGCGCATGAGGACCTCGGTGATGAAACGAGTCTGATTATCAACGGCGCGCTGGAGTCGTTGAGGCAGAGCCAGAATCGGCCTGTTGAGGAAGAGCTTCCGGGTGAGCCAACCCCGCGCGCGGCCAAGACTCGGCACGATTTGGTCGACTCCCCGAGGGGGAACCATATTCAACTACGCCAGGAACAGGAACAGGAGCAATTGCAGCTCCCACCGCCCTCCCCATCCTCACGAACGCTGCGAAGGAGCCCCCGCAGGACTACGGCCCAGCCACTGGCTAGAAAACTGGCTGAGAAGAGCCTCCAGCAAGCCAGCCGCGAATCGCTTGTGCCCGCGCCCGAGCCCGAGCTCGCCCCCTCGCTCCACCAGCCCCCAACCTACCGACCGCAAGAGACCGACACTGAGCAACACGATATGAGCACTGCCTATGACGATTCCTTCTCCGATATTCCGGAAGAAATCCTAATCGCAGCAACCCCGCGTCGGTTCCGGAAGAAAATCCAACGGGAGGAACAGCCCGTGGAAGATGAGCTAGTCCAAGCGGCCGTCGAGGATATCCAGCCCTCCATTGAGCGGCCTTCAAGAGTGAACCACACCGACCCCCATTCTGAGACAAAGAGGATGTTGACACCTGATGAGACACCGTCGCCGCTACCCGTCGCGCCCGAAGCACACGGTCCCGATCCTAATCCTGACCTTGAACCCGACCTCGAACCCGAGCTCCATCCCCCACAACTCACCTCTTTGAGCGCCGCCGACCTCCCCTCATCCCCGCCGATCGAACAGCGAAGCCCCAGCTTCCCCACTCAGGCCGCCGCCACACAGCATATCCGCCGGCACTCGACCGAAACACCCGCCGAACGACTCCCCGGCTCCTTTACATCGTCCCGCAACACCAAAAACAGCTCAGGCAGCGGTAGCGGCAGCCGTGACGCTCGCCTTTCCTCTGGCCAGGGTACTGCCCGACACCTGCATCTCACCGTGCCTGAACCCGAACAACGCCGCCCGACACTGTCACCCATCGTCCGGGCAGGCCGGGCCCTCCAGCTCATCACCTCTGACCCGCCGTCTCCGCCCGAACGAGATAGCATGCTTGGTAGTCCCTTCCGTGGTTCGGTACCGCCCAAGTTGAGCCCGTCACCCGCGGCGCCGGGGAGTACAGTAGGCTCTGGTGCTGCTGCCCCACCAATGTCACAGACGCGACCGCACTATTCGCAACCACAGGCACAGCCGCTATCGCAGGAACAGGCTTCTCCCTCATCACGCAAATCATGGCTTAGTGGGCCGTTGAGCCAGATGAGGAATTTCATTGTTCGCAGCGCGCAGTCGCTTTCGCCTACGCGGGTGTCCGTTTCGGGAGCGGAGCGCATGGATGATCCGTTTGGGCCAGATGCGATAGAGCCAGGCTCGCAGAGGGAGAGGAGCGCCTCCTGCGGGTCAGATTCCGTGCGCAAGATGTTGTTTAGTGGCTCTTCTGCGAGGAGAAGTCATGAGCGGAATGCTGGTGTAGCAATAACTGCGGGCAGTCCACCAGTTAGAGGGACCGCGGCTGTGCGAGATGAGGATGAGATGAGTTGGCAAGAGGAGGGTGGCAGTCCCGCTGGGGAATCACAAAGGCTGGCGTCTCCTGATCTAGGTGGCGATGGTGCGGGTGGACGTGGGGTTCCCAATAACGCGCGTTTGCATGGCTCGCTTATTCGGGAGGCACCCCCAAGACAGCACGAGTTGGGACGTTTAGCCGCGGGTGCTGACTTTGACCAGCCTATGAACGGGTGGGAGGAAGTGGTTGAGGAAGAAGAGCATCGAGAAGAACATGCCCAAGATGAGGAAGACGATGACATCTGGGCCATCGAAGCTCAGCGACCCACCCCTCACAAGCCAAGGCATGCTCTCGCGAAGCGGGATATCCCGAATAACCCCCTACAAATAGCTCCTACGCAGAACTCGTGGGGGGAGGACAACCAGCGGCGTAACTACAGCGAAGGGGTCGAGGAGGAGCATTTGGGTTCGGGGGCTGTCCGAAGGGACAAGACATTTGGACAGCCGACCACCAGTGTTCAAACCCGAAGGGAACAAGTCCCCGTTCGTTTCAGCTCGCTGGACGAGGACGAAGAGTTCAGCATGCTTTCCCAAAATCGTCTTCGACGAGCACCCACGCCCGCCAAACCCTTACCACCTAAGAAACCGGATCTTTCCAACTTCTTCTCCTCGCCCGCTCTCCTTCCAGGTATCGGAGACCAAGCACCGGGTGACGGTGTATCAAGAGCGCCCGCAGTGCCTAGGGTTGGGGAATCGAATTCCACTGTGCCTAAGCCGCGGACCTTGGCGTCCCAACGGTCGCAGTCGAATGGAAATGGTTTGTTTGCGCAGTACAAGGAACCGCGATCGCGATCTCAGTCCCCGCATAAACAGCTAGAGATTGGGCCTCGTCATCGGAGCGTTGATTTGTTCTCTACAGTGCGGAAGAGTGTTGAGCGGAGCAGTCCTGAGCCAAGTTCTGCCGCTGCTCCTGCTCGGCCCGTGCCACAAGCTTCCTCGCCGGCAAGTCCACTCGACGAAGAGAACTTAGGGCATATTCCCCAGAAGCTGAACTTTACTCCTCGCCAACGCGAAGCCCGCGACAACACCAACAACGCGCTGTTTCAACCGAAGCCTGTCGGCGCACCATCCAACTCGCTCTTCGGAAACCGCAATACCCAAATCTCAGCTTTCTTCTCGCAATCGCGCTCAGGGCGGCCGCAGCCAGGACGGCAACAGGAACGAGAAGACGATTACTACGAAGAACAAGACGATCAGGAATCGGCCTTTGTGGCCCCAACGCTTAAAGCCCTTCCCGACCGTGCCGTGCCGCCAGGTAAATCCTCCATTCGCTCGCCTCTCAAGCCCAAGACGCCCGGCCGCGTGGTCGAGTTCACTAGTAGCACTTTGTCCCCATTGGCACAGGCACAATCTCGAGCTGCACAGCGCTCGGGCTTGTCACTGGAGAAGGAAATGGGAACAGAGACAGGCGACGGAAAGGGGAAGCAGCAAGAGCTAGGCCAGAGTCAAGGTTGGGGCTTGGGCTGGGGGGTGAACGGCAGCCTGGGAGACAGAAGGGGAGAGGCGGACAAGGAAAACCGCGCGTCGTCGTCTTCAGCGTCGCCTGTCTTGTCACTCTCCCGGTCTTTGTCTCTATCCCCGTCTCCGTCACCCTCTCCATCGCCGAAGCCACACCGACGCCCTCTATCTTCATCACTGCTTTCTTCGTCATCCACATCCACAGGTACGACCACCACCATTCCCAGCCTCACCAACCATGCCCCTACGAGTGTTGTCAATGCCACTCCCACATCAAGCACAGCCGCCAACAAGCAAAACACTACCCGGCATTCACAACCCCACCATCAACAACACCCACAACAACCTGACCACCCACCCCCCACCACAAAATGGACCCGCACCCACTGGCTCCGCCTCGACGAGCTACTCCAAGCCCGCAAGCGCGGTATCCACCAGCTCAATCTCGAACTAGCCAACCCCGAGTCCAACTCCAACCCCTACTCAACAAGGCCACCGCCGTCCCAACTCAGCGGCCGTGAATCACAGGCCCTGCGCCTCAGTCTGCTGGGTAAGCTGGTTTCGGCGCAGGGGGAACGGATGGCGATTGAAGGGTGGCATTTGGATGTGGTGGAGGGGTTTTTGAATGAGATGCGGAGGTCTGGGGGGGTTGTTGATAAACGCTCTTCCACGTCACTTGGGTCGTTATCTAGGTCTCGGTCTGGGTCTGGGTCTGCATCTGGATCTGGGTCTTTGGAACGGTTCGGGGATTGGTGGGGAGTTGATGATGGCGATGATCCTGGTGATGAGGCGTTGCGTGGAGAGCGGAGGGATAGTGATCACAGTGGGCTTTGGGATGGAGCGCAAATTGCGAAGCGGGTGTTTGCCTTGTTGGTGGGTGAGGAGAGGAGGAGATTAGGGTTAGTGCCAGTTAGGGACTGGCATGAGAGAGAACTTTGAGTTGCTCGGAGGCACAGGGCTTGGATGTTGGTGTAGGGTTTCATCGAGTTGAGTATCAACGAAGCATAGGGTGGATCCGTACCTGTTGGGTTCTGCAAGTTGACTACCTGCCTACATTGGAGGACGGACTGTTGGTATTATAACCTTTTGGCGAGATGAATGATGACCGTAATGATGGGAGGCTTGGACATGTGGGGTTTCTGTCAAGGTAGGACAAGACACTTGCTTGGGACGGCGTTTTGGACATTCATACATGTAGGGACTTGATACCAGTTGATACCACAGAAGTGATGTACTGTTTCAATCACGCCCGCTCCTCTAGGTCTCAGTGTATGTATTTGCGTGTTGTCTCCCCCCGGCTGGTATTGATTACAGAGCCCCCTCAGAGATCCCACTCACTTCCTCACTCTAGCATCGACGCCTGGTTCGTGTAAAGCACGTCGACCACGTTGCTCAGCTTCTCAATGGTGGCTAGCGCGGCGTCATACGAATCATCCCGCTGGGTCTCGTCAAAGATAATCAGGCAGCCGGCGCCCTGGTCAAGCACGCCGATAATGACCTTGTCAAGGATCATCTGCGATAGCTTGCGCTCGACCTGCTGGGTGTCGAGCCCCACCATCTTAGCGATATGGTTGATCTCGACGCGGCTAAAGGGCTCGATGACCTTGATCAAGTTCTGTTCCAGCATGGCGTCGTACAACCGCCGCAGGTGGTTGCGCACAAACGCGTCACTGCCCAGCTCGTACTTGTACGCTGCCAGTGCCCGCTCGTATTCCTCCAGCGACCGGTTCGAGTGCGCCCGCGCAATCGCCTTCATAGCCTCGAGCGACTTGCCCGCGTACTTGAGCGCCTGCTTCGACGTCATCAGCTGGTTGACATCGTCCGCCAGGTTCAGCATGATCTTGCACAAGAGCATGTACTGCAATGCCGCCTGCGCCCGGGCCGGTTCGTCCTGTGAGTGGTACCCATCTAGCGCCTCGATGAAGTAGCTGAACGCCGTCTGGAAGTCCTTGTCTTCTGCGTGAAGCATCCCTGACTGCATATCGAGGTTGGCTTGCAGCAGTGGCGGCGTATACACCGACGCGGCCGACGTGCGGGCGCTGGTGAGCGCCGCCCGACCCTTGGGGATGTTGCCGAGTGCGTGGTAGACTCGTGACTCGAGTAGCTGTACTTCCACCAATACTAACTTGTCATCCATGCGCTTCAATTCGCGGAGCAGGCCGTTGATCAAGGTCAGGGCGTCGTAGTATGATTGCTTCGCCATGTACAGCGTCACGAGGCGTGTCTCCAGGTTTTGTCGGAGGAAGCTTCGGCGTTCCGACGTGGCCCATTCTATCGAGGACTTCGTAACGGCAATCTGGATGTCGAGAGAGTTGGGAATGGCTTCGAAGAGGTCGAGGAGTTGGCGGACTGTGGGGCACGTTATGTTAGAATCGAGGGGCGCCTAAAGCATCAAGACGAATATCTCCGTACTCAGCTTGGCTGTTTTTGCCTTCGCAAAGGACGACAGCACTGTCCTGCTCTTGGTTACTAGCTCAGCGAGCTCATCTGTGTTTCTGCGCCGTATGTCAGACCTCTCGCGTCTCTTTGGCTTCCCTCCTTTGTTATCGCCTAACCGGGCCCACCTACTTCTGGTCGCGGTAAAGCTCCCCCAAACTAATCAAGGCTGTCTCATATTCCTTGACCGCAGCATCGGAGTTGACGGATGGCGGCTTCGAAATGATGTCCTTGTAAATTTCCGCCGCCTTTTTTGGATTCGACTTGGCTAGCTTCTGAGCCTCGCGCACTCTCTCCGAGTCGCCCTGCGCCATTGTGAAAGATTCGAGACGTGGGGTGTGGTTCGGCGGGTTCGATTTATCGATGGCTTAACCGTGAGGAAGGTAGAACGATCCGTAGAACTAGTGGTCGGAATTTGACAGCACGAGGTCGTAGTTTCCGGTGTCGTGAGGCGGTTCTATTATTGGTGTTGGCGATGGTGTTGGGTGTGCAGCGGCCGTTGCAGGTTCAAGGTGCAGCGCCCGCCTCGCCGCCAAGTGCCTGGTGCCCACAGCAGCTAGGTTGCCGCCCTGCGACGTAATGGGCATTGGCGGCAAGCTCAGCTTGATGGATCCACCAGCTGTGGCTGTTATGTGGCTGGTGTTCCAGGGCGGTGAAAGTTTCTGCCGCTAGACCCCGCCAAAATTTAGAGCTGGACCAGGGGTGAATTGGCCCGTCGTTTAAGCTTCGCGAGTCCCCAAACCGCGACACTGCGACTCAAGGTCCAACACCGAAGCACATCAATTAGAACCGCCCCCGATCTCGCCTGTGTATGACATTCAATAGTTGTATCCGATCTTACATTTATACATCAACATGAAGGTATGGCTCGGCGATGAAGCCATCAATAGCGACCCTTCTAGAGATCTTCAAGAACATGGTTGCCCGACACTTGAAGACTACCACTTACTAATCTGCAATTGCACGAGCAGATCAAAGCCCTTAGTCGAAGTATTTCGACACAGCAAGCGCCAGGCTCCGATGTGCAGCGCGCGCCGCGCAACCTCGCTCCCGAAATCCACCCGTTCGAACGAGCCAGGGAATAGTATGTGGACAGCCCAGAAACATTTGATTTGGACGGGATCTGATAGTTGGATGTAGCCAAAGAGCTCTCAATGCGGTCAAATTGTGAGAATAGCCGAAAACGACACCGATTATGGAGAGATAGACTGACTCGTCTAGGGAGCGCATGTTTGCCAAGCCATTCCTCGGGCAATTGGGGAACGGGCACGTCCAGGGCGTATACAGCATGTGCAAGGTTGGTTTTACTTTGGTGGAATCAAGGAGGTTTGGTGGCAAGGCTGACTTCCCATAGGACAAGCATTCGTTGAACTCGGTAGCATCTGGGTCCGGCGACGGCGTGATCAAGGTGTGGGATCTGACATCACGGGATGATGAAGTATGGAGGACGGCCGCACAGTGGGTATTCACTCTTGCTCAGAAGAATAACCAGCCCCCTAACTCTTGGTCCAGCTCAAATATCGTCAAGGGCATGACCTTCACGAATGACAAGAAACTTCTCTCCTGCGCCACCGACGGTATCAAACTCTGGGACCCCTACAACACGCCAAAGGATACAACCCCAATTGCAACATGGCAGGAAGGCGGGCCATACACATCATTGTCCGCGCACAGGACAGGAAACTCTTTTGCCGCTTCATCCGGTGCCGGGTGTATTCGTGTCTGGGACCTGGAACAGAGCACTGCGGCACAGACAATACAATGGCCCAACTTCACCGACACCATCACCGACGTTTGTTTCAACCAAGTTGAGACGTCGGTTGTTGGATCTGTTGCGACAGACCGCTCGCTCATCTTGTTCGATCTGCGGACAAACAGTACGTTACCCTCAGATCGAGAACTCGACCATGGAAAACTAACCTCCAAACGCAGCGCCCGTTATTAAGACCGTTCTCCGGTTTGCGGCGAACCGCATCGTCTTCAACCCAATGGAAGCCATGAACTTGGCTGTGGCATCAGAGGGTTCGTGATTCTCATCATATGCGTGTGGTTGAGTGCGTCGCTGACATTCGCAGACCACAACATCTACATCTTTGACGCCAGGAACTTTGATCGCGCACAGAACATCCAAAAGGGCCATGTAGCAGCCGTCATGGATGTTGAGTTCTCCCCTACCGGTGAGGAGCTTGTCAGCGGCTCCTATGTAAGTGTCCCCCGGCACTTTCCCGCCAAACTTCTCACTAACACCATGTAAAGGACCGCACGGTCAGGATATGGAAGCGTGACCAAGGCCAGTCCCGCGACATCTACCACACCAAGCGTATGCAAAGGGTGTTCCGAACCATGTGGACCATGGACTCCAAGTACATGCTTAGTGGGAGTGACGACGTGCGTTTTCTTCTCCCCTACCTACTCTTCCCCTTAGTCCTCCATTTCTCCTCCTAACACCCTGTAGGGTAACCTCCGCCTCTGGCGTGCCAATGCCTCGGAACGCAGCGGTGTCAAGTCCACCAAGCAACGACAGGCGCTCGAGTACAACACGGCACTCGTGGAGCGCTACTCGCACATGCCCGAAATCAAGCGAATCCGTCGCCACCGCCACTTGCCCAAGGTGATCAAGAAGGCGGGCGAGATCAAGCGTGACGAGCTGGGGGCTATTAAGCGACGCGAGGAGAATGAGCGCAAGCACTCAGACAAGAAGTTCCAGAAGCGCAAGGGTGAGCGCGAGAAGGCCGTGCTGGTCAAGCAACAGTGAGGCACACTCCTGGTCTTGTGGTAGGGCAATGCGTGAGGTAGCGGCTGGGGACGATAATGTTGTATGAGATAAGATGGTGTGGTATGGTGGGGATATGGTGCTGATTTAGGTGTGGTTTGCGACTTTGCATTGGGCTGGCGTTGTCGGTGACTTTTTTGTTCTCGGGAAACAACCAAAAGGACGTGGTTAGGCATCATATCTGCTGTTATTTGGGGGCTGCGGGGTCCTGATACCATCCGAGTTTGGCGCTGGACACATATAGATGAGAAAAGGGGGAATGTGTATGCCATGTCATTGGCGACTACGGACTTTTCTCACCCATGGTGTCCATCTGCTTTTACTGCGCACGTTTCAGAACACGGTCATGCGATGGCGGGATATCAGGCCGCGATTCGGGCCATCATCAGGTATGAAGTGTCTAACCCTTAAAGACGACCCGGCGAAGCATATCCTGGCGATGAGGCCTTTCTGTTTTTTTCCGTTCCGTTCTGTTTTCGTTTCCCGGTTCATGCTAGTCACATACAGTAGTAGATGTACGCAATACCAAACAGGGAAGACGCCGGCTGAACAGTTGATGTTCGACTGATCAACACACCATCAACGGTGAAGGCGGTCTGAAACGGTGTTTATAAATGCGCTGTTTGTTTGGTTAACTGGGGTACTTGTCGCGGATGCTGCCGTCTAGAAAGCACCAGCTGTGAAGCCCAACGGGTCCAACAAGTAACGATGCCAGTCAGACTTAAGGGGAGGCACTTTTGAACATGACGTGACCTCTCAGAACAGATCTGCCAAACCCGTTCGGTGGGGATGATGACATTGGCAAATCAAGGCGTCCCCTTGCTCTCGCAACCTCTAGTACAAGTGCCTCGCAACCGAAGGGAGCCCGTGGATGGAAATGGGGGAAGTGGATGAGATATTCGCCCGGGGGGTGCCGATCTTGGCCGGTTTAATGGCCACGAAGCTTGGAGGTGAGCGGGTCGAGTTATGGAGTGAAGACGGGAATCAACTTGTAGATAGGCCTTTGAAAAGATTTGTCAGTCTGAAGAGAACGGAGGAAAGGGTAGCTTGCATGCGGGTGTACTAGCTCGTGGTTTTGGAGGTGTGTCGCATGTGGTTGACTGCCAAATCGGGGTTTGGGGTCAATTCTGGGTGGGCGGCTCCCAAGCACAAAGCTAAGTTGGATCAGGTTAGCGCCTGTAGCAGTCAAGCAGATGTTCCGTCTCCCGAGTCTCACACACCCACCTTCCTTTTCAGTTACTCCACCTTAAATCTTACTTTCACCACTTCCCGAGTCCATAATGGAAACGGGAGGAAAAAGCCCGTAAACTCCAAAACTCCCAGTTACTCTCATTTTCTTCAGTTTCACGATGGCCCGCATTGTGGATGTGTTCAATCGATATTGGAAAGAATCTTCGGGACGATCTGCGGCTCCCCGCGTCGATGAGACAGATGACGTGACACCCTCTGGCGACATCACCCCCTTCGAACACTAAGACCGGAGCGACACACTTGGCGAGCCATTTTCGCCTTCTTTTCGAGATACGGAGTGGTGAACCCATGGCAGTCAGCGTCTTTTGGGCCTTTCGCCCTTCCCGCATCACCTCTGACGCTATCCACCAACCCGGATTTTTCGCCTGTGTGTTATGGTATAGTATCGGTTAATATTGGAGCCAAAACTCGAACGGTGTCTGTTAACAGGTCCGAGGTTGCTACTGGACCCAAGATTTTCTGGTTCAGGGTCTTTGTCCATTTCCCATCAACATCGCCTTTCATCCGAATCAGTCTGCTATGATCCTCCACGGGCATGAAGATCGTCCCATCGACAGGTATCAATCTGACCCCCCAAGCCAAGGGTGTCGAGATGCTTGTGTTTCCGTGACAGAAAACTTCAAGCACCACATTTAGACACTAGCGTTTAGGATCCGCGGATGTCTGCGTAACGTTGCTCAGAGCACATTTGCTTCCCCAAAACGCGAAAGCCATCCACACACCGCTTTCACGGAATGGAGCTCTGAAACGAAAACCCCCAACCGATTCCCCGGCCGTCTGCCCGGCTTCCCGGGTTATCGAATGCTGCGTGCGGCCCGCGCGCACGGCACGGCCCCCTGGCCCTTGCACCTGGTTTGGATAAAGCAGAAGTGACCAGAGTAAGAGATATGACAGCCTACTAGCCGCCAGGGCTGTGACAGCCTCACCTTCCCCGGGCTACATGTTCTGTGCGTCGCATGATTTTTCTCCTCTACCCCAGTCGCATGACTACCACCCTTTGGGCTGACGGCCCTGGGCAGTTGGGGTTGGCCGTCCCATATTTTTGTGGCAGGCAGCTTAGGGAAGCGGCGTCGGGAGAAGGTTTTCGGCCTGATATACGCTAGCTGAGTTGTCCAGTTTGGTGTGTTTTGCTCTGTCAGAAATATATACCGCGAGCTATGCCCCGACCACTCTTGGCTCCCCACGGCCAAACGGTCGGTGGTAGGGGTAGATAAACTGCTCAAGCCCCCCTCTTTCACCTTGCGCCTCCCGCGGAACCACCTAATAGAGAGGTATCGTGGGCTTCCTTGTGCCCGGGCAACTCACCACGACTTGGTCATTAACAAGAGTAACTCACCTGAGAAGTATGGGCTCCAAAGCGACGGGCTCGTCTAGAGCGGACTATAAGGACATTCCACCAGAGCTATCTTTCGAAAGCATCATCAAGAACCAGACAGCGCCAGTTAGTCGGGTGAACTCATCCGGAGATCGCATGATGTATGCTAACGCTGAATAGCCCTGCTCCTTGAACGACTATACGGACTACCTCTTCCATGTCGAGCACAATGCTGAGCCTCTTCAGTTCTTTCTCTGGTACTGGGACTACATCCAGCGCTGGGGTAACCTTTTGCCCCGGCAGAGGGCGCTCTCCCCACCATGGGATCCTGAACAGGCCGCCGAGCCGTCTTCTCGCTTCATCCGATACAGCCATAAGCGAGAGCGCAGCCTACGGATGAACAAGGTCCTCGCCATATTGGAGATGGAGTCTCAGCGTGTGTTCTTAGACTCGATCCAGCCGCAGGAGGACATCCCCGGGACCATGACAATTACGTCTCCGCTCCCGCCCTCCAGCCCCCCTTCCACCGCCGGGATCCTCAGCCCAACAAATTCGATAGCACCACCAGACTGGCAGCCTTGTACGGGCCCCCTTTCACTCCATGATCGATCTTCCTCCAAGGCCAATACCCTCTGACATGACCACAGTCACCATCCAACCCAATCGCAACGAAGTCTCTCGCATCGCCCGCCTCTATATCTCACCCTCTGCTCCTCGTCGCCTACGCCTTTCTCAACGCGATCGCGAGGCTTGTCTGCGCGCCGTCCAACACACCACCCACCCGTCCACTCTCCTATCCGCATTCATGGCGGCCGAAGCCGCGCTGAGGGGGCCAAGCCCTATACCAAACCCTCGTCGTTCTTGGTTTTCGTCGCTGTTTTCTCGTCTCAGCATCTTCCGTAAATCATCATCATCTTCACACGAGCGCTTCGTCCGTTGGGTTCGGCGCAACGCTAACCCGTCGCGCCTGCGCTTCCTACGGCTTCTCGGCGCGCTGTTGGTTGTGTTGGGTACGGCTCTAGATGCCGTGTTGATCGTGTTATCATCCTCTTTATCGTCATCATCAACCCCTTCTTCGTCTTCAGCGTTACACAGCCCCTATCTCCGAGCTATATGTTTTCTTCTGTGGTGGCCCGGACTGACCGTGCTCATGGCCGCGGGAAATGGAGTCTGTCTGCTACTACGTGGGGCGGGTAGAAGACAAGTTCGTCCATGGGAGAGTGAAGGGCCGGTTATGGAGCCTCCTGGCCACGGGGAGGACGGCAAACAGAACCCCGAAGCCGGCGAGGTCATCATGGTGGAGCAGAGCGACAACACCGCGGCTTTCATACCAGATCGATCCCCAAAACACCACAAAATGTCCATCTCAATCACAACTGTGAAAGGGTCCCCAAGGAAAGAGCACAAACGTACAGACACCACGAGCTCCACCACCAGTACCATGAGCGCCGTTAGCCAGGCCAGTAGTACGGTGAGCTGGGACGACCCGTTGAGGAAACCCAGTCTGCAGACCTTTGGGCCGGCGAACGACTACACGGGCGAAGCGTCGTCATGGGGAAAGAGGTACCAGGAGAAAGGCTTCATGAAGCGGGTGTTTGACGAGACAGTGGTAGTTCAAAATGGTGCCTTGATGGCGTGGCAGGACAGGACAGTTTTGTTCGCGGCTTTATGGGGAGCGGCTGGAGCAGCGGCACTGACGGCTGTGTCGTTGTTTATACCGAAGGGCGGGTTGTTCTGAAAGCCAGGGAATGGAACAAGCAGAAGAAAACAGTATGGATACTTGAGTGAACCGCCTACGTTAGTCGCGAGATAACAAACACGGACGCACCGGCTGTACTGGAGTGGCTACGGTAAGTCTAGAACGAGACGTTATATTGAGCCATAAGGCCAAGTTCTCATGCTGCCGAAGTCTACTGCACAATAGACCGGAAGATTATGAATTAATCATACCACATGAAGTCGTCCATCACATTGTCGACCCGATCCAACCAGATCCGACCTGAGGAGACCAGCCATGAATGTTACGTCTGCCTTCCTCTCCCTTTCTTCCTTCCATGTCAGACACTTGCCAAGTCGTCGCCGTCATAGCCGACATCTGTCTCATCTAGCAGGGTATCGAAGCCCCCTTCTCAAAGTCATCATCGACTTCTCCAAGCTACCCAAGCCACATGCGGCATCCAATGCGTTCAATCCCCTGTCGTTCCCACAGGTATCATAATGACCGTTTCATTCCCCTTCTGTCCCATGAAAGCAACCATTCCTTTCCTTCTCTCGTCTTATTAAAAATAAATAAACTCCTTTAAACGCCGTCGCGCCGCTCGCCAGCTGCATGAATGGATTGGGCCGAATCAAACACCAGGACCCGACCCGCGTAGAAGATATCGGGTCAAACAAAAATGCTTAAAACGGGAATTAATGATGAGAAAAAAAGATAGATCGACGAGAAGAAAAACCTAACGGTAATCCCTCTCATAAGAAAACGGTGAAGATCAACATCACCGACACCAACCCTACGCTCATGCCGGCAATGGCTCGGTTAGCGGAAGCTGGACCCCCCGCCCCCACGGCTGAAGAGGCATCTTCCTGTGAGAGGTCCACGTGGGAGCCGCCGTTCTCGTCGGAATCGTGGGATGGGGTTGATGGTTCCTTCTGAGGAGCCGAGACCGGTGGTGGTGGCGAAAGGGGTTTCTGTTCTGGCGGAGAAGTAATTCGTAGAGTGACAACAGGTAATGGGTCTTCCAAATGTTGTTCAGACTGGGTTTTAGTAAGATGATCGGGGCGAGTTCGGTTCAACGTGAGTTTGTCCAGGTGGACCGCCGTGGCGGCGGAATTGACGCTGGGCAAAGACTGCTGCTGGTGCTGGTGCTGCTGATGCACGGAAGCGCCATCTAGGCTGCGGTCTTGCCGTTGTTGTTGGTATGGAACACCTGAGCGGTAAGTTAGCTTAAGGTTGCCCGAGGCAGTCCCGTTGCTGTTGATGCCAAGTTTGAACTCACTCTTCTTAAGAAGCAATCTAGTCTCACCCCCAAGGGCCTTGCCTGACGATGTGGAAGCTGTTGCTCCACCCCCAATCAGCAGCGCCGAGGCGAGCCAAGAAAGCTTCATTGCTTATTGCTGTCTTCCTGTCTTCCTTCACTCCTATTTCCCCAGGCCGCCAAGAGATGAATGGAGAAAGATGCTGAGCAATTGATGAAGAAAATAAGGCACCTCGAAAATAAGGGCCAAGAATGGGATTAAACGTCGAAGTGCACTCAGAACTTCATACGAGGATGGCGCTACCTCTGAAACCGCCCGTCCAACATCGAACAAAAATACCCCTGCTACTCGAAACGGCTTTGCTGATAAAAAAGGTTGACCTGTCGACTGCGCCGCAAAAAGGTGTAAGAGGTCCGATGTGCGAGGCTGTTGGGAAAGAAACGGAATGTGGCGTTAACCCAGCTTCGCGTTGCTCTCTCTCCTTGAATAATGAAATCGCCGAGGGCTGAGTGAGTGGGTGATGTTGGCTGACAGACAGTGCCTCTCTGGTCGATACAGCCACCCCAAGCGAAAGTGACACAGTCGGGCAAGAGTCAAGGTGGCGGGTCGGTGGTGCGACTGTCAAAAGTAAAGTAAATAAGTCGAGGTAAGGCAGGAGAGGTCCCCCTCTAGCTCATGTACACAAAGATCCCTCGGTCCCGGAACTGTCGGTGGAGAAAGATGAAGCGACAAAAGCTCCGGTCTTGTCTCGAAAGCTGGCAAGCGAGCGACGGGAAGGTGCGTCAGAGACACCACAGAGCGAAGGACAGCGCGAGAAAGGGCGGGTGTTTTCTCGAGTTCCCGTCCCTAGGCAATGCGAGCTGCGCGAGTGACGATCTAGCGAGAGAAAGAGCAAGTCGTCGGGATGGGCGAGAGAATGAAAAATGTCGTCCACCTTCCGAAAGAGAGGTGAGTGGCCGCGGGCCAGGTCGCAGTTTGCGATGATCGACCGTTTTTTCTTTACCCTCCTCGCCGACGGGGGTTCGCGTTATCGCGTCGTATCGAAGCAACAATGAGGGCAGATCCAAGTATAAGTGGGAACAGCGAGACAACAGAGCGACAGACGGTGAATGAGATAAGTCAATAGAACAGAGACAATTAAGCCTCAAAAGAAGTCATCATAGCTCCCCATTTTCTATATTGAGAAGCGGATGGGCGGTCCCCAAAAAAAGAACCTGACATGCCGAGCATGCCTCTGTTTTTCATCAGCCATTCTATGACGCGGGCTTTTTTGCAGCTAGTTTTCCTTCGGTCGCATTTCCTTGGTTTCGCGATACCAGTGTATCTTTCCCCCTTCCTATCTCGGCTGAAGATGGATCTCGATGCAACCCTGCCAGGCTTTTCCCGGACGCAAGTGCAAGAAGGCGAGCGAGCGACCAGTGATGATTGCATTTGCACCCACCAGGCCCGCTGAACGAAAAGCTAAGTTGCCAAGCAGCCGACGCAGGGATGGCCGGGACCTGCCTCGCCTTGGTTCGTGCCGCCCATGCCATCCATGCTGTGTCTGGCAAGCCGCAGATCGTTGACGGAACTGGGTGGGGGTGTGGCACAAAGATGGGTTCGCATGGCTCAAGATGGGTGGGCTGAGTGCGTGGACGGGGTGGCTCGGTATGTGGGCAGCCACAAAAGTGAACGAGAAGGAAGAATTGCTCCGACAATCTTAACCACCAGCCTCACTCGCTGTCTGTCCTCCCCCTCACCATTCAGCCCCCATCAGGTGAGGTATCGGATATCAACCAGGCAGTGATATTTTTCCCTTCTGCACATTCCCGCCCGCTTTACATTCCTCGTGTTCAAATTCCAACCAAGTCCCCGAAAGCTCGCCCACGAGCCAACCAAGAAAAGGGTGATTCGCCTGTCGGTGGGCGGCCGCGAGGGGCAGGCCCAATTGTTCCTGTCTGAAACGGCATTCCGGGCCGACTGGGTGCCTAAATCCGGCATGTCGCCCGCGTTCTTCGAGATGACGTCGTCTGACGCTACGAGTTGAAAAGGAGGGGGGAAACGGGGGAGAAGAACGATGTGGGAGACTTTTCGCAAAGATGCAACAACCCGCCGTTGGTGCATCCGGATGCTACTGTGCACTGCGCTCCGGTACCATCCGCTTATTGTGCTCCAAGCGCTCCACCCGCAACCCCGGCAACAACCCTAACCCTGTATTTCAAGGTGCCGATCAAGGCTCAACGGTCAAACTGTCCACGACAATGGAATCACGGATGATATGATGGGTGGGAAAATCGGCAAGCGAGTTGTTCATTGGGTCCAGTCATCTGCGAAGCTCCTTGCTCACAACAAAAACTGTTTCCCCCGAGTTCAACCACCCGCCCTGCCGCCCTCCAAGCCCCCATCACACCGCACGACATACCTGCGCAAGCGCGATCATCTTCAACTGTGCTGCCGTCCTACTATCGTGGTTCACACGGGACGCGGTCCTCGGCCTTGCTGCCTCCTTTCCGCCATCACTGCCCCTTGAGCTGGTACAGCTTCCAATGCTAGTCCCAGCACTCATTCGCTTGGGGTCACCATCGGTTGACCCGCTTCCCCGTTTGGTTGTTGCGGTTGAGAATGACCTGATGCCCGAACTGGCCCCGCTCATCTCTGAATCCGACCTCATCCGGGGCCCGGCCAGACCAACGTCCCACTGGAGGCCTGGCCGTAGGCAATGAGGCTCTACGATACCGCACGATTCGACGAGGATCTGACGTATCTTGTCGCGTACCTCGTAGATGGTGATGCGCTCGTGGGGGAAGAAGGCGAGCATTCCTTCTACCACGTGCAGCAGTGGCGATATACCCTTGAACAACGGCTCGTCCTTCTTTGAGGCCTCTTGGGACAACTCCGCCATCCAGCTCTCGATTTGTATCACATTCTCATGGAAGGATGCGTCGGAAAAGGGGCCGCCACGTCCTGCGGCCCTATGTTTCGCGGAACGATGTGCAGCAAAGGGGCGGCCTTGTTTCTTGAAAAGGAAGCTGACCAGTTCGAGAATGACACATCCCAGCGAGTAGACGTCGGCCGCCTGAGGGTTAAATGGTGACGCGTGGACGTCGTTGTCGCCGTTATCGAGCCAATGATGCAACGTGCCTGGTGACGAAGAGGGCAATGCAAAGACTTTCTCTGGTGCGGCGTAGTCGTACGCCTCTCGGTCGAATGGTGGGCTCTCAGTGGTGCCGCTCAGATGCGTGATGTGGAATGGTGTGAAGCCTGTGAGGAAGACGAAATTGTCCTTCGAGAAAGTGACTGTGGATGGCCGGATGTTGCCGTGTGCTCGGCCACGGCCATGGAAGAAACAGACTGTTTCCGCCAAACAGTAGATCCAGCTGAGCACGACTTGGCGCTGAGCCTGCTTCTCCAGCTTTTTCAAGCAGCCTGGCATGGTGGTGAGGAGAGTTTTAAGACTGAACTCGGGTGGTGGGGTGAACAGAACATATCCATATCCCTTATGAGTGTAAGACGCCCAGTACGACATGATATGTTCATTCCGGATATCCTTGATGCTCTCGATGTCGTCCATGAACTCCCCCTCACTGGTGTGCTCCTCGCCGAGACGTATTCTGCACCTGCAAAACAGCATCTCAGGCTGGGTGGCAACGGTGACTTGGTCGACATGTTGGCCCTGTGTAACCGGGCTCTTTTTGCTGACCACCTCGAGTGGGACGACTTCGTGGTCTTCATAGTCGATGTGAGTGCCGTTCTCAAGCTCTCGAAGGAGGTAGTGGAATTGCCGGTAGTAAAACTTCTTGTCGACTCTCCCGCTCCTAGAAGACGACAGCCTCAAGCGCCACACTTCGTCGAGCGCAAATGGGAGATCTTCATCCTCCAGCGAATTATCGATAACGTCGAAAATGCGATTCGGGATCCCCAGGTCGGCAAGAATGAGGAACAGTTTCCTCGCCTTTTCATCGATCCATTCCCAATACGTGCTATCGGTGAGGTCGTCACCAAAGTCTGGGCGCTGATCCAGGCGGTTGACGGCTTGAGAGTTAAGACGGTTGCTAACAAACTGTCTTGTGACCATGTTCTCGATTGCTTCGCTATTCCACCACATGATTATTAGCAGGTAGGGTGGAAAGCCGAGGTAGGCGCAATAATGTCGGGTTTTGAGGGGTTCGCGGGGGGTGTGGTGTTGCTAGGTGGAAAGTTGGGAGATGTCTTGACTGCGAAATCATTGTGCGGCAAGGCCCTGGAAATAAATTAAAAAGCTGTACTCTGTGTGACATCGCCGACAGGGCCAGTGACTTTGGGAGGAATGTGGGTAGGAATGTGTGCGAGGCAGGTGAAGGCAACCGCGCGATTCGGCAATGGAGTTCTGGCAAGAGCGTTCCTGCCGTTTCTGAACTTCCACTTTCGTCCTGGCTTGTGATCCCAGCTAGCACACCACCTTGATAAGACGACGCAAGTTGACCAATCTGGGTCGAGTATTCGGTTAAACCATCCTTTGGGGGTTCTGCACATATTCTGGAACTCCGCTTTCTTGATTGTCATTCGTTTCTCACGTGCATGGTATTAATTCTGTCAGGTGTCACGAGCTTTCTTTCCAGGTCGGGAGCCCGATCAGCTATTGGGCGGTACACGATCCGACTTGAAATTACTCTCGCGTACCTCTTAACTTGATGAGAGTCTTAACAACCGTTGCAAATTTGTACAGTTTCGATACCATCGCGAACGACAGCCGTGTGTGTCATTGTAATATACAGAAAATATCTATTCACGTAGGGAAGCACCCACACCAGCCATAGCATATATGGCTCTAATGTCGTGGTAGGAAGCCATTAAACCGTACAGCCGGTCGGCCATAAACTGCCCAACGTGCGTTGCACGGCCGGACACTGCATACTGGCTAACTAGGCACGTCAAGCTCAGCCGACGATGTACTGTATACTGGTCAACTGCCCACTTTGAGGCCGGCCGAACATGCCTTGCAAGGCCGGTTGAATAGCCGCAAATGTAATGTGTTCACCCATATCCCACAAGAGCCAAACTCGATGAGCTACGGCACGCCGCCATATCCTAACATTATGTTGGCTGGATCGAGATCATTGTGTCGGACATCCGGGTATTCATGCTTGATGATTTTAGGTATCCGCCGTTCCAATGCAATTAGATGCTTTTAAACTCCATTTTCTCAATAGATCTGACGCCGGCGCCAGCCAATCTATCATCCCTAGAACCTACAGATCTTCTATCAGTGGACCCTCCTTGCTGCTCTCCCTCTTTAACCCCTTCCTACCCACAAACGTGTCCATCGCCCGATCAACCTGCGCCAACCGCCTCGCAATTGCCTGCAACGCGACTGGTAGCACATGGTACCAGTCAATCCACCGCGCATACAACGGCATGCCAATCGCGGCATTCTTGCCATGGTCAATCGCAGCAATAATCTCCTTGGCGACATCAACCGGCTCAACAACGGGAGCAATAAAGCGGTTAGGCGTCTGCACCCCGTAGAAGAGCGGAGTGCTTAGCTGGCCCGGCGTGACGAGAACGGTCCGAATCTTTGGGTGCGACTGGCGAAGCTCGGCGGCGAGTGAGCGGTGCAAAGCCGAAATGCCGGCTTTGGCAGCCGCGTAGTCGGTCAATTGAGCCGCTCCAACAGTACCGATGACAGATGAGACAGTCACAATGGTGCCCCCGCGCTCATTTCGCGCCAGAGCGGGCAGGAAGGTTTTGAGGGTGTAGAAGTGGCTGAGTAGGTTGGTCGATAGGGAGCGTTCAATCTCGGGGAAGGTGAGGTCGAGGAGGGGCTTTCCAATGACGATAGCTGCGTTGTTGATTAGGACCGTTGGTGTTCCGAGCTAAAGAAGAGAGTTTGTTAGTAAGTACAATGCTTCCAAAGGGATGGAGGGGGTGGTGGTGTGGGGGATGTACATCTCTCTCGATCTCGGCGGCCACGCGGGCAATTTGGTCCTTATCCGTGACATCGCACTTGTAGTAGGTCACGCCCCGAGCCTCGCCATTCTCCATCTCAGCCACATCCAGCACAGCAACTGTAGCGCCGCGCATACCATACACTTCGGCAATCAGTAAGCCTAGCCCGCTCGCTCCACCCGTTATGACGATAACTTCCTCGCTCAAATCAACCTCGCGCGGTAGACCGAAAGCGACACGCTCGTTAATGGTGGCGGCGATCCAGGATAGCGAGATGAGCGTGGCCCAGGCGATAGAGACGAGCATGGGTGGTGCGTCCCAAAACATGTTTTGGGCGCGGAAGCATAGCGGGACAATCCAGGCGATGAAGGGGTGGAAGAAACTAGTCTTCAGGACCTTGACGATGAGGTCGATGGACAGGGGCGCGAACCACGAATCCCGCTGGGGCGGGGTGGCATCCAGCGGCATCGTGAAAAGGATGCGATAATATTCGGATCGTGGAGGTCTCGAGTTGCGAAGGTGCGACGGATGCGACAGGTGCGATGAATGGTGGTGTTTACGTATGCGGCGAGAGGATCGTCGGATTATGCGATTACGTCGTCGAAATAAGTAATAGTCAATCAAGTAAATAAGGATAACAAGTAGAGTCTCGTATTTGTAGGAAACGAAGAGGAAAAGGAAAACCTAGGAAACAATGTTTCCGTGAGTGTCAGGAGACGGGCCGGCTGTGGGAGTTTAACTCTTCGAGGCGTCAAGTGTCTTCGGCAACATGGCATCGACAACAAGTGTCGTCTTTGAAACACCCCTGATCCGAGCGCTGCACCCCTCGCTCAGGCGATGTTTCAATTGAGCTGTCCGCTGCGTACCCCTGTCGCCCTGCAGATTCCAGCGCACTTGTGCGGTTAGGGAGCAGCCCGAGGCACATTTGAGCCGGGTTGTTTGGCGGCTCACGGTGGATCTTTACAAGGGTCGGTCGCTGGCAGACGCCGGGACTCCGACGTCATGTGCTGCGCTCCGAACAACCTCCTCGAACTACCGTAGGTATCCACCACTCAACAACGCAACGATCCGGTGATTGTGTGACGTACGAATTGCGAAGACGGCGCGGGAAGTACTATTGATTTAAGGTGGATAAGAGTTTAAAGAGCGATGCGTTATCTGCCATAGAACCACCGAAACCGACAACGATCGACTAAGCAAGCGATGCCCTGACGGCGACAATGAGTAGCGCCCAAGAGCCGTTGATCTCACGGCACTCCTCGCCGGAAGGTGACCACGATGTCAGCGACGATGTCGAGTACGGCGATTATAACCACACGGCGGTAGCTGGCAACAATGATGATGACGATAACACCACCGCGGATCCCACAACGCCCAGCAATTCCTCACCCACGCTCTTCATCTACCTCCTCACCGTGTGCGCCGGCATCTCGGGCCTTCTATTCGGCTGTATGTCCCATTCCCAATTTAGAATTATGAACACTCTCACCTCACACCTGACTAACTCCGTCCCCTCGATCCAGACGATACCGGCGTAATCTCCTCGACCCTGGTCACCGTCGGCACCGCCCTGACCCACCCCCTTCCTCTCAGCTCCCTCGACAAATCCATCATCACCTCCTCCACGTCCCTCCTCGCCCTCCTCATTTCTCCCTTCTCCTCCTACCTCGCCGACCGCCTGGGCCGCAAGCGTGTTATCCTGTTCGCCGACGCGCTCTTCATTGCAGGGGCCTTGCTCCAGGCGGTGAGCAACAATGTAGGCACGATGGTGGTAGGGCGAGCGGTGGTGGGTATGGCAGTGGGAGCAGCGAGTTTTGTGGCGCCGCTGTATGTGGCCGAGACTGCGCCGGCTGGGTTGAGAGGGCGGTTAGTGACGATGAATGTGATTTTTATCACGCTTGGGCAGGTCGTGGCGTATGTGGCCGGTTGGGGACTTGGGGAACTAGGAAGTAGTGAAGATGGGAGCGGGGGAGGTGAGAATGTGGGGTGGCGGTGGATGGTTGGGTTGGGTGCGCTACCGGCGATTGTGCAAGTAGTCGTGATGCTAGCTATGCCTGAGACGCCGAGGTGGTTGGTGATGGTGGGCAGAGGTGAGGAAGCTAGAAGGGTTGTGGAACGTGTCGTTGGAGGGAGTGGTCTGGGGCGGAAGAGGGAGGTAGATGTGACCATAAAAGGGATTGAGGTGGAGGTTAGAGAGGAGGATGAGGCGAGGAGGTTACGCGGGGCCGGGAAGGCGGCGTGGCTGGATTCGGCCGAGGAGTTGTTCAGGGTCAAGAGAAACCGCAGGGCTCTAGCAATTGCCTGTCTACTGCAAGGGCTGCAGCAATTATGTGGATTTGTAGGCCACCACCTACCTCCCCAAAGGTCTTTGAACCCGTAAATCAAGTGCTAACGGAACCGAACACAGAACTCGCTCATGTACTTCTCGGCCACCATCTTCACTATGCTCGGTTTCTCGATCCCCACACTCACGTCGCTGGTCGTGGCCGTCACCAACTTTGCCTTTACTCTTGTGGCCCTCTTCCTGATTGACCGCATTGGAAGACGGCGCATACTGCTCTGGTCGATTCCGTTTATGATGGGCGGCCTGCTCCTCGCAGCCTACGGCTTCTCCTTCATCACGCTCGCAAACAGCGACTCAATCGCCAGCAGTACCGACGGCGACACCGAACCCCCTCCCGCGCGGGGCGCCGCACTCACCATCCTGGCCAGCATCATGGTGTACGTAGCCGGATACGCTTTGGGACTCGGTAACGTGCCGTGGATGCAGAGCGAGCTATTCGCGCTCAACGTGCGTTCGCTGGGTAGCGGCATCGCCACGGCGACCAACTGGGGCGCCAACTTTGTCATTGGGCTCACCTTTTTGCTACTCATGGACGCGCTTACGCCATCTTGGACGTTTGTGTTGTACGCAGGGATATGTGCCGCTGGGTATGGGCTGGTCTGGACGTTTTATCCCGAGACGGCCGGGCTCAGCCTCGAGGAGGCGGCTAGTCTGTTGGAGGATGATCGCTGGGGGGTGCGGTGACATACTGGGGTTCAAGAATAAAATATACTAACAATGCAACGACCAAGCCGGGACACTGCACACTGCGAGTGTACGTACATCCCTTGCGCAAAGTGGACTACCCGTTGATGTCCGGGACGGTGTCGACACCCGAGACCGAGCATCCCGACAAGCCCCACGTATCGGTGATAACAAACATCAGGATATCCTTGCCCGGCGAAAAGGTTTCTCCTGCGCAACTGTTGGAACAACGTACCGAGGCACCATCGCCCATGCTCAATTGTGGCTGCACAACCGTTAACAGACAGACTAGGGGTACCCTCGGGCAACAGCGGCAATTCGCGGCTAAGCGAAACAAAAATTTAACAAGAAACGAAAGAATTCGGTCGCCTAGACTGTTGGGTCCGGCGTTACTTTGACTAGCGGCGTTGGGCCGCGAAGCTGAGAAAAGGGATGTCGGTCGGAGGGGTTCCTTTTCAAGAAAGAAGAAATTTCCCAACTTGAAATGATAGCTCGGCTCAATCCCGGACACGCCGCGGTCCAAGACATCCCCGGAGGCTTCGAGACTCACAGCGGGACGAGCCCCTAACGGCAGATCACCCCGGGTGTTTGATTGGCCAATTGTAGGGCGATGGCATGCCTCGAATGCGCTCCAGTGGTTCCATTTCCGTTTGGCTGCGCCTTCCGGTGTGGATTACGTCAAGGACCGGACTTAAGGCGGTCGTGCTTTTTTTCCTTCGTTGGACCCGAACGCAGTAGTTTAGTGCCGAATCCCGTTCCCGATGTTCCAGAAAGCCCTCCGTTAGGTATTCACGATTGCCAAATCAACGGGATTCCAAAGCGAGACAAATGGTGAGTAATGACCACGCGGCTGACAAGGTACGGATGCATCTCGTACATTCGGATGCCCTGCAACATCCTGCGTATGGATTTATGATACAGTATTTTGCGATCGCCTTGTAGGTTTCAACTTCAGGTTGGCGCCCATATGCCACTTGAACTTCACCGTTGGGCTCTCATGAAGAATCGGTCTAGGGCGGTCGGTATTCGCTTGGCGGAGATGAACGGATCTTAAGACCCGTGAGACCCTCCTTCAGCTGGGGGGGCTGGTGAATCTGAAGGAAATTGTCGATTGTTAAAAACTCTGAACAAAAGTCAGTGCCGTATCCGGGTGAAACCGACAGAGGAGAAGTTTGCCCCCCAAGCGGGGCGCCCAGCGACTTCAACCCGCCCGGAGTGTCGGCATGCTGTGGCCCGTTGTCAACGGCCCTGAAAATCGCATCACATTTACAAAGTGGATAGCGTTCACGGGTTTAACAGATACACTAGTTACTGACAGTGCTATGTAGAAAGCTGAAGGGGTAACGTTTGCTTTCCAATGACTCGGCATTGGTAATCAACAAACCTGAAGCCAACAACCTGCCCCGGTGTGAAAAAGCGCGAATGCCGAGGCCGCATCATGCAACCGCCGAACGGGTCCTCGGGCACCGCCGAAAAGGCGTCTCAGGGGGGCAACTTTGGCGGGCCGAGGGGTCACAACTTGGCACAAACATGGGTATCGACGGTCATGGAACCATGGAGCCCACGGAAAACCGTCCAAGGTGGACACTTCGGAGAAAGTCTTGTCTGCCCGCTAGTAGAATCCATGATTCACGTCGGTCGGGAATGTATCCGGGATGTGTAGATCCATCTTGTTTATTAGGGAGCGAGTTCCCCCTTCCCATCGCCCTTGTGGGAGGCGAATTTCATCACCACTTTTAGACGACACGAATCTCAACAGCTCAACACGCACGAACACATATATACGGGACGAACCTGTGGAATCGAACAGAACGTTGTCGTTCTATTTACCATTCCTATTTTTTTGGGTTAATACAACAAGGGCTTTTATTCTTGACCCACAACACATCAACTCTCCCTCGACTTACACACCAACGACCCCCAACAACAGCCCTCGCCTCTACCCACCCACGGACCAGAGAGAAACACATAACACACGGTCCCCATGGTGTTAAACGACGCCGACCGCGCCCTCGAGGCGATCGAGGAACAGGCCGTTGCCCACCCTCGCCGCAGCGAGGAAATCGAACGGGTGGTCTCGATATCATCCGTCTCAACCTCGTCCTCCTCTTCCCTTGATGCGTCTTCCTACCACCGGGCATCCGGGGCCGTAGCAGGGTCAGGAGGACTCGGGCTCGGCTCCGAACTGGACCGCATCGATACCCAGCGGGACTTGGACCGTCACCAAACGGAGTTGAGCCGGATCCAGACGGCGCGCAGCCAGCATAGCGGGACGGTCGGGCGAGATGTCAAGAGCAAGGACTGGAAGAGGCCATTGCCAGGGTTTGGCGCTGGGAAACCGTACCCACCGCTGCTACCGAACCAGGACGATTATGTGGTTGAGTTTGATGGACCTGACGACCCGCTACATGCGCAGAACTGGGCGTTCAAGAAGAAGTGAGTCTCCCCTTTATTCCGTAAACCCAATGATATTGGAAGTTTTGGAACAGAAATTAACAATCCATAGGCTCCTGACGGCCATCATGCTAGGATTTACTACCATGACCGCCTCCTTCGGCTCGAGCATCTTCTCATCCGCAACTGTGGCGGTAGGTGTCGAGTTCGGTGTATCTTCTGAGGTCTCTTTACTCGGCGTCTCGCTGTACGTGATCGGGTTCGCGACGGGCCCAACCCTTTGGGCGCCTCTATCTGAGCTCAAGGGCCGGCGCCTGCCGCTGGTCCTCTCCATGTTCGGCTTCACTATCTTCAACATCGCCAACGCCGTTGCCAAGGACTTGCAAACAGTACTCATCACGCGCTTCTTCGCTGGGTTCTTCGGCGCCTGCCCACTAGCCGTCGTCGCTGCCGTCTTCTCCGATATGTTCGACAACCGCACCCGCGGCATCGCTATCACCGTCTTCTCTATGACCGTCTTCACCGGCCCGCTCCTAGCCCCCTTCATCGGTGGCTTCATCGTCACCGCGCCCACCCTGGGCTGGCGCTGGACCTCGTGGATCGTCACCTTCATGGGCGCCCTCGCCTTCATCCTCGACCTCTTCTTCCTGCGCGAGACCTACCCGCCCACGATCCTCGTCGGCAAAGCCGCTGAGCTCCGCCGCCGCACCCTCAACTGGGGCATCCACGCGAAGCAAGAAGAAATCGAAATCGACCTGCGCGAGCTCGTTACCAAGAACTTCTCCCGCCCCATGCGCCTGCTCTTCACCGAACCCATCGTCTTCCTGCTCTCCCTCTACATGGCCTTCATCTACGGCCTCCTCTACCTCTTCCTGACTGCCTACCCCTTCGTCTTCCAAGGCGTCTACCACATGACCCCCGGCGTAGCCGGCCTCACCTTCCTCGGCATGGTCACCGGCCAAGTCATCGCCGGCATCGTCGTGCTGCTCCAACAACCCTGGTACCAACGCAAACTCGCTGCCAACAACGGCGTGCCCGTCCCAGAATGGCGACTACCCAGCGTCATTGCCGGCGGTGTGGCCTTCGCGGGGGGGCTTTTCTGGTTCGGCTGGTCCGGGTACACCGGCCAGGTACACTGGATCGTGCCGACGCTCTCCGGCCTCCTGACCGGCTTCGGTCTCGCATCCATCTTCCTGCAGGCTCTCAACTACCTAGTCGACGCCTACCTCATGTTCGCGGCGTCCGCCATCGCGGCCAACACTTTCCTGCGGTCGCTTGCGGGTGCCGGTTTCCCGCTCTTCTCGCGGTACATGTTCCAGGGCCTGGGCATCCAGTGGGCATCTACCCTGCTGGGCTGCGTGGCGGCTGTGTTGGTGCCAATCCCCATTGTGTTTTGGATGTATGGACATCGCATTCGCGCGCGCAGTTCGTATGCGCCCACGGCACCCGCGCCGGCTCCTCCCGGAACGGCTTCGTCTTCGGAGGGGGACGATGAGGAGAATGAGAAGAGTGTCAGGGAGAGCTTGGCGAATGCCGGTGTGCCGAGGGTTGATCGGGATGCGAGGAGTGCTGTCTAATATGTTTTTTTTCTCTCCCCTTTTCTGCCCGGGATTCTCTTAGTCAATAGTGCTAGGGTGGTATGGTAACGGGTCGGCGTGGCAAGTTGGCTTCTAGCATTGGCGTTTTGGGTTTGAAAAATTAACACAAGGCGGGCGGGTGTTATGCATAAGGCCATGGATCATGATATATATGCTCGCATTAATTACTCAAAACAAATCGTAAAATTTATCTCGAACAAAACTTTTATAATATGCTTGGGCTGGTTTGTGTTGTTGGCCCAATATTGTGTCCCTAATGGTGAGCAACGGTGGTCGAATAAGAAAAGGCTGACATGGGACCTGTTGATGGGGATAATTATCTGGCCCCGAACAAAAACGCATAAACAAAACGTCACCCCTAGGGAGAGTTATAGTCCGGAAGTACCTTGTTCAAAGTCCATAGCTGAGATAGCGCATATGTACCCCACGCCGCCCCCTCCCAACTCCTGTGCCTCGGAGAGGTGATAGAGAAACAAAATACATCGCTCTAAAAACAAATGCATCAAGTAGCGGCCCCAGGCAAATGCTCTGCTTTTCCGCCGTGGCGTATTCAACGCCTAAATACACATTGTACCCCTCCTGACCACCAACCGAAGCCGGGATATTTTGTGTTTTCGCAGACATGTGCTTCCCCCCAGCCTAAGATAATTCGCAATAGGGAACCGGTTTTTCGACGATGACAAACCCGTTCCATGGTATTCCCTACAACTTGGCAAGCCGAGTATATCTCAGGCCACAGATTGCAACTTCCCAACATCATCCGAGTTGAATTCTTGTCGTGACTTCAACAAATCTGCGTTGGAATTTGTCAGTGGGCGATTGAGCCCTACGGCTAGCCGGGGCTGACGACTATACCCGCCGTTGAGAAGACGGCCGCTGAGCCCATGCTCCTCGTCGCTGACGGCCGCCAAATGGTGTGTAACCGCCGAGAAGTTGCTATCGCCGGTCATCGCGACAACCGCCACAATTCTGGCGGCGTCGTTGATACTGGTCCATCATCCATCATCTTTCCAGACCCGACATGATGGTATCTCGTCTGGCTATGAGTGGCGCATCATGCCACGAAGCGTCACCGCCGGAACTCATCAGTCTGCTTTCAGTGGTGGGACGGAACCCACAATATGACACTTCGTTATGTAGCTTTCTTCGGGTAGGCTTCTTCGTGATGAGTGGTAAGGTGATCAACGCAAGCGCCTCGTGTTTAACATGGCATCGTCGTCGGATCACCTTTCCTGTTCTTGAAGGCTGATGACGGCAAGCTTGATTTTATTAGCGGTTGAACGGAAGAGCCAAGGCCTCCGGTACTTACCTTGTTTTCCAAGCCGTAGACTAGGCGTTGGCCCTCCGAGTCCCACCCGAGACAAGGGATCGCTTCATCGTTATCGGTGCTAGAGCTACTAGGGCTCTGCCAACCCGATTGTGGCACCCAGCTGGCCATTGGGGTGGCATGATCGCCAATTTTCCAAATTAGCACTCTGTCGTGTGTGGCCACGGCGATGAGCGCTCCATCGGGACTCATGGAGAGGTTATGGACTGCGAGTGGCGGCGGCATGGTGATGGAGTATTTGGGCTTGTTCTCTGGGCTGCGAACATTCCACACCAAAACAGCACCATCTTCACCCCCAGACACCAAGAGTCTTTCATCCCCGGCTGGGTCGGCCTGTAACGGCTGCCATTTGAGGCTAGCAACACCGCCATCGTGAGCGGGAATCGAGCGACGGTGGCCAGCTTCATCCCACACCTATGGAGAAAGAATGATTAGCCGCTGCAGACTGGTGATACTAGCAGCTACCCCGTGATAGAAACTCACGTCGATGTAACCCTTGTCGCTAGCCGTAGCAACTAGTTTAGACCTCCAGTCAAACTCGACGAGGCTGAAGCGCTCGTCTTTTGCGGTTTCAAACTTTTGCCCTTGTACGATACCTTGCCCGGTGCAGCGGAAGGAAGTCAACAAATCGCCACCACAAAGCAGGAACTCGGTCTCGCTGATCCACGCTGCGTCTAGGCTGTACGCGCGGAGGTCGTGGTCGAGGATATGCGATATCGAGTTCACCATCGAGGGAGACGAAATGTGGATCAAGGTGGACGTTTTAGAGGGCCCACTGCTCACCTCCGGACTGATGGCGAGGAGAAAGCTGTTGTTAGGGCTCCAGCAAAGGTTGGTGACGGGTGAGTCGAGTCCGTCGAAACGCTGCAGGCTGGTTCCATCGGCCGAACAGATGCTGACACGCGACTTTAGACCAAGCTCGGTGCCAAGAGCAATGAAATCACCGCTCGAGCTCCATGCCATTGCCGAGACCGTCGCACTTTTGGGCAGATCGTCCTCAACGATATTCATCGATGATCGACTGGTAGTATCCACGTGACCAAGCTCAGTGACCGGGGCAGCGGGTCCACCAGGAAGCGTCCAAATGCAGGCTAGCGCGTCTGTGCCAGCCGTCGCCAAGAGGGATGGGTCCCGAGGGTTCCACTCGCATAGAAGCACGAGAGGGTTTTCGGGGGCCTCTGTCGCCTCTGCAGATTCGGCGCCCAGGCGCAGAAACATGGTGCCCTGTGTCAGGTCTCGCACCTTTTCAACTTGGGTGCCGCGCGACGGGCCTTCAGTGCGCAGGAGTGGGGACTCGGCCTGCTCGCCCTCGAGCGGTGACGGGTAAGCGTGGTTATTTTCTGGTTGGGGGTGGCCGTGGTGGTCAAGGTCCATTGGCGTGGCTGCCGAATCGGGCCCATTCTCGAAGCCGTTGCTGAGCCGCGGTCTCTTTGCGGGGGACCCATGCGACAATTCGCGGTGGTGCTGCCGCTCGACCGTCCGCTTTCGTGGGTTTTCGATTTCCTCGGCCTCTGCGTCCACCTCAGATTCCTCGTCGTCCTCCTCATCTTCGTCGGCCACTTCGGGCTGGAATCTTAGTGGCCCAAATACTCCCTTCACACCCGTCTCGACAGGTGCCGGTCCGTCGCGGGTTGTCTGCAAGAAAATGTTAGTCTGCCGGCACTAGCGTCTCCTCCTGTCTACCAGCTGAGGCCGAGACACCGCCGCCAAACCAGCGGCCAAACACATTTGCCAACCGCCCACCCCTAGCTCCCATGCAGGCTGCAGCCCCAACAGGAACGAAAGAGTGGCCCAAAAGTGAGCGGAAGAAAAAGGTAGAAGTAGAAACGGTCTTGATGGCCGCAGAATCAATACCATACCTCATGGGCGACCGCAAATTGCCTCTGATAGTCTTCATAAATGAGACCCTTGTTCAGGAGCGACACCAGGGCATAGGTGTTCACGTGCGGTGCAAAGTCAAACTGTCTGTGAGGTTGATGCACCCTCCACTCCTTTTGCAGCTTGGCAGCCGTCTCTCGATAATCTGCAGCGGTCAAAATCAGTTTCGGCTCGTGCTGTTGCAACACGCGCAGGAAGCAATGACGGAAACTGGAGGAGCAGGTTTTAAAAGAAAAAAAATCAACGGGCGGCCAGCTCGCTCCCAGCGAGCCGGCCATGGCGGTGCACACATACTGGATTCGAGGAGGTATCTAATGCCCAGCGGGAAGGCACACACAACCAATGTCAGCAATCGGGCTGCCTCGAGAAGCGCGCCTTTTCGAATTACGACTCAGAACGGGAGCGCGGGTGACAAACCTCCAGACCAGGAAATTGACCCGATCCGTGTCAAGTAGCTCCTTCATTGTCGGCACGCCGATGGTCGGCAACAAAGGGCGAGGGGAGACACAATCCGTTGATCAATTTTGTCAATAGCGGTGGATGGGCGCGTCGATGGGCGCTCAATCGGCGGGCGAGGCGTTGGCGGCGCGATTTTGGGCTTGAATTTGGTGTTGAGGGATGAAAAGCAACCTCGAAAGCGCCAGGTCGAGATTTGAGATTGGCAGCGTTCGGGCCACGGGCCAGCCAGTGTGCGGGTTTGTCAAGCGCGAGGCATGGGTCCCACCCGCCAGCCAAGTGGTCCCTGCCGCTTTTTTAGGCGAACGGCCAGGATGTGCGACACGACACCCTAAGCCACTTTGAGCAGTACCCTGAGGCAAAAAAAAGATCAAACGGCCAGCCCCGCGGGGTGGTGCTGCGTGGCAGGGGAGAACAATCGATCGCGGGTCAGCAACCCCTTCGTCGATGATGAGATGGATGCCATTCCAAAAAGGGTATCCAACCAAGGAAGCAGCCCGGAAAGACACAATACACAAGGCCATTTGCGCCAGACTCAAAATTATCAAACCGAGAAAAAAATATATAAACTGGATTATACACGTGAATGAGGCTCTGAAATAAGTCGAGAGCCCATCCTCCTACCAACAAAATGCACCGCGTCTTTCCCTGTCTCCGCAGCACCACGGCAGAACGATTCCACTAAAGTTTCACGACAACCCCCCCCCCCAACGTCCCATCAAAATTCTGCGGTTTGATCCATCTGGATTCTTCTCTTCGTCGTTTAGTCATATCAAGTGTAACTATTTTCTCTTGCCGGCCCGAAGCTAGACCTTCTTTCTCTGCTGTTTACCACCCGTGCCACCGAAAATGACTGGCCGGACATCTTTCTAGACGATCAGATACTTTGTCGCAGTCGCTTTGCGTAAGACAAGAGCTTACCGAAGCTCATCTTCAACGATAATCTGCCCTCTACAGTCATACTTGTTCAGAATTGGACAAATGCGTGCTCAAAGCCGCGCTACCGGCTCCTATGGAACACAGACGCTAAGTCTGTGCTGTCCCACTTGAATGAAGCCCAGGACGCCGACCTCAACTTGCACCGGTTTGTCACAGCCGCCACCATAGAGGAGGTTACTGTGTCCTACGTTCCCGGGCTGGTTCCAGCAACCCTCCAGGTTGGCATCGCCGTCAATGTTGATGGGGAGAGTTCCAGTTCTGTGTCCGGAAAATCTTCTCGACGACGCAACTAGGGGAGGGGGAGGGGGGGCGGCGGGCAGCCGGCTTCCTCGACAATCGACGTAGCGTGTTAGATTTCGTCACAAGAAACTATTAGTTGTAGACGTCGTCCTACACGGTCCGACCGATGACAGACACCCTAGGCTTGGTGGCGACGCCTGATTTTGAAACACCTCGCCTCAACCACAGTCTTTTACTGGAATGATCTGAGCCGCAGTAACCCTACTGTTCAGTGGACGGGAGGACAAAATGGTTGAAGAGGGAGGGAAGCAATTCTCCTCATTTTCCATTTGCTAACCGATACTGACGAGTAGACATTTGCAGCCAAGCAAGAACTGGCTTACCGTTAATTACCGCCACAAGACGCACCGTTCTACGTTGCCTTGCATCAACATGCACACTCCATGTTTTAGCCACTCGACCAATGTCGTGATCCTCAAATTGGCACCTACAAAATCGGACCACCAAATTCAGTGTTGCGGCATCTGGCGACAGTAATTACAAACAGCGCTGCCAGCAATTACGCACGTGGTAGACGAGCGAAATACGATGTGCTCATGCCAACAAATCAATCTTCCGTTGGAGGTGTTCCAATCTCTTCAGAGCCGTGACACCTGTGGGGGTGAGATGGAAGGTCGGTATTGAAATTACACAGTAGTGTACGGTACGCGCACTGGTGTCGTCAATCTCGGGAAGCGGATCCCTCCACACGGATCTGGCATCCGCCCCACGAGATCTCGAGGGGCTTGCGCGAGCACCTGCTGTGCTGGCTAGATAGGCTCGACGGGGTGGATAAACTAGCGTATGTCAACTCCCGAGAAACATCGCCCGTTGAATAAACGTCAAAATTACTGCGTAAAATAGCTCACGGCCATGGGGGAGGGTGGTCATCTCCTTTCCCAGAGACACGAACAAGGCGCGCGACTCGGCGTCCCAAGTCCATGCCCCTGTCGGTGCGGTGTTCTCGGTTTGGTGTGCTGCGAGGCCTCAGGGCTGAGCGGCTGCGGGGTAACATGAGCGGAAGGTCGCTCAAGGGTCGGGAAACAACGAAAAGAAACACTGCCGTCCTTCCATGAAATGACCTGGGTATTTTGCCCAATCAGCAACGGCTGCTGGGGCCACACCCAGGGCCCGGCTCGGTGCTTATGTTTCAGGGGTGTTGACCCAACGCGGGCTCGGACATTTGGGGTCGAGAAGAAGCTGAATGCGAAAAAAAGTGTCTTCTTCCATGATGCATGTGCGGGTTGGGGAATGGGAAGCATCACAAGTCAACCGAACGACCAAGGCAATGATATAACTACGATTAGGCAGTGCCGTCTTTGAAAAACAGAGTGCCAGCCCCTCGGCGTAAGGTCATTGGGCAACTAGGTAGGCTGGATGGAAGGTTGGTGACGCCTGGAAAATGTGGGAACACAGGGAGCCCCGTCGCAGCATTAGTGTTGATCTGCCCAGAACGTCGGCAGGTCGGGTCGTAGGGAAGGGCTCTGCGATGTGACTGGTGAACAACAGGTCACGGACAATGTTCTCCATTTGAAAGCTCGCCGGGTAACGGAAAGCCGCAATTGAAAGTTTAGTTAGAGGATACACCTCGCAAGCCACAAACTGACCGGTGGAACTGGCAGCTGCTTTTTCTGTGAAGTAAGTTATATCGTGCCGAGCACAGTTACTGGTCTATACCTGTGGGTTGCGCCCGCGCCTACGGCGGCGTTTAGCAGCGACGGCCGGAGATCGTTGAGTGATGTGGATCTTGAAGGCTTTCGTTCCCTACCGGATCGGAGGAATTTCCGGCTATCCTCAAGGCGATTCTATCCTACTTTGAGCTAACTTTGTGCCTCCAGGTCATCATTGTCGTGGGGCTGCAGGTGGTGGCCAGGTCGGGGACGAGGGCCGGGGTGTGATTGGTGACATTATGGACATAAAATGTGATGGGAAATGTATTAGATATTGAGAGACCATGCACTCCAGATCACGGAATCAACGTCAGAGGTTTTAGGTGAGGACTAATCATGAATCGAAGATATAACCATGTGTCACTGGCATGAGGTTTCAAGACGTATTACAGGGCTTTTTGGACGGTTGCTCACAGCAACACGGTCGGCGTGCCCAATTGAAAATAACGTTAACTTACCCTAACCCTCAGGCTTGATGTACTCTTGTGGAGGAGGCCGGATCGGGCAAAGTTCGGCTGGTGCCCAGGCCAGGCCCGTGCCCCAAATGCCGAGAACACAGGTCCCGGCTTGCAACCAGGAGAGACAGCTTCATGATCTCGAGGGCGCCGACCTGTGAACTGATACACCCCGCCTCCCGCCCGCCATGCCGCCCCGAATAAACATCCCACCAGTCACCCGAATCGTTCTGATCGTGCTGGGTGTACAGTCGGTGCTGAGCGCAGCCATCCGATACCGCCAGTGGACGGCCAATTCCGAAATAGTCATCCCTTACCTCAACCTCGTCCCGCAGCTTTCGTTGGTCTATCCGTGGACCTTCCTTTCGGCGACACTAGTCGAGAGCAACGTTTTTACCTTGTCTATCGCCTGCGCTACTCTCTACAATGGTGGTCGCTATCTGGAACGGGCCTGGTCCTCGCGGGAGTTTGCGAAGTTCCTCCTCATCACTTCCCTAGTCCCCAATGGGCTGTGTTTCGTAACTTCGATCTTCTTCTTCGCCTTGACGCGTAATGAGGGATGGACGTATGTCGCCCGTCTTCCACCGCCTTGTCGTTCGAGTCTGTCTATTAGAAGGGGTATGCTAACTCGCCGGTGTTCCCAAACAGACTCATGACCATCGCTGGTACCATCCCCCTCCAAATCTCGTTCCTCGTCGCCTTTAGCCAACTCGTTCCGGCGCATACCGTGACGCTCTTCCGGGGCCTTCTCTCACTGCGCGTGCCCCGTTTCCCGCTCCTCTACATCATCCTCGTTACCCTCCTCTGCCTCACACCAATGCTCACGGCCGCTTCGTTCCTGCTCGCCATCTACGGGTTCCTCGTCAGCTGGACTTACCTCCGATTTTACAAGGTCGCCTTCCCAGACCTTGACACTTCGCAAACGAGCTCCCTCCGCGGCGACGCCAGCGAAACCTTTGCCATCGCGGAATTCTTCCCTGGCCCCATCCGACCCCTTATCGCAACCATCTCGGAGCAAGTATTCAACGTGTTGGTGGTCATGCGCCTGTGTGTGCCGTTCAGCGCGGCGGACATCTCTGCCGCCCGCGGCGATCATCACTCACACCACAACTTCTCGCACCGCGGCGCGCCCGGGAGCGCGCGCGCCGAAGCTGAACGCAGGAGGGCTCTCGCCCTACGGGCGCTCGACCAACGCCTGCACGCTGCCACTGCCAACGCCGCGTCCCGCGCTCAGAATGCCCCTGTCCCGCCCACCGTCGCACCGCCCATCCCTTCGGCGACGGGGCCCACTGTGCAGAACCAACCCCAGGCCACACCACCAAACGCGATGACAGCACAGGCGGGGGGTGGCAGCGGGATGCTGGGTGAGACGAACTACAACCCGGATGCAGACACGGATAGGAATGGCCCATGAGAAGCATGAGCGAAGTGATGCTACTGATGTATGGGCCTCTACGGTTTCGAGGCGTCGGGTCTCCGCCCAGTCCAACAAGGTACCTGATCCGTTTACCCGGGTAAACATGGGCAGCCGTCTCTATTCCTGGGGAAGTTCAAGAACTGGATGATCTCGGTCTCACGGTGGAGGGGGGTATGGGCCGCTACAACAAGGGGGCAAGCCTCAAGGTTGGGGCAACAGGGAAGGCAGGTCTGATTATTTTGCTTCCAAGAGCGCAAGCGCATATTTGATACCAGCTCTGGCTATGTTTGTCGGTGAAAAGTACAGGGGCCGGAAAGCCCATTGTGACAGGATTGAAGTCGGGCTAATTACTAGCCCCTCCATCTTGCCTGTCTGTTTGAGCGTGCTCATACGGGATGGGTTGGAGCTATGGGGCGAAATGCAGGGTGTGAATTTTAAGCCTATCTTTCGGTTGTATGTACGATACACTCTGCGATTGTCGTTTACTATCTATCGAAGCCGTGCAATTCTATTACGCATCTCCCCCACCCGTTGAGTGTCTATATTGAATTAGTCGAAGCTCATTCTCTCCCGTAGTAATAGTTAAATGAGTGTGGTCGAAACATTCGGATTGCTGTTATTGGGGTGCCTCAGTAACTACTATCGACTACTACGTATAGTGTACTTCAACTATCTTTGCATCAACTGCTCCTAGTAATAACCGCACTGAATATGTACATACATTCTATCATGTTTGATGAAAGCTTCCTTCCCCCTACCAACATCAGAGCTAGATGGGAACCAAATGTCGTAATACTACCCAGATTCTAGTCACGTTTACATTCTTTGAGAGTCGGAAGAGATAGCCCGTCTGCGCTGCTGAGCTGAGCCACTTAGTTCTGCATGTCGCATAAGTAATGTTTTTTTGCTAGTGTAGTGGACAGGAGTTTCTTGCCGCATTTATTTGTCGATCGATCCCAAGTTAGTTATTCTTTGACATCTACGAAGTAGGCATTGTTATCTCTGGGAATGGGTGCCGGTTTCCAAAGGCAGAAGTTTTCGGCCCCTATTTGCGTAGCATTTCTACATTTCTCTTCGCTGACACCTCTGCCAGGGCGCCGGGATGCATACATATTCTTGTGTTCCTTTCTCCACGTCGAGGACCTCTGCCCAGAGAAACAAGCATTTGAAAGACCCTCGCAGAAATGGGGAATTTCTGGAAAACACACCGAAGTGCATTGGTGCGGCACGGGGTTACGCCAAAGCAAGCGAAAGCCACAATCAATTTGTTGGAATGGGCACATACCAGCCCCCCTCCTTGCTTCCTTCCCCGTGCGCCCCTTCTTCTTTGTCGCCAGTCCGTTGGCCCAACCCGCACGGCCGGGAAGGGTCCGCGGCGTGCGTTTGAGATGAGCCAGACCCTGGTCGGGCAAATCGATCACCACAAGCCAATTAACCCCTGCCCGCCCATCGCGGGCGCCCAAGCAAACCTTGGATGCGGCACGGCGGTTTGCTGTGGAGGTTCATGGCCATTAGAAGCAAGGCCGTCGCGGCCCAGCAATTACACTTTATTTGACCATGGCCATACCGGCACCCTCTTCGCTCGTGTCCTGGCCCATTACACTAGAAAAAGGTGTCGAGTCGCTCAACCGCGCAAATGCGGAGGTTGCAGAGCAAAGTACTATGGAGATCGCCGTGATGCTGGGTCCGCCGTTTTGCCACTCTGCTCCTCTCGAGCAACCTCCACAAGGGCCGAGGGTGTGGCCGAATGCGGACGGGGAGGGGGTGTGCGAAGGTTGTCGTGGTTCTTTGCTTGGCTGGCGCCTGGGCGTGTGTTGGGGAGCACCCAAGCGTTTCGGTCTCCCTTTTGACCTTCCCCTTTTCTTCTTTTATTCCGGCTAGCGATGACAGTTGTTCTGGTCAATCAATTGCGAGCGTTTTCTCTTGCCGACCCGGGTTCGCACGACCGCAAATCGCAGGTCGGGCGCTTCACGTGTTCGGCAATGCGCTCCACCAACTGATCTGATCTCAAGGGGATCCCAGTGGGGGAGCCAACGGAAGGGACGTCTGCCCTTTGCCCCGTTGTCCTCGCTGTTCTTCGCTTCGCTCGCTTCTTTCTACCCGCATCATGCGGGTGCCCTTTGCCGGTGTGGGCGTGCTGAATGTTGCTGCAGAGAGGTGCAAGAAAGTTGAGCCGGGGATGAGGGACAAACCGAACCAACCTAACCTACGAATACTAGTGAGTGGGCACACGTCGGCCCATTTGCACAGACCGCCGTGGATGAATCGGCGCGTGGGAGCCAGCAACCATTTAAGATAGTTAGTTAACTAGTTACAAGAGGGACAGGCAGAGCGAGCCAGGGTTAAGGCGAAGAATTTCCCAACTCGTCGGGTGAGGTTCCTGTCTGGCGATCAACACTGTTGGGAATGAAGAGCCGATGGAAACGGCGTTCGCCCCTTGACTTGGCTCACGATGCGATGACGGCTAGTTCGGGACGAAACGACTTGGAGGCGTGAAGCGCATGAAACGGCAGGCCGGAGAAAGCTGTCGAGGCGTGTGGGGAACTTGGGGTTACGTCCGAGGGGACGACGGCCTGCTTTCTTCGCTCCACTCCACCCAAGGACCGGAAGGGGCTGGTTGCAGAGGCAAGATAACCGCCGTCATTCATCAGTCTCGGGCTAAAACGGGTCTTTTGGGTATCGGAGGAGGGGATCGAGCCGTCTCGTTGTACCTTCTTTACGGAACACTGTAGTAAGCTTCATCGTACCTTCGTATCTCCCGTGTTACCACTGCTTTCGTTATTGGCATGTGGGTGGGTTGGCAAGACAAGGCACCCCCCTAATAAAAGGAGACTCGGTAACCCTAACCCTCGAGCCAACCGTTGCTGCGGGGCCTCGTGACCCTAGTCACTCGTGCCAGTCCCCAGATCCCGCAAAAGGGCGGAGAGTTCGGTGTCAATTCCCGTGGACCGTGGCTTGCGTGGTTGCGTGGATCAACTTGATCAGCCAAGACCTTCTTGGGGACCCGCTTATGCTGACGTGTGGTTTCGAGCCCGCTTTTCCGTGCCACAAATTCTCCCAACCCGCAAGCTCCCGTCATCCTGCATTGCAGAGAAGGGAGGCAGGAGATGGACATCACCGGCGTCCACAACCTTCAAAGATTGGGGAGGAGGCGCGGAGGAGTCAGCACGCGCTTCCGGCTGTAGTAGGTGTGGCTTCGGCACAGAAATTTTGAGGCAGCCAACCTGGGCATCGATTTCGTAACCACTGGGACCCCAGGCATTCGCACGGTCGAATACCAGTGCACTGGGGAAGGGGCTCGGGGGGAGCCCGCATGCACGAGCGGCTTGCAGCGACGGTTGCCCACTTTCTTCCTTCTCCGCATTGAGACACTTCGACGGGTCCGTCATCACCGACAAAGAATGTGAACACGGCAACTCAAAGTATTTAACCCCGCTTTCCACGGCCCGAGTGAATAGGTCGGAGCCCACCATATCGCAATGAATCATAATAAGGACATGCGTCCCTATCCAGTAAATTGCGAAGAGCTCTCGTCATTACTCATTCACATTCTTTCGCCCAATCCAAATCTCGGCAGCTCTGAATGAACAAGGGGCCTTGATAAAGTCAGCTTCTTACTTGCCATTGATAACCCTATCCCTATCCAGGCCGTCTACCTACGATGACACCGAAACCGGCCACAACCCCCAAGCTGGAGGCTTTGAGCGCGGAAGCATTTCTCCTGGGAACAATTGAGAAGTATGCTAAGGAGCAAGCCTTAGCACTCGATCCGGGAGAGGAGCTATTGTGCGAGCTGCCACCGTCTGCCTTTCTACCGACATCATTGTGTGAAGGATTAGCACGGGCAGTCATAAGCGAGGATTTTGTGCCCGGCGACCTTAACGAGTTGGTACGACAGGTCCCTGGGCTTGATACGTGGATGTGGCTCGAGGAACACGGCCGTCGTTTAGCAGATGATTGTCCGCGTCTATTAAGAGAAGCCACGGCCGAATATGAAGAATATCTACAGGAGGCAGAAGGGCAGCCAGACAAAGAGGCAGCGCACCTAAGAACATGAAGCGCCGCGATACTTAATAGTCTCTTAGCTTCAATAGAATTTTTTCCATTGCCACGATTAAACCAATTGGTGTAATGGTATCGTACAGTTACTTACCTTTGCAATCACACCAATTGCTGTGCCATGTGTGGTTGAGTGGTGTGCCTTTAATATAGCTAAGATCCTCCTGCCAATGTAGCAGACGTTGCGGGAAAACTCAAGCGAGTAGGTTAATACTACTCCCATGCATAGTACTTGGCAGTTGACTGAGCAACTTGTTCAGGATCCAGTTGCCCAGCATTTTGCACTTATGACTTAATCGAGTCATATAACTAGAGTCTCTACGGACACACACTTCTAGAACATAGCGGGAACGATTTGTTACTCGGGGAGGACGAAGCAACCATTACGTCTCAGAGGGAGGTGTGTTTGTGTGCTGTCGTACTCTTGGGCTGCTGTGGGTTTCTTGGCTCAAGCATCATATCCCCATGTGGTCGCACCGACTGAATGGTATGATCCGATCAGCGGCGCGGGACGAGGGCGAAAGTGAACACAAACAACCCGTAATAAGCAGGCCACAGCTTCCCAGATCACAACAGCGGCCATGTTTCGCCTTGTTATCTTACCCTACACTTGTGTTTTAAGTACAACCTGACACCTGATTGATGTGTAAACTTTTTTTGCACGCTACTCCGTAGCACTGACACGGCGCCGGCGCGACAATTTGGGCCGGAGGAGAGATGTCAGGGGCTCAGAAACTTTGTGAGTTGTTTTGTGCGCCCATAATCTGCACTGGCCCCAGCATCGCGGGGAGCATATTCGGTGGGAGAAGGTCGAGGGGATCTCCAGGTTTAAGCGCAAGTGACAGCGTAAACATGAGTAAAATGTTGTTCTGCTGATTGTATCTTGCCTGTAAGAATGTATCAACAAAGAATTTGTCTCTCGGCCTTGTTTGATCTTTTTGTTAATTGACTACTCTTCATACAGTAGACTACATTAAGTTATCCCGCCTAAGGTTGCCGACATTTCTCATTTTTAAAATGCAAGAAGTGCGGACAAAAGTAAATTTTAGTTGTTAACTCCATTTGTTCTTTTCTTTAGGTGCGGTTATTTTCCGATACCCCCAGCGCCCCAAAAGCAAGAAGCCTGAGGTGGATCCTGCCCCATCATTCCCCACTCTTGTCAGGTCGCACGCGTTGGTGACGAAGCGACGGGAAAAGTGCCATGGACCCCTGTCCTGCTTGGCGGGACGCATGGGATGGACCAGGCCGTGCAACCCCATCGGTTGCCACACACGCTAAAACGAAATGGCGTAGCCGCTTCCTCCGGAAACACACCTCCCCTGGAAGAGGCTGGATGTGGGGCCACATCCGAGTACTGTTTTGTACCCGAGACTTGTCTGTTTCCAACGTGTCAGCAATCGGCGGCTCATCCCCCGTTTTTGGCATGGGTCGCGCAGGAATTTTTCCCCATCAGGTCTCCAAGTTGGGACCATCCCCCGAAGCAAACGTTAACAGGGCTATGTGACTTCCTTAGAGGTTGTTGAATATGTTGCGATATTGGAATTGACTGTAATCCAGCTGCTGTTTTATGGTTTAATGGGACTTGACTTTGGATAAAAATTGGACAGATGGAGATGGTTCTAAGAGAGGTTTTGCATCAAATCTGCAGGGTGCTGGCAGGCCAGCTTCCTAAAGTGGTCTAGGCACAAATCGGTCGAACTGATGTCCGGGGTGTGCAGTTTTTCCAGAAGTACCGGAACCTCCGCACGACCTTCCCCCACCCTTGGATGCTCTGCGAGACATGAACGGGAAGACAATTGCCAGACCCCTGTCACTTGTGGGTTAGGTGTTCTGCTCGCCTCTCAGACGGCTGGACGAAATGGATTCTCCCCAGCCCGACTCATCCCCAATGCGAGAATTCTCCTCGGCTTTTGTGCTGTCTCCTCCCCCCTTTCTGTCTTGGTCGCTCTCCGAAAAGGCATAACCAGCCCTTGAGCACAACACCAAACAAGGCCCAACAACCACAGGCACTCCCTTTTTGCATCACATTTGCACCCCTTTTTGCGCCTCATCCATCTGTTTTCGAATCTTTCTGCGGTCTTCGCGGGTCAACTATCTTTAGGGCGCCGAGTTGGTGGGAACAACTCCCAAGCCTACCTGCAGGAGATCTGGCGATTTGCGAACAGCATTAATTTCGCCGCGATCTCATCTACACTTCTAGTTTTTGATTTCTGTCGTTACCCTGCGCGCGCGCTTTTGTGTCTGACGCGAGTGGTGCTGGTCGCGCGCGGTCGCATCACTTTCTGTGATAAATTTGTTCCGCCATCGAGGTTGGGTTGACCACAACCAGGGTCATGTCGGCCATCATGGCAAACCATCATCCCTCCCCACCAATGCAGATGCAAATGCATCATGGTCCGTTGGGACCCTCACGGCCTCCCGTCCCGCTGCAGTCATTTTCATCTTCGCGCCAGACGCTTCTCCAGCAGACCGAGGCGGTTTGGATTCAACTAGGTAAATAAATGCCCTTCTCGTTTAGATTCCGACGCTTGTGTGCGCCATACATCAAACGTGATTTATCAGGCGGTGACTGACACTCAACTTCCAGGTGGCCTTGCCGAGCAGATGGGCAATCTAGACGACGCGATGGCTTCTTATGAGCGCGCCCTTCGAACCAATCCCAACTCGATCGCCGCCATGAACGCGATGAGCTCGGTCCTGAGGACACGTGAAGATTTTCCCAAGGCCGCCGAATATCTGAACGCCATTTTGAAGCTGGATGAGGGGAATGGCGACGCTTGGGGCTCTCTTGGTACGCGCATTTGTTACCTTCCTTTCTCGACTCTAGCGTTCATTATGCTAACCCAGTGAATAGGACATTGCTACCTGATGATGGACGACCTGCAACAAGCGTACAGTGCCTATCAAAGGGCGATCGGCCAACTGCGGAACCCAAAGGTTTGTTCTGATACATACCGATCCTGGTGTCTCACCAGATTGCTCATATGGGAAACACTCGCAGGACCCCCGCCTTTGGTATGGCATCGGAATTCTCTATGATCGTTATGGGTCATTGGACCATGCCGAGGATGCGTTCGTCAACGTCATGAACATGCAGCCAGACTTCGACAAGGCACACGAAATATACTTCAGGCTCGGCATCATTTACAAGCAGCAGCAGAAGTACAACAACTCGCTTGAGGTCCGTTGCCGACGTCCCTACCCTTCCCGCATGACCCGGACGTTAGTTACTGATTTGCGCCCATTACAGTGTTTCAAGTACATCGTCAGCTCGCCCCCAACGCCGCTCACCGAAGAGGACATTTGGTTCCAGATTGGCCACGTCCATGAGCAGCAGAAGGATGTATGTATTTGTACTTCCCTTAACCCTTCTTCTGGTCATTGTACTGACTTTGTTTAGTTCGAGAGCGCCAAGGTGGCCTACCACAGGGTCCTTGATCGTGACCCCAATCACGCCAAAGTTCTTCAACAGCTTGGCTGGCTTCACCATACCCAGAGCCAGCACTTTGATAGCCAAGAAAGGGCTATCGAGTACCTGGAGAAGTCCGTTGCAGCTGGTAAGTGAACTTGCCTTTCCTTGTCTCTAGTGTTGCCCTCTCCAGCGCCTCTGGCGATGCTAACTATTTGACAGACAACTCCGACGCCCAGAGTTGGTACCTCCTCGGCCGGTGCTACATGCAGATGCAAAAGTACCCCAAGGCGTACGAGGCCTATCAACAAGCCGTGTATCGTGATGGGCGGAACCCCACGTTCTGGTGTTCGATTGGTGTGTTGTACTACCAGATCAACCAGTACCGCGATGCGCTTGACGCGTACTCGCGTGCGATCCGCCTCAACCCGAACATCTCGGAAGTTTGGTATGATTTGGGCACCTTGGTAAGCTTCCCATTCCAGTATTTCTGCCGTGCTCTTGATCCCAAACAGTCGCTTACTGGCCCACTAGTATGAGTCGTGCAATAATCAGATCGCGGATGCCCTTGACGCGTACCAGCGTGCTGCCGATTTGGATCCATTGAACCCTCACATCAAGACCCGACTACAGCTGCTCCGTAACGGCCAAGCTAGTGGCGCTGCGCCTGGGCAGGCACCGATGCCCACTGATGTTCATCCTCAAGCGTATCAAGCTGTGGGTGCCGTTGGACCTCCGGGGCCGCAGTGGGCTGGCTCCGGCTCGGCCGCGCCGCAACAACCTCAGTCGATGGCAAACGGCGAGGCTCCCGGTGGTGGACCGAACTCTTGGTCGGGCAGGATCTCGGACATCAACCCGCCTCCGCAGCCTCGGAATCCGTACGCCGCTGAGCGTGAGCCGTTTCGTGGCCAACCCGGCCAGCGACCTCCTAGCCCTCAGCCTGAGCACCAGATGAGGCCGTACCAGGACGCCAACAGGGTGCCTGAGCAACACAGGCGTGGTCCATCGCCTCCTCCCCCTCCGAACCACTATACCGCCCCGGCTCCGCCCCCGCCTCCTCAGCAGCCTCAGCAAGCCCCTCCCCAGGGCTCGCAACCGGCTAGGGTTAGGAACCCTAACTACGGTGGCCATACCCCCGTTGCCGTGCTGCAGCCCACTTCAGGACCTGGGCCGAGCAGCGGTGGCGCCAACCCATTGATGCCGTATCGGACGGGTAGTCCCCGGAACGATGGACGGCCGCTCATGCATGAGAATCGGATGCCGTCTCCCAAGTCGGCCTACCCGCAGCACCAACCCCCGTATGCGCCTCACCCCGAACAGGCCGGTCCCCACGGGCCCGAGCCTGGTGTGCCTCACCCTCCGCAGCCCGGCATGCACCCTGAAGCGGTTCATCATCGCGAGCACGACCCCCGCCCCCCTTCGGTCGGTCCCAAGAGGTTGGGCGACTGGGAGGATGAGCGGGAGGCGAAGAAGCCCTCAACCGAGGAGACTCGTGCACGTATGGAGGATATCCGCCATCGCCGCCCATCCGCCTCGCCCCGCCTCGAGCCATACCGCCGCAACTCTTCGGAGGCTCGCCGCTTCGATGACATGGATAGGCGAATGGACCAAACACGCCGTATCGATGAGCTGCACCGTGCTGTGGAGATGCGCCGGGCTGAGGAACAACGGCAAGCTAATGATGGCTACCATCCGTCGGAGGCTGCTCACCATCCCCAGTCGCACGCGCCCGCAGCTCACCTTCCACCCATGCAGCAGGGCCCATCCGCTATGCAGGGGCTCATGCATGAAGCGCCTGTCTCCCAGCCCGGCTCCGCCAAGAAGGAACCTTCTTCGGCCATTGAAGAGAGGCGGTTGGAGCAGCAGCATCCTCCTGCCCCGCACCCTCCTGCTACCAACAATGAGCCTGAGAGGGCTGCCCGGACTATGGATGTAGATGAGAACTACGACGACAGCGGCGAGGAAGACAAGAAGGCAGGAATCGTCTCGGGCTCTGCTCCGACCTCCGCGACCGCTACGGTTCCTCCGGATACCAAAAACGGCACGCCTACGACTGCGACTATTAGCGGCAACTAGATGGGCGATATCGCTTGTGTCGTTTCTCTGTTTTGGGAGGTTTATATCTGCGCCTGCTCACGCACACTCTTGTGTTTTTCTTTCCCTCTTTTGTACCGTATCATGGATGGATGCTCGGTCGTTTTTCGACATTTCCCTCCGTTCCGGGGTTTCTCACTTTCTCTTATGTCACATTAAGTTCCATAAGCAACACAAGGCGGGTTGAGTTCTTCCGTCTGTAGGGTATCGAGCGTTCCCAATACTGGTTTAACCTGTAGTCTGGTTGGCCATTTAGTGATCGTGGTATCTGAGAAGTGAGCTGAGTATTGTTGACAGTTTTCCTTGTACCGGTCGACTCGTTGCAAGAAGGGCGCACCGCTAGGGGATGGTGTGGCCTTTGTGTGGGAAGAGACCCAATCTCCAAATGTTGGGAGTGATTTCATGTACTTAGATAGGTTTATTTTATGTATGATGCTTGATCCACTTCATTTTAGGGGAGAACCACATGTGCTGCACGCTCCCGCTTCTGATTGAGACCCTGGACGCAAGTTCCTGGCAACAACATCGAGACGGGGACTTGTTGCGTGCGAACACAGTCACGTGACATCCAACTCTTGACCCCACCAAGGCCACCAAAGTCTGGGCCCACTCTGCCGATGTTAGGGCTCCGCTGCAATTGGTCCGAGGAGGCACACCATCTCACACAAAAATCCAACTCCAAATTTCTTCGCTTTTTTTACTCTCGTGGCCGGACCTGGGGGATTTTTCCATCAAACATCACGCCAACCGCAGACATCAGCAACCATGTCTCACCGGAGTAAGTAGGCCCTCGACAATTCCCTGGACAGTTCCGTTCTCAATGCTAGCAACTCTCGCGCCAACACGAGCTATTTTCGCGAGCGATTGGGCGGGCTGGCGCATATGAGTTTTGAACGCCAAAAATCGTATTTTTTTTTATTACTTCACTGCAGCTTGCAACTGACACCGAGCCATTGCAGAGTACGAGGCCCCTCGCCATGGCTCTCTGGCGTACCTGCCGCGGAAGCGCGCCGCCCGCCACAGGGGAAAGGTCAAGTCGTAAGTCGAAAAACCCCAACACCCGTTTCTTGGAAGCTTGGTCACAAGTTCTTCTCGCCGCGAGAAAAAGGGGGCTGACAGTTGGTATGATGACAGCTTCCCCAAGGACGATGCTAAGAAGCCGGTCCACCTGACCGCCGCCATGGGTTACAAGGCCGGCATGACCACGATCGTCCGCGACCTCGACCGCCCGGGTGCGAAGGCTCACAAGAAGGAGGTTGTGGAGGCTGTGACAATCATTGATACCCCACCTGTACGCGCAACTCAGCCCGCTTGGCTCTTTTTGTGTCAATGGCTAACATCTTTTACAGATGGTGGTTGTGGGTCTGGTTGGCGTAAGTCATTGCTGTCCGGCTGAGGAGCTCAAGAGGTGGCAGAATCGTCTAACAAAACGTCAAACAGTACATCGAGACCCCACGCGGCCTGCGCTCGTTGACTACCGTCTGGGCTGAGCACTTGAGCGATGAGGTCAAGCGCCGCTTCTACAAGAATTGGTACAAGAGCAAGAAGAAGGCCTTCACCAAGTACGCCAAGAAGCACTCCGAGAACAGCGGCGCCCAGATCACCCGCGAGCTGGAGCGCATCAAGAAGTACTGCACCGTCGTTCGCGTCCTGGCGCACACTCAGATCCGCAAGACCCCCCTCAAGCAGAAGAAGGCCCACCTCATGGAGATCCAGATCAACGGTGGCTCTGTCGCTGACAAGGTCGAGTTCGGCCACGGCCTCTTCGAGAAGCCCGTGTCGATCGACACCATCTTTGAGAAGGACGAAGTGATTGATGTCATTGCCGTCACCAAGGGTCACGGTTTCTCCGGTGTCACCTCCCGCTGGGGCACCAAGAAGCTGCCGCGCAAGACCCATAAGGGTCTCCGCAAGGTCGCCTGTATCGGTGCCTGGCATCCGTCCCACGTCCAGTGGACGGTCGCCCGTGCCGGTCAGGACGGTTACCACCACCGTACCTCGGTCAACCACAAGGTTTACCGCATCGGCAAGGGTGATGCCGACGACAACGCCTCTACCCAGATTGATGTCACCAAGAAGAAGATCACTCCGTACGTTTTCGTCCAGTATTCAAATTATGTGAGGGTAAGATAGCTAACAAGCCGCACACAGTCTCGGTGGCTTCGTCCGCTACGGCGAGATCAACAACGACTTCGTCATGGTCAAGGGTTCCGTTCCTGGTGTCAAGAAGAGGGTCATGACTCTCCGCAAGTCGATGTTCGTCCACACCTCGCGCAAGGCGCTCGAGAAGGTCGAGCTCAAATGGATCGACACCTCGTCCGAGTTCGGTCACGGTGCTTTCCAGACTCCGGCCGAGAAGAAGCAGTACCAAGGTACTCTCAAGAAGGATCTCGCCGTCGCTGCGTAAAGCAGTGGGGCGGGGTCTGGTTGCTCTTTTATTCGGTTTTACAATGGCATTGGTGTCACGGTCTCGTTACTCTTTGGGTTGGGGTATGGAATTTTACCTAGCGTTTACAGCTAGAAAAGCTGCATGAGAGGAATGGGAAAATGAGCCAATTGCCATTGACTGCTGCTACTGTGATGTGTTTTCCGTCCCAGTTTCCCTTCTTCGTCCTCCGTACGATGTAGACTGCTCTATGAGCTATCCCACGGGGCTAGATATTGGAGGCCCTTGCCGCAGCGGCTTGGCTGAAGGTGGGGTCACCCAATCAGAGAATTATTTGCCCCGCCAACAACTGCGGAAATTCATGGCAAAGCGGCGGTTACATCATCGTCGCCGGGCTGTGTCTTCGTGACCCCCTCCTGACCATCATGGTTGTGACTCTTGGTGCCCGTGTTTCGCCGTCGTCTTTTCTTCGACAACCTAAACTCACGCTTAAAACCGTGCCCTTTTACACACCAAAACAACCCGTTTGCAGATTTTGCAGTACAACGTCTCAACGCCCCCGTCAACTTTCCCAACCTCGAATCTTTCGGGCGGCAGCTAGCGCAACAACAACAGCACCGAACCCCGCGGAAGCTTCACTCCTCTCCCGACGGGCATTCGCGGCCTCTTCCGTGCCCAGAACAAACCAGCCCTCCGACAACAAGATGTCGTCCGACCAAGACTACGCAGCCTTTCTTGAGAAGGCGAACGAGGACCCCTCCCAAGGCGCGGCTCAAAGCTCGAGCGCCACCTCGAACAAACCCGGCCAGTTTCGGACCACGCAGCAGGGTGTGACGGTGCCGGCGCCGATCCTGGAGGCGCTTGACAAGGGCGACGCTTTCTATATCTCGGATGCGGACGAACCGTTTGACCCTGTCGCGCTGCAGTGGGATGAGGCGGGGGAGGGGTTGCCTGATGAGGGTGCGCATGCATATTCCTTTCCTCCTTTTTCCAGTCTTTCGTTCGTATGTTTTAGTACCGCAACTGACGAACAACGCACAAATAGAGGAATTTGCCAACTTGATCCAGCACTGGGATCCCAAGAATGCCGAGGTACAAATCCTGGATCCTTATGACTGGGACAGCCACGGGAAGTATGGAGGGGTGATAGAGGCGGTGAGGGAGGCCGGCCAGGGAAACGATGTGCGAGTGTACCGTGTCGTGCGGGACGGAACTCGGGTAGAGTACTTTGTGGTCACGACTGAGGGAAAGGGGAAAGGGGCGAAGCTGGTGGGCGTGAAGGCGTTGGCTGTGGAGAGCTGAGCCCATTATACGGATGAGGAAGGAGAGAGTCGCGCCTGTGGACTTTTCGTTGATTAAGCGGCCAGGTTTCATTTGACTGATTCGATAGGACAGTGTGTTGAAGACATGGCAAGAAACTTTCCTTATGTTGAATCCAAGTCTGGAGGCCAGACCGGAATTTTGAGTGATATTGCGGCACCGATAACGCTCAGCGGACTTGGTTCTCCCCGTGTCATTAAGTTCCTTGCTTTTGTTCATTGAAGAATAAACAACTACGGAGTATTAACTTTGAGATTCTTCTTGCCCTCCTCTCATAGCAGGTGTCTCGATCTAGGGTTAGGGTATTTGGTCATAACTCACAGACATGCAATGCCCCCCCACATTTCCCATTCGGGGACGCTCCTCCCTTTAAATGATGCGACACACCCGACATCAACCTTCCTCCAATAGCTACAGATTCATACCTCAGTATCTACCATCGCCCTTGCCCTAAATAATGACCACGGTTTGATTAGTACACCACAATGTCGATGTTCACAGGAGGCACTCCGTCTTCAGGCCCATTATTTGGGTCCCCAAACCCGTCGACGTCCGCAGGCCGAGGCCAGTTCAGTCAACCATCGTCGTTCATGGCGAGCGGGTCATTGGTACCGCCGTTTTATCAGGACGAAACTTTCACCGCAGAGATGCGAGACCGCCAGGCACGGGGGAAAGACCCGACCAGTTCTGCTGATAATTCAGATCGCGACGAGCGCGCGGAATCCCGGCTGCGACTCGGCAGTGGTCGGTGAGTTGACCCTGTTCTAAAGTATCCCGTATCGTAGATTCATTAGCGTATGGGACGGAGATGGATGAGTGGGTACTGGTTGGCTGACACCTTCCTTACGTTAACGACAAACAGCGTGCATAAGGAGGACTTTGCCCAGCGGGAGAAGCGTCAAAAGGCTATTGCCTTTCTCGACAACCCGGAACTGCTTAGGATGTATGCCGAGTCGACAGGGGAGGTGAGTGTACTGCCTTCCCGAGCCCAACAAATCCTTGTATTGATACCTTCCCCAGTCTATGGCTGCCGCGCGGTTTCATTTCACAAAGATGCTCTGCGGCTACGACGAGGATGACGCAGCACAACCGACGGGATCTTCAGCGCTTTCACCATCCCATCGGGACAATCATCACCATCCTACGGGCGACCGAAGAGGAGGCCATAGTCCGCAAACAAGAACTACTTAGCATCCGAAATCAGTGGACAACCTAGCACAGCGCCATGCTTATGTTTCTACTCCGGCTCTTAGGTAATCCCATTTCCAGCACCCACTTTTCCGGCTTTGGCTTAAAGGAGGAAAAAGCCTCGCGCGCTACTTTTCCGCGCCCTGTTCAGATTTCCCAAGCCAAGGCCCCCCTCTAAGCTTATTTACGGGTCAAAATCGCTAACAAACCTGAAGATGCCGTGGGGGCGGTTTTTCGAATGCTCACACGGCTTTATACCTCTCCCCTACGACATGGTCAACATGTCGTCCTTTCCACTCTAGTAATGGGAGCCACACTGCCGTTATTCGTTTTTACAGCCTCACCACTCCTTTGTCTTGCCATTGGTATCGCCTTGTGTTTTGGTGCAACCTTCCTAGCCGTCCTCTTCACCAACAAGGTCGCCGCTAGGGTCGCTTTGCGAACCCAGCGCACGGTAGGCGAGCCTATCCAGACGAGTTTTCAGATAGCCGCTAGGGTCGCTTTACGAACCCAGCGCATGATAGCCGGACCTATCCAGACGAGTATTGAGATAGCCTCGCAGATTTCTCAGCACTGACATCTTAATCCTGGGCACGACCGGTCCCGGCGTTGGCACGCGGCGGATGGTATATGAGCTGGATGCGCGGTCTGGTGGGGATTGTAGCCGGGCAAATTTAACTCGGACGGCCAACATTCGGACCTGGAAGTCAACGCCCACGACCAAACCGCCGCGAATACCTCGGTTTTTTACTCGACCAGCGCCAAATATTGGGCACGTAACCGTTGTCGTCATCGGGGCTTTACTCCGGACAGTTCAGGTGCTTCTGCCGGTACCAGAATGGAGTGCGAGTCGCAGATGGAGGATGGGGGGCAAATGGGTGCCAGCACCGGGGCTTGGGATTGATACTGCCAAGGAATTGTGAACACGATGATTAGGAAACTGGATTGTAATGATTTAAAAGCGGAATACTCCTTGGTGAGACTACAAGTGTCATTAGACAGCGGTGTGTCCGTCGTATTGTCCGCTAGAACTCCTGTGCTCAGACATACCCGGTCTTTTTTAGAGTGAAGTGCTTCTACCCGGCCATTGCCTTTGGTTCGTACCACGCACTAGTTTCCAAAATCGCTGCAAGTTGATCTTCTTGCGCCAAATGTCAGAATTGTGACCGAGAGAATGGGAAGATGTGTTAGCCGACATATCAGGAATTGGAAACAACCTCTACAGTTAAGTGATCGTTTGGGCTCTGCTTAGTTACAACATATTACGCAAAGACAAGTAGCACCATATTTGACGGGGCCTTTCATAGATAGTTGGTAGGGAAGAAAGTGCGCTGTGTTGGCATCTATAAGATATCCGTATCCAACCAACTTCTCCCATCCTATCATTCAGGTTCCGTCGGTGCACAAGCAATAAACAACCCCACTGAAATAAGACCAACGAAATATCCAACCGCTGCTTCCATTGTAAGGAAAAATATAAACAGATAGAGACTATAACGCCGGCCAATGCAAGTCATAACCCCCCCCGGGCCGTGACACACAAATAAATGTGTGTAGGCCCATTTGTGGGGATGTTTATACGCGCCTCTTTATACCCATCCATCCCTTCCAGGCTCTCAATCCGTCCATTCTTTTCTCTCATCCGACCTGTCTTTTCTTTCCGCTCCCATTTCTCCAGGTCTGGCAGCACGCAGACAAAAATACACAGAAAAAAAATCCAAACCAACCGCCGGCTAATACAAATAACGTGTGGCAGAACAGCCACAAGCATCTTTGAAATCCACAGACAGGGTATCGAACATCTCACAATCCTCGTTCAACCCCCACCTTCCTCTCTCACTCACGCATACCGAAAACTCCTCGTCCGCATCGGCTCCCACCGCCCATCCTGTCCCTGTGCCGGCGGATACGGCGGAGGTGCACCCCCAACCATCTCCTGTTCCGGCACAGGCGAATACGCACCGCCACCCCGGCCACGCTCGGGCCCGTACCCACGACCCGGTCCGGGACCACCACCGCGGCCACCACCCCCACGGGGAATCGCAGCGGCGCCGAAGTAGGGGTTACCCCCACCCCATCCGCTGCGTCGGGAAGCACCTCCTGGCGGGACAGCAGCCGGTTTGCTCCGGCGGCAACAGCGCGAGAAGCAGCTCCAGACACAGCTGAGGATCACGAGCAGGACGAGGCCGCCGGCAATGCAGATGACAGGGATGGAGATCTGTTTGTTGTTGTTGATCCAGTCGAGGATTTGCTGGCCGAGGGAGGTACCCGCACAGTTACCGTTGCTGCAGCGGCCGCCGCCTTCGCAGGGGGTGCCGTCGAGGAAGTACTGGTTTAGGTTGTAGCATTGGTTGGGGCCGAGTTTGGAGGAGTGGCAGGAGAGGACGCAGCCGGAGGAGGAGCAGGAGGAGGTGGTGTCGGCGCCCATGAAGGTGGAGCACTGTTGGTCGCGGGAGGTGCAGCGGCCCGAGGCGCACTGCAGGCCGTTGTCGCCGCAGGACTGGCCGTCGGGGGCGGTGACGTCGGCCGGGCAGCCGGCGGAGGCACCGGAGCAGGTTTCTTGCGGATCGCAGGCGCCCGTGCTGGCGCGGCAGATGGTGCCGTTGGTGGCGAAGCCGCACTGGTCGGTACAGCATTCTTGGTTGGTCGGGTCGCAGACGCTGCCTGTGGTGAACTTGCAGGTGTTGGCGTCACAGCACGCGTTGCCGGCGCAGCCTGCTTCGCCGCCGCAGTCGCAGTCCTCGCCGTGTTCGACGATGCCGTTGCCGCACTGGGCGCCCGTGAAAGTGGTCACGCCGCTGTTGCTGGACAGGCAGGCGAACTTGTTGGGGGTCCGGCCTAGGAAGCTGCAGATGTTGCCGATGCTGCAGGGGGAGAAGCTGGTGATGCCGTTGCCCGTCGACGGGTTCATGATGAACTGGGCTTTGGCGTCGCAGGTGCCGGTGCTCAGAGGGCAGCACTCCTGCTTGTCGACACTGCCGTCGGTGCAGGTCCCTGCCTCGCAGTCGTGCACCGCGCCGAATGTGTGGCCCGTCTCGTGGGCAAACACCAGCCACTCGGTCGGGGTATGGACGACCACGTTCGCGGACGCACTGGTCTCGTTGCCTCTAGTCGAAGCCCCTTCCTGACAGACCGCGCCGAGCCAAGCCAGACCAACCGTCGACCCGGTGCCGCACATGGACAGCAGCGTCCAGAACGCGTTGCCATCCTTCCACTGTCCGCGCCATTCCGAGAACAGGCTGAGCCGCGTGTCGACCGTCGCGCTGTCTGTGCAGGGTCGGTTCCACTGCGCGCCGGCCGGAGGGGTGCTCGGGCAGTCCGGCTCGCTGATGGTGAGGTTCGCCAGGGCAAGCGAGATGTTGAACGTGCTCTCGTACAGCTGCGAAGCCGCGTTGATCACCTGGAGCACGTTTTTCGTTACCGCATCGTCGGTGGTCCCCATGGCATTGGTGTATTCGCAGTCTGTCGCAATGCCGACGAGGGCCACCTTGCGGGTGGTCGGGCAGCCGGCGGTCGAGCCGATCGAATTTTGCAGGTTCACGCCGGCCCCGTTGCTACCTGGGACCGTGTCGACCTGGCGTCCAAATAGAGCCCTCGGGCTGATCTGCCAAGACGAAGTGTCCGGGGCGGCGGCCCCTTCAAAGCTGCGGTAGACGATATTATTCTCGAACCGGTTGTGCTCTAGGGTGTCTGAACCGCACGTCGCAGCCCTTTCGCCGAGGTCGCGCTTCAAGTCAGGATGACCGGAAGACACATCGGTGTCCCGCCAGAGAACCATGTACTCGTCGTCGTTGTCATCGTCGCTAAAGACATCGTCAAGGTCTGGGTCTCCACTGAGCGAGCTCCGACGGTATGCCGTTGTCGTCTGGACATGGTGATGGTTTCCGTTAATCGTAAACACGCCGTCGAAAACAGGGTGGTCGCCGTCGCGGTGCACGTTGATGCGGCTCCATCCTACATGCGTCCAGCCCGACTCGCCCTCCCGCCGCACAAAGCTCTCGCCCTTGAATATCCGGTGTCCGCGCCGGTCGATCGGTTTGGATTCCCGAACAGAGCCGTCGGCGGCTAGGTAGTGTATCGTGGCATCAGGGCCGAGGATGTCGTGGTTCGGTTCAAGCGCCAAACGGATCTTTTGCTGGGTCGTCGAGATCACGAAGGAGACGTCGAAGGACGAGTGTGCGTGTACTCGGTGGGAAGGTGTTTGTATTACAGCGTCTTCGATCCGCGCAATAGAGGAGAGCGGGTTTCGCTTGACCGAGTGTGCTACATGTCGGGGGGTGTTTGTGAGTCTCCCGGTCGAGCAACAACACCTTGGAGACGCAAGGACATACCTATCGCATCTTGTACAAGCAAGCCAGCAGCTGTCACCACGGCCGCGAAGGCCTTGCTAAAAATCATATTCTACAACTGGAGCGCCTCGCTTCGCATCCCCAATCGCTAGGTTAAGGAAAAGAGACTATTATAAATAAAAGGTGTAACAAAAATGCTCGTCGCAAGCGTAAGGTGGGCGTGATAGTGGTTTCTTCCTTTAAGTCTCGAAACCGAATTCAGGCTAGGAGATCTCGTGGATCCTCTCGCAACAACCGGTTGAATGATCGGTTTGGTTTGTAGGGCTACCGTCACGGGAAAACGAAGGGAGATCAGTCAAAAAGAAAGAAGGGCTCATGAAAGCAGGCAACTCGTCGGCAGAAGAGAGAGACAGGAAATGCGAGGGAAATGGTGGCAGTGCAGCATGTTCTGCTCAGTGAATGTGGCGGTCCAAGCAGGCCAAGAAGGTTGCTGCTTGTTAGGTGCTGTCTCGGCGGTGGTGCCCTGGTGCAGCGGGAGACAGGAGCGGGACGCCAAGGGTAGGTCCCGGACACTGTGCGAGCGACGTTGGTTGGATGCCCAGGGGCTTTGCTGCCCCGCGGGCGACAACCGACCGTCCAAGGGGCATCGGGAACGGCAGGGCGCTCCAATGCGCAACTCCCATTTTCCATGCCGGCTTGCCGGTCAGCTTACCGTACCAGCGAAGAGGTTGATCGAAAGATCCTCTTCATTGTCGTAAAAGGCAGTCATGAATCTATTCTCTGAGTCTAATTCGAAGCTTGTTGTCAGTTAACGCATTTGCTTCGTCTCTTTACACATGAGTGTTCATACAATAACCCCACACAACACACGACAGCCCGCCCAGGCTAGGCCAGCCCTGTCCCCGACCCGCCGAGCCGTCCCGACTGCTCGTCTGAGTTTTGGAGGTTTCAGAAGACCACTCCAAACCGCCCAGCCGCCGGAGAAAAGCACTCCCATTCTGGGCCACGTTGGCATCGCGTAATGTGCCATGTAGCGCCGTAAAATCCGATAAATAATTCCACCGGTGTCACGCCCATTCGATCTTGAGACATAACTAACTACCGTCATCCTGTTTCTCTCATCACATCGTCAACAAGCACAGTGCCAATCCGGGCATCCGGACTTTGTATGGCGTGCATGGGAATAATTCCCGACACCAGCATGCGAGCGCTAAACCAGGTTGGGCGGAGCCGCTCTGGAGGAGTCACAGCAGGATGATAAATTTAGCGCAGCCGACAAGCCGGGACACGGCGCTGCGCTTTGTGGTGTGATTTTTTACAATTGTTGTTGCCTGTTTCGAAACGACTTTGGCAGTGTGTATCTGATGCATTTCGCTCCGGTGGGCATGAGGGAAAATATCGAGGATCTATCAGGCGGATAACAGCATGGGCAGTACAGACAACGTTACGAATACCCATCAAGTTGTTTGGTCGTCTCGAGCTCATCGTTCTGTGCCCCCTCATGCTTGGGGTCAATTGCAACCCGACTTCGCACTGTCTACGCCGCCTTCCTCTCAACAACCGCAGCCAACACAACTCCCGCCATCTGGTTTCTTATTGCCGCTAAACACCCCGCCACATAAAGCCGTGCCTTCTAGAAGCAGAGGAATTAATAATAATACGATTGGAGGGCCGTTTTACGAGGGATATCAAACGAAAGTAAGAATGAAATAACTAGAAAAAAAAGGGAAGAAAATCCAAAAGCAAAACCGCCCCCAACCATCACCACCAAAATTCATCACATCTTCCCCTCTCCCAAGATTCCACGGGTAAGTACATACATGAAGCACTCGGCCCAACACAGGCACACGCACACATACACTCCCCATATCCGTACACCCACCTCAAACCCAACCGCCAAGCACACAAATTCGGACAATCCCGTCGTCAGTCAGCAAACCATAAGCCGCCGCAACAACGGATAACTGGGAACAACAAACCTGTTGACGCGTCCCTTCTCCACACCCCTTCTTGAGGCCCGAGAAAAGGAAAAAATGGGATGGGTGGGTGTGCATCTGAGACAAGACCTACATACACTACATACAGAGGCTGAGAGAGGTGGTCGGAGTTTGGCGGATATAAATTGGAGGCCTCTTTCCCAGCCCGCGGACGGACTGCCTTTCCCTAGCCTGACTGGACGATTGGTATGTATTCCAAGCTGTGTACTTCGTACGGAGGTAGTGTAATGTGGTATGTTTCTGTTTGCCCAAACTAGGCAAAAGACGTACAATGTAATCTTCATATTTACGAATGGGCTGTGTGTGCCCCCTGTCAAGATCAAGGCCTCTCGGTTCATTCGTGGATCTCGATAACCATGATGGTTTTCCGAGAAAGAACCTGACCAGACTGCTGGGTGACTAAAGTTGGCTGGCCTCGCAAATGGGCCATTCAAAGCCGCAGAACTTCGTCGTCCAGTTTGGCCGGCGGTGAGCGAAACAAAAACTGGCCGAGCAGGCTTAAAAAACGGGATGCAGCCAGCTGTGTCACGGTCACACAAGCTCCAAAGCCCGGTAGAAGGGTTTCCTACCCCCTGACACAACACGACACCGTCTTCCACACAAACCCAACATACAAAAAACAGGATTCGAATTCCAAAAACGCTTGTTATTCAAAGGCAAGGCAGAAGCTAAGCTAGATAGATACCTTACAAGGAAGCTGATGGAAAAAGAATACGCTCAGCTGCACAAGTGGTATAATCCCGACCCGTGTACGTTCCCCGGAGTAATCCAAAGCTGGTCAAAATACACGTGCGACATTCCCCCCCTTTTTCATTCTTTTTTTTTGTCATTTTGGTTCTTTACTTCTTCTTGGCCTCGTGAACAGCGGCGATGATCTTCTCGACGACAGACGGGTCGGAGAGCTAAAGAAGCAATCTACGTTAGTACGGGAAAACTTGAAGGAGGGACTGCTTTGTAAGGATATGTTCACTCACCGTCGTGATATCACCAAGCTGATCTTCCTCACCCGCCAGAATCTTCCTCAGAATCCGGCGCATGATCTTGCCACTGCGAGTCTTGGGCAGGTCAGGCACAATAAACACCGCCTTGGGCGCCGCGAAAGGCCCAATGCTGCGGCGGACCTGTAGGATGAACTCCTTGCGCAGGGCGTCCGACGGGTCGTTGCCGTCCTTGATCGCGACAAACGCGTTGACGGCCTGGCCCGTGAGCTCGTCGGCCACGCCGACCACCGCGGCCTCCGCAATGGCCGCATGCTCGATAAGCGCGGCCTCGATCTCGGCCGTTGAGAGACGGTGGCCACTAACGTTGACGACGTCATCGACACGGCCCCGAATCCAGTAAAAGCCCTCGTGATCACGGCCCGCACCGTCGCCGGTGAACTGAATGTGGCGTCAGTCTTAATTACGCGGCCCTCAGATTTCATACCGTCATTAGAACATGGGGGAAACTCACGTAGTGGCCCTTGTAGACGTTGAGGTACGTGTCCATGTAGCGCTTGTGGGCACCCCAGACAGTCCGGGCCATGCTGGGCCATGGTTGCTTGAAAGCCAACACACCCTCGACATCGTTGCCGTGGATCTCCTCACCCGAGACGGGGTCGACGATCGCGGGCTCAATGCCGAAGAAGGGGAGAGACGCAGACCCTGGCTTTGTCGGGGTCACACCGGCGAGAGGGGTGATGACGTGGGAGCCGGTCTCGGTTTGCCAGTACGTCTACATCTGTGTCAGCACCTGATTTCCGATTATGAAACAGCAGACTTGAGACAAGAAAGACAGGAACACTCACGTCCACAATCTGAGACTCCTCCTTGCCGACAACCTCAAAGTACCACTTCCAGACCTCAGCGGCAATGGGCTCGCCGACGGAGCCAAGGACACGGAGGTGCTTCATTTGGTTGCGCACGTGCTGGTCACCCGCGCGCTTGAGCAGGCGGAGCGCAGTAGGAGCAACATAGAACTGCGTGACCTTGTGGTTCTCGATGATGTCCCAGTAGCGCGAGAAGTTGGGATACGCCGGGGTGCCTTCGAAGACGACGGTCGACACGCCTAGCAGCAACGGCGCGTAGACGACGTATGTGTGCCCGGTAATCCAGCCGACATCACCGCCGCAGAAGAACCGGTCACCGTCGTGGATATCAAAAACGTACTTGGCCGTGGCCGCGGCACCGAGAAGGTACCCACCGGTGGTGTGCATCATCCCCTTAGGCTTGCCGGTCGAGCCGGACGTGTACAGGAGGAAGAGGGGGTCTTCCGCATTCATGCGCTCGGGGGCAATGTACGCAGGCCACTTCTCGACCTCCTCGTGCCACCAGACGTCGCGACCCTTGGTCATGGGGATGTCGGCACCGGTACGCTTGAAGACAAGCACGCCCGTGACATCCGGGCACTGCCTCAGCGCATCGTCCACTATCTTTTTGGTGCCGATCAGCTTCCCACCACGCTTGCCCTCATCGGACGTGATGACGACCTTGGACCGGCCGTCGATAACACGATCGCGCAGCGAGTCGGCAGAGAAGCCGGCGAAAACGACCGAATGGACCGCGCCAATTCTGGCGCAAGCAAGGATGGCGACAAGCGCCTCGGGAACCATCGGGAGATAGATGGCCACGGTGTCGCCCTTGCCCACGCCTAGGCTCTTGAGGACGTACGCGACGCGCGAGACATCGCGCAGGAGCTCGCCGTAGGTTACATTACGGCCGTCGCTGGGCTCGTCGGCCTCGTAGATGATGGCAACGCGGTTAGGGTCCTTGAAGGCATGACGATCGATACAATTATAAGAGGCGTTGATCTCGCCCTCGAGGAACCAGGCGACATCTCCGTTGGTCAGCGAGCCGCTGCTCACCGTCTGGAAATCCTTGTGCCAGGTAAGGAGCTCGCGGGCCAGTCTCCCCCAGAACTGGGTGGGCTGTGTGATGGACTCCTTGTAGAGTTTCTGGTATTCCTCAAGACCTATGTCGTCGTTAGCATTCCATGTTCCGCGCAGGGGGGAAGTTCCTTGTTCCCGAGCGGCGGGTCCAGTCAGGGATTGTGTTGTGCGTACCGCTAAGATGAGGTTTGCTCGGGTGTTCTGCCGCGACCCGGTTAGCCTGTCTGTCTGGTATTTCCCCTTTTCTTCCCTTCGTCCAGATGCCCCGCTAGGCCGCAGTGCGCCGCGCCGCGCATCTTTCTTGGCGCGTGCAACAAGGTTACAACGTACTGTCGAGCATTTTCTGAGGGGGGTCTGGAAGAAAAGTGTCACGTTAGCCATCCCATCCCCGCTACGCCATAAATCTAATCGTCGCAGCTGGGACCGAGCCGCGCAAATTTTGGCTGAGGTGTGATTTCAAGCTTACGGAAAGTGTCGACCTCGTGGGCCTCGACGACCACGCGGGCCTTGGTGTTGTCTGCAGCCATGCTTAAGTCGGCGATGGAGGGGTAGCGGGGTCGCAACAGCCGTTATCGAAGACTGCGGGGTAGCGCGTTCGAGATGTGCGCGTGGTCGCGAGAGCGCAGAAACAAGAGTGCGAGTATATCCAGAAAATAAAACTAGGGAAAGGGGGGGAAGGGTATCCAAGAAGTTGAACTCTTCAAGCAAAGCTAGCGACGGACAAGTGAGAGGGGGAGGGCATTCTTATGTATCGCACCCCGCGGCGATCGCACCAGCGGATCGTTACCCGCCTGGCTGGGCAAGTCTGCATGGATGGGGATGCAGCCCAGAGCCTGTGGACACCTTCCGCCCGTGTCACTGTCAATTGTCCCGGTAGCAGTACCTGGCCAACGTACCGCGAGTGCCCGCTCCAACGTGGAGGCGGCCCTCTGGGGGAAGCTCCGGCCCGGCGGTGGGGTGGACGAGCCCAGCCTCAGCGCTTGGTGGGTTTCCCTCCGTCCGACGAGGTCCCCTCCACCAGCGCGGCTCCAATGTCGCAATCCCATTATTACGGGCCCCGTGTAGCCGGAATGGGGCCGATGCTTAGACGAGCCTGGGCATGTGCGCGAATAAAGCTTCTTCTGATAAATTTGACTTGGTGGGAGTCCTGTCTGAAGCCGTAGTTGCCTTGGTGTTGCTACCTTCGTGGGATATCCCGATGATGGCGGTCTTGAGCCGCGCGGGACCGAGTAAATTGCTATTGTGGCGTTCCAGTTCTCCGCATTGGGGTTGCTGTGCGTGATCGACAAGTCCGGTCAGGACACCAACTGCTTCAATGGTCTGAGAAGCAATCAAGTTTACCTGTTTCAGAGGCCATCTCGAAATGTGGCGGCTCGAAGCAAGCCTGCCAATCAAGGTTGCAACGGAATGGGCCGTAAGTATGTAGTGCGTGCAGCTTTCTGCACCCTTGAGTTCAACAAAGTGTAACCGTCGAGCGAAGGTAACATGAAGAATCTCTCATGGTCTCTTTGAACCCGGCGGAAGTCCAAAAGGAGGGAAGATTTCTGCCCTTCAATGTTCCACACGGCCGAACGAACGAATTTTCCCCGACCATGGGATCCACGTTTTCTGGAACACCCCAACAAACTATCCAGGGAAAGCGCGATGAACTTCGGGGTCTCTTGCTTCGCAATATCCATATCGGCAGGCATAACCCGAGATTTAGCGAGTCAAAAGTCTGCACACCCTTTTTACAGTTCGCATTCCTTCGTGGCAGAGAATAAGCCCACCAGTACCATCTTTTTCTGCGGCAAAAAGGAACGGGTTTATTATCAGGAGCCGCTCAGCGACTAGCAGGGTGCCTCTCGGGTCAAATCAAACTACAAACCCCACCTCGACTAGTGTATGTAAGAGATCCCCGCCTTCCTGCCTCTCGTGCTTTGCGGGTCCTCGGGCGGGCGCCCGCCTGGGCGTCCGGTTAGTGACAGGTTCATTAGTTTGGCGCCTGCGATCCCATCGAGCTTGATGGTGGGCAGCATGGAAATCGATCACGAGGGAGGACCTTCGAGGTCGTTGAAAACCCGGTGTTCTCGTCCTCATCCCAATCCAAGCCTTGGTGAGTACTACATTTGACCTGCAGGTCGGGATGCTTCCTGCAAAGACAGGAAAGCGGGTAACATTGCACTCAGCCAGGGGCAAGTTGACCCAACATGCAGATGCAGTGCTGAACGAACGTCCAGGGTCTCGCGCGGTGGGGTTCCAGGAACCGAGCGGAACGATCTTCGATGTGGTACCAATACAGCGAAAGAAACGAGGAAACATAAAAAAGCCTCCCCAACACTCAACGAATTCTTCAATCATTTCTTTCCACGGCGAGAGACCAGTCCGAGTCTCTTGGGATCCTGAAACCTTCCGGCCAATATCACTGCCGATGACAAGCTGGGGTAATGGGGGAGGCGTCTGGGGCGTGATGCTTGCTTAGGCTCGGCGTGGACAAAGGATTGGTGTCTCGACACCAGCCCCGCATTGATCGTCGAGTTCACCCACGGACCACATCCAGAACCCCTCGAGGTGCTCTGATTGGGACGCTCTCCTTCAAGAGAGACACGACAAACTGCCACTTAACCGAAAGCATCTTCGTACCTGTCCCGGCCGCACTTCGCGTCGATGATCTTGGGGAGGCTAGGGTTACTCGGGTTAGCCCGGCTATGCCTCTTGGTAACTGTGAACAACATCAGAGAAACCAACTGCGGTCAAGGAACAACGAACACGGGTTGCTCCGTTTGATCGTTTGAGTTCCCTTGTTGCAGTTCTGTGGTGGGGTCAGAGATCCGAGGTCCCAAGTTGGGGAACCAGAAGCGATCCCGCTCCCGCAAGACCGAGCATGCCCCTATCCTTGCAACTATGGGGGAGGCCCGCCTTCTGCATTCCGAACCACGACAACCCCGAGCCCACCCATACGTGAAAAGGTGGTATGCCTAGGACTGCCGTTGGCCCGGGTCTCACGTCTTTCATACTGTAGGGCTGGGCACACACACTCGCAACCTCAGCGATGGTTGGGGACGGCGGATAACGACGGGTAGGAACTATCCCGTTTTGGGAGCATTGGGAGCATCGGCCTCACACTAGTTAACGTTAACGTTAGACCTATCCCTTATCCCTCGCCTGTGTCTTGAATGGAAGTTTGTCTAGTTTGTCTCAGGCATTTTGATGGGGAACCGCACATTTTGGGGAGCGATCTCCGTCCGTTCCATCTCGATTCGGGCATCCGCCTTTCTGTCGTTTGGCCGGGCTCAAGACCACTTACTGTGTATCCTGTGTAGTGCCGCTCTGCTAGTTATGTGGTTCTGAGGAAACCGATTGCCGACCCCATCTGGGACTGAGGGGGAATCACGGGTAGACTTTATGGACTCCAATTTGCATTATTCTTAAGTTAAAAAGGAGAAGCGGTATTTGAAGAAAAGACGAAAGATTTGAGAGATATTCCAAAACAGGCCACTCGTCGTCAAGAAATAAGACCTCGGCCATCATTCAATAAACCTACCTAACCTCACCACCATCTCACCGCTGCCATCACCTCGATTTCTCACACAGCACAAGTCAAAACCCAAGAGTCAGGGGAGAATAAGAATCAATAATGTCGTATCAACCATACCACAACTAAGTTGTGAGGGGAATCAAGAACGTAATGGGGAATCAAAAAAAGAAGAAACAACAACAATAGGTAAACAAAAACAACAACCAGACAAAAGAAAGCAAGAAACAAGAAAAAAATATACAACAGAAAAAGTTCATAATCTCCGTCAAGCCCATCCGCCCAAGAACAGAACTCGCCTCTTCTCTGGCTGCCTACAATAGCCAACAGTCGATAACCAACATCAAGTCGCGAGCCCAAAAAAAGGAGAGGACCTCCCGAGCATCACCGTCACCGTCGCCACCCCGTCCTTCCTTTCATCCGCCATTAACTAGCGTCCATCCATCCATCCGTCCATAAAAAGGGGCTCATTTCCCACCATGAGAAGAAGAAAAAAGTCGTCATGCCTGCTCCCTCGCTTTCCCCATCTCATATCTCTGCGTCGGTACTGTGTGTGTGTGTCCCTATCGTCCCCCGGTGTGTGTTTGTGTGTGTTTGTGTGTGTTGTCATTACCTTTACGTTTTGAGTTTCCTTTGAGGGCGTCCTTTTTTTTTGGTGGTTTGTTGCTGATCCTTTTTTCCTCCTGTGTCATCCATTCGAATAAGGAATAAAGAGGTCAAAAAATTAACCGCCCATCATCCATCCATTCACCCACTGTCGCCAGAGAAGGAGCCCGTTGTCATATAACCACCGTTGCCACAACGATAACCATGACCACCACGGCTGATGCTCATGCTGATCCCCATCCTGATCCTGAAGCTCATGCTCATGCTGATGCGGAAGCTCCTGCTGAGACTGATGATGTAGCTCGCGAAGATCATCGACGCCCCCAAAGCTCACCCCACCACCAACATCCACCATAACAACCCCCACAAGAGCCGCCACCAGCACGAACAAGCCCACGACAGCAACCCAGCGCCAACCGCCCTCCTAAAAGCAGTTCAGACTCCCCTTCTTCTTCTTCTTCGCAATGGTATTCATGCGTTCCTCCAGGTGCGCACGCGCAATCTCAGCATCCCGCCGCTTGCGCCTCTCCTCCTCGACCTGCTGCATGCTGTACCGGTTTTCTTCCTGCGGCTTGTCGCGCAGCTCCTTGAGCTCCGACTCCAGCTCGCCTGCACGGCGCCGCCACGCGTCGCAGTCCGACTGGATCGCCTTTTGCTGCTGCTCCAGGTCGGTGAGGGCTTCTTCGAGGGTCTGGGTGAGTTGCTTCTCGGCGCGGAGGTGTTTTTCGATGAGCCGGATGCGTGCTTCTTGGTCTTCTTGGATTTGCATGATGCCGGCCGAGGCGGCGGCCGCGCCGCCGATGTCTTTGCTGGGTGGGCGCGGGGTCGGGGAGGTTGTGCCGGGGTTGGCGCCGGAGGAGGGACCGTTGGGTAAGGGGGGAAGGGGGATGGCGGGTGGGGGCGAGGGGAGAGAGGCGACGGAGGAGCTCTTGCGGACTTGGCCGGTGAGCGAGTTGGAGCGCTGCGGGCTCTCGACGGAGCGGATGCCGTCGAACTTGACCTGGTGTGTGTGTTAGTAGGTGCGTAACAGACGGGACTGGAAAGCGATAAAACACCAAAAGAAAAGAACGTACCTGAAGAGCATTGTACTCTTCCCGGATCGCATCGAGCTCGCCCTGCAGCTTGATCTTGGCGGCATTGGCCTCCTCCAGCTGGGCGTTGCGCTCCATCTGCAGGGTCGACAGGCGGTTGCTGGCCATCTGCACCTGGTCGTAGTTGTTTTGCAGTTGGTCCTCGAGTTCCTCGACCAGCCGCGAGTTCTTCTTGTTCTTGCTCTCGAGATCGACCACCTTCTGCTTGACCAGGGCGACCTGTTCCTGCACGGGGTGGGAGGTAGAGGAGCGGTTCGTCGTTGTGGCTGTAGTGGCTGGCGCCGTCGATGCCCTGGCATTCTCGGTGGTAGTGGCCTCGAGCACCTCGTTGAGGCTCGCGCGCACGGCTTCCAGGTCGCGCATGACGGTGTCGTTGATGTTGGACAGTTCGACAACGTGGTTCTCGAGCTCCGCGCGCTTTTCCTGCTCTTGCGTGACGGCCTTTTGGTACGAGACGAGCTCCTCGACGCGCTCCGAGATCTTCTCGAGGCTGACGTCCAGGCCAAGGGCAAAAGCGACTTGCGTGGCGACCTTCATGAGGTCCTCGCGCGCCTCGGTGAGATCGCCCTCGAGCTGGCTAACGCGGCCGGCGTGTTCCGACTTGAGAGTCGCCAGCTGCGCCTCGACGTCCTGCTTTGAGGACGAGGTCACTTCCTCGATGTCCCGGGCGTGCTTGGTCTCCAGCTCGCTCAGGTTGTCCTGGTGCGTCTTGATGGCCTGCTCGTGGTCGGCGATCTGGGCCTCGAGGCTGGTGACCAGCTCCTTGTGCGTTGCGAGCTCGCCGCTGGCCGTGTCGCGGTCCTGGCTGGCTAGGTCCAGAAGCTTCTTGGTGGCCAGATGCTGCTGCTCCGCCTCAGTTACCTGACTCTGAGTGCTGTTGATGATACTTTTGTACTCGTCGATCTCGCTCCTCAGGAAGTCAACCAGCTTCTTCTGCTTCTCATCAGCCTCCTTAGCAGCCTCCTTAGCAGCGTCGTCCGCTGCTTCATCCACCACGGGCGTCTTGTGTTCCGCGTCGGCAAGCTGCTCCGTGACGGACGCGACCTTGGCCTCGAGCTCCCCAATGGTCCTCGCCATTTGGACTTCCGAGTCACGCATGCTCTGCAGCGCGTTGCTGTGCCGCTCTTCCCAGGTGGACAGCTCCGACTGCAGCTCGGTGATCTTCTTCTCGCGCAGCGCCAGCTGAGCAGCCGCTTCTGCCGCGGCCGCCTTGGCAGCTTGCGCGGCTTCGTCCGCCGCGGCAGTGGCTCCCTTGAGCGACTCGTGCGTCTCCGTAGACACCGCAGCGGGTACCTCGGTAGCCGCCTCAGTAGCATCCTCAGCCAGCAGCCCACGATCCTCGACAGAGGCAGGCTCCGGCTTGTCCGCCGCAGCATCAGCCACCACAGCCTTCGCCGACCCCTGGGCCTCGACAGCCGCCTTCGCCGCCGCCGTAGCCTTCTCCGATGCGAAGTTAGCCTCCTTGAGCGACTTCTGGAGTTCCTCCAACTGCGTCTCCAGATGCTTCTCCCGCGCGGCATGCGCCTCCTGCATATCGCGGATGCGCATCTCGCTCTGGCCGAGCTGGTCGCGGAGAGTCGACACCATGGCCATATCCATGGGTGAAGTCGCCTTCAGACTGGACCGTTCGCGGGTGAGACCCGAGATAATGGTCATCTTCATCTCCATCTCTTTCTTGGCGGTCGCGACATCGGCCTCGAGCTCCTGGATGCGCTCTGAGCGTGAGTGGAGTTCGTGCATGGCAGCGTTAAGGTTGAGGTCGAAGTTCTGCATGACGTCCGGCTGTTGCTCGAAGTTCTCGGCTGCGATGTTACGTAGCGAGGCGAATGAGCGGTGCGCGCGGTCGATGATCATGACATTCTGGCTCGACTTGCGGCGGATCACGGGTGTGTTGCCCTTGGGGGACGACGCCTCGATGTTGGCCGCCTGGGCCTGGGCCTTGGCCACCTCCGTCTTGAGCTCCTCGACCATGTCCAGGGTGTGCTGGTGCTGGTTCTCCAGCTGGGCATATCGCTCAGCTAGTTCCCGCTCGGCGAACTCCCGCTCGGATGCCAGCGACCGGAGCCGTTCGATCTCGGACGATAGGCCTTCCGACTTGATCTGGTCGGCGGGGGCTAGCCCGGAGTGGTTCTGGTCGTCGTCGTGATCAACACCACCAGCCCTGGGCACTGTGGTATCCGCATCGGAATCGTCCACGGCCGTGATGGGGGACTCAACGGCCGACGACAGCTCCGACGACAGCGACTTGAGCGATGTGTGTCCACCCTTGGTGTCGTTGGTTCTGGCGTCCGACAGGAAGGAGTGCGGCCGGGTGTGCATCGGCGACGCGACCGAGAGCATCGAATCGCGCGGGCGCTGCGGCGGGTGTCGCGACTCATCGACCACGTCCTGCAACTCGGCGAGCGCGCGGAGGGCCTCCTCGTACTTGGCCTGCAGAAGGTCGTACTCGTTAAGCGTCGACTCATGCTCCACACGCAGGCCCAGGAGTTCCTGCGTGACCGTGTCGAGCTTGTCCGCAACAAACTTGGACTGTGCAGGGCTGGCCGCGTACTCGGGCTCGTCCTCGGCGTCGTTGTCGCCCGCGTGCGCATGTGTGGGCCTCGTCGGGGTAGTCATGGCAGCAGAAGCATCGGCAGCAACACCCTCCGCAATCGGCTTTAGCTCCTCGGCCGGCTTCTCCGCCGCCTCGTCTTCTTCCTCCTCTCCAGTTTCCGGGATCGTCTCCTCCACCTGGCTGTGTCGGCTGACGTGGCTCTGGCTGCGCGAGTGCTCGGCGATGCTGCGGCTCGCGGTGCGACGGTGGCCCGCGCCATTGGCCATCATCGTGTTCTCGGGTTCCGGCGCGGGAGGGTCCTGCTGGATGTTATCGAGCTCGTGCAGCAGCGAGTCCAGCTTGCCGAGGCTGCGCTGGCGCTCGACCACCTGCTCCAGGCGGTCGATCTCGCGCTGCATCAACTCGGCGTCCTGGTCGGCCTCAGCGAGGCGCTCCTCAAGCGTCGAGATGTAGTCCTCGCACGTCGCCTCGTTCTCGCGCACACGCGTGATCTCCTTGCGGAGCTCCATGATGATGGTCGCATTTTTCTCCTCACCGGACGTGTGGCCGTCCAGCTTGGTCTCCAGGTCGTGCAGGTAGTTCTCGGTACTCGCCTCGCGGTCCATTAGCTTCTGCAGCCGCGACTGCAGCTGGTTGTTGATGGTGTCGGTGTAGGCGCAACGCGTCTCCTTCTCTAGCAGCGACCCTTCCGTAATCGCTAGGGTCGCCCGCGTGCTGGCGAGGGAGTGCTCTAGCGATTGGATCGTCTTCTCGTACTCGAGCACAACCTGTTCGACGGCCTGCGCAAAGCTGTTGGAGCGATTCAGGCGCTCCGTCGCGATGTCTTCGGTGGTGTTGTCGTCGGCCCTCAGCTGGTCCTTCTCGGCCGCCTCGTTGTCGCGCGCCTTGGCCATCTCTGAGATCAGCTTTGCGTGCCGCTCCCCGAGCGCCTTGTAATTTTCTTCGGCGTCCAGCAGCCGGTTTTGGAGCTCGACCTCCCGCTCGTTTTGCCGCTCGGACCGCTCGCCGGGGGCTAGGACCCGGCGCTCGCCCCCACCTCGTTCTGCACTTCGGATTTGCTCGCGCAGGAACGCAACCTCGGCCTTGAGACGGTCAATGAGCGCCTGCTTGTCGCCTTCCTCAACCTGTTGGATCCGCGGCTTGCTCTGGATCGCTCGGGCCCTCTGCGCATATTGCACCGTATTTAGCGTCTCGCTGAGGTGGAACTCCGCTGGAGTCACGCACGCAATCATGTACGTGATGGCATTACCCCCCAGTGAGTCCTGGAGCAGCCGTGTCAGCTTGGAGTCGCGGTACGACACGTGCGCGCCCGCTTGCCGGGACGACAGTTGCGAGATAACTTTGCCCAGCGCCGCGAGACCGCCGTTGATCGATATCCCTTCCTTGGCCCGTTCGCCTTGCGCGCCCGTATTCTTGAGACGTTCACTGCCAGCTAGATCCACAAAGTGCATCTTGCTGTCCGTCGTCACGAGCGTTTCCGCACCGCCCCCTGTCAGCGCCTCCAGCGGCATCGACAACCGCTTGTCCGCCGCCGGGGTGGACTGCAACCTGGTCTTCTTTTGCACTAGGTTTAAGCTGAAGACGGCGTGGGAACGGGACGACCGTGCGTTGATCGCCGTCGCATCGGTCTGGCGGAGTGTGGACCCTTGGTTCAGGACGTTCAGCAGGTCCTCCACCGAGTTGACCTCGACTTGGCGCAGGCCGGTGAGGATGATATTTCCCTTGACATCCTCGCGGATCGTAACGTTGGTCCGCTCGTATGGCGGGGTGTTGTCCGGTAATAGTAGGTCTCTCAGCTGCTCGTTATAAATCTCCACGTACGACGCTCGCAGCGTCCAATTCTTCTCTCCTTGCGGTAAGTTTGCGGCCTGCGCCGAGTAGCGGGCAGGAGTCCGCAGCTGTGACATGGAATTCCTGTTAGGGTTCTTCTTAGGTCCTTGGAGGTGCTCAAACAGCGCCGTTGCAGCCCGCGGAACGACGCCTAGAAATGGTTCTGTGGTTAGCCCCCAGTGCATGGCGAAGGACGGAGCAGCACAACCTGCTGCAATCACTTACCCATGGCATCAGAGTCTTCCTGCTCAGCCGGACCCGATGTTCCCATCGTGTACGACTTGCCGGCGCCGGATTGGCCGTACGCGAGGAGCGAGACATTGTAGCCTTGCGTAAAGGCGGTGATGCACTCTTCCAGATACTCCCACACTCCGGCCTGGTCTACGTCGGGGGTGAACACCCGGTCGAACACAAATAGCTTGCGTCCTTGGGGGGAGTCGATGGCCAGGCTTGTCGGTGACTGGACCTGAACCATTGAGCGCTGGAAGCGCTGGGGTATAAGCTCGTAGCCGGGATCGGTCGGCTGCAAGGGTGGGCGAACGCGAACCGCTATAAGCCGGGGAAAGAAAGAAAAAGAGGTTACAAGTTAGAAAAAAATAGTTCTCTGAGAAAGTAGCATGCGTTGAGCGTCGACAACTACATGTACGAGGCCCGAGTCTCGTCCCGTGGGGTTTGAGGCCTAGATCATGGCAGGGTGTAAGGCGAGTACTCACCGACTCTGACGGCCGTCTTTGTGTCCTCGTCCGAAGCCCTGCTTCCTCCTCCGCCGGTTCTACTCTGCATGCTCAACCGGCTGTTGCTCCTCCCCGGGCGAACGATTGCGCTCATCGGCCGCGGAGACATCATGCCGGGTGATGCTGGTGGTGAAGCCATGTTTGGCGGCGGCGGTTGCGGTTGTACGTATTCGTACGTGGTTGTACTACACCCCTTTTTTGCGTTTCTTGGTAAAAAAAGGGGCTGCGTCCGCGACTCGGTCGAGTTGAGCCGGTGCAGTGGGACTGGTCAGGTCGCTTTTTTCCCGCCGGTTCCGTGCCGATGATTTAATGTGCGCCGGGTTGTGTGTGGTGTGTTCTTCGCTTTTGCGGCACAGTGAAAACCCGTGGAACAGGCGCGACTCGACGGGACGAACCGCGTTGGCTCACACAGGTCGGGTATCAAAGATCGAGGGCCAAAAAGACTGGACGGACGCTTGGACGGCCAGATGGGAATTCAGCACCAAGAAACCCCGCAAAATCGGTTTATGCGTGGGCGCATCGGAGCGTCACAAGCTCTCTTCCCCAAGATTGTCGTTTTTCTGGTCGAGCGCGGGTAATTATTTTTTTGGGGGAAATGGAAGGCCGTCGCTGGTCTGGGGCCCGTTTGGGGCGCTCTCCCTCCCCTTGTTTATTTGATTGCACCGACCAGGGTGGTGCAAATTACAAACGCGCTCCCCCTGGAGTTGCGCTAAAAGGTGCCGATTGTGAACCCTGGGCCTTGTCGGGGGCTCGGCGTTGCAGCACCACCACCTCACACCTGCCCTGCAGCAACAACCCACGAGAATGTGTGTTAGGTTGGTGTGGGCGAACGGGGCGAGACACTGGAAGGCTCGGTCAGGTTCCGAAGGAAAAAGTGCAGCTCCAAGCTGGTCCGGGGTCCCGCTCAGGCCCGGCTGGTGCCAATCGGTTGTCGCCAATGGGCTGGGTCGGCGTGGTCGGAGCGGTCCTGGAGTCTTGGGACCCTTTCTTTGAGCGAACGGGACTGGTTCTGGCGTGTCTGACAACCTGGAAAGTTCTGCAAGCGAAGAAAAAGAATCAAAAAAAAGAAATGCAAGGGCAAGGAGGAACTGCTCGCAGTTGGCTCATCGGCTCCTGTTGCGATTGGAAGGTGGTGTGCATGCGAGAGCGTTCAGTGGCTGGAAGAGCTCTTCTGCAAACAAGCACCGCGTTCTGGAGGGGCGCTGGTGGGCCCTGCATGCGGGTCTGGGGTTCGGTTCGTCCAAGCGATGCGACGAGTGGGGGACTGCCGCTCACTTTGTGGCCCTTGCACCTGGCCTGGTGAATGAAGAAGCACGGGCCAGCTAGAGGGAAGAGGTGGAAGTTGGTATCGAAAACAGGGGCATGTGGCTTGCGTCGACGGAGCCACGGTTTTTTTTTTGGAGCATCGTTGGTGACTTTTCTGGATTCTTGCAACTTTCCCAGCAAGCCACGGGACCCCGGATGGGATCAGGCGAAGTCCCATCCATCACCGTTACGCCAAGATCACATGCTTAAGACACCGATTGGCGACCGACAGACTGGGAACTCGCTCGGATTTTGTTTCACCGTCCTGTTCTGTGCGACTGGTGTACGCGTACATCTCGGTCCTCCTCGCCAAGGATATCATCCATCTCGTTCACTTGATCATGAAGGTGACTGACAACTGATTTCGTCGTCTCGGAGGATCACCATCCAGCTCGGTCCTCTGAGGGATCGCGGGGCCGGCCAAATGTAACCCGTCCTTCCCGTCGTGCTCGACCACCGTTGCAAAGTTGGGGAGCCGGCAAACCCCCCTGAAGTGACTGAGGCATGATAGGCCCGATGGCTGGGTTGCTGGGACCTTGTTGCATAATGGAGCTGCACGCCTTGACCCGAGGCGAGGGGCTCCTCATCCCAGCGTTTGCCGGGCATTGGATGTTGGACAAGGCATGGCGGCTGCCCCTTGGGTGGGCGGCTCTTGAAACGCATATAATTCCATAACTAATCATCACGCCCGTGTTGGATATGTGACCCAGAAACCCCTCCCGGGTTAGAATCGCCGGTCCCTGTTTGTCAAGACCTCGGATGGAGCCGAAGCCGTTGAGAACTTTCGCTTTCGCGCTGACAAACCCCGGCCCCTCCCACAAAGGTTGTTCTTGCAAACGCCCCTGGCCCAAACCAGGCCGGACGTGTGGCCTGAGCTTCCCAAACGGGGTTCCGCGGTGGAATCCCTCGACCGTGCGCACACGCTAAGCCAGACCGAGATATCACGCCTGGCGATCTACCCGGCGAGAGCGGCCGGAAGGGTCGGTTGGACAAACGGTCGAAGCGACGGCAGTTCGCCGGGTCGCTCCCACGTGCAGGAACTCCGAGACACCAAACAAGATGCGGAAGCAATCGAGGAAGCGAAGTTGAAGCCGGGAAAGTCGCCGTATCCAGTATTCTGGACGAGGAGTTGTTTTCTTCAGGGATGCCCGTTGGTGGAAAGTGAGACCAGATGTTTGATCCGGAGCACTGTGGCGCGCACGGTATCCACCTTGAGTTTGTAATTGCCATCACGTGAGACGGTGTTCGGTTCGCGCGTTCCATGAGCCGCGTCTTTTCTCCCAGGGGTTACTGTCGCGTCTTGTTGCTGCAGAAGCCGGGGTTTTGCATCGACACACCCGGCTGCCCATGCTCTGCGCGACACAACATGCCGACGGAAGTGATTTCACTTCTCTCAAGCTCCGACGCGGGCTCACCACCGCCTGCACGAGCAGCACAACCACAACCCCTTCCGGCGCCGCTCCAAAGCACACGACTCGATATCTTGGACTCCGATGACCTCTTCCCACCCCTCCCTTCCCCCGGCAGACTTACAGGGACCGCTCCCCCGGGTCTAACTGGCGTTGCTCAACGTCAACCCCAAGCTCTCCTGACCAGTGCAGATGAAATTTGGTTACTGTCGGACGACAACCCCATCTCGCTAGGGAACAGCCATTCTAAGGATGGCGTCTCGATCGGCGAGCCGAGTGCAAAGAGACAGTGCTTGGACCTCATTGGCGTCGTGAGCAGCCCAAATGCCGCTGCGCCGCTGCAATCTACCACATCAACGCCGCTTCGGACATCCGGGCCCGGGTGTTCAGATCAGACAGCGGTCTCTCTCATCGACACTACGCGGCCGCAACGACGGCGCAACTGGCGGAACGACGATCCATTGAGGAGCTTATCACCGTTCGCCACCAAGCGGATCGCACCAGGGTCGCACAATGATCCCGTGGCGGTGCCGTCGAGTTCACTGCAAGACGACACCTTCGCGGCTTCTCCTGTTCCGCCCCTGGGCAACGTTCCCGCGAAGAACAAGGGCATCCCGCCCGTTCTCGCGGATGATATCGATGTCTTCGCCACCAGTTCTCCTGTGCGGGTCGTAACCTCAACGCGGCCCGGGCCGTCTACAGCAACATGGGACCCCATCTCGAGCTCGGCACCTCTCCCGTCCACAACCGAGGAGCCGGTCAGGATCCCATCACGGCCGTTCCGAAAGACTGTGTCGGAAGTGATTGCATTAGATGAGTCGGACCGTGACAGCGTCGCTCAGCACTCCTCTGACGACGAGTTTCCCGACCTCGATGTGTTGCTTGCGTCCAAGGAGAAGTTCGGTATCGTGCCGAAACCACCTACGGCACCTACCGCCCCCAAAGTTCAGCGGAAACCAAAGCCCACTAAGGCAAAGGCGGACTCTGATGAGCCGAAGAAGACTACCAAGGAGAGAGCCAAGGAAAAGGAGGAGAAGGCGGCCGCACGAGAGGCCGAGAAAGAACGCAAGAAGTTGGAAAAGCAGCGAGCTAAGGAGGAGAAAGCCCAAGAAAAGGCCAAGGCGGCTGCTTTGGCCGAGGTAAACAAGATACGGACTGACAAAAAGGTGTCGACACCGGAAATGATTGTCGACCTCCCCATTACCCTTGATGAGAGTGTCAAGCTCCAAGCAGGCACCCTACTTCGAGACCTTGACGTCCACTCGACTACTTGGCAAAGCCCGGTAGACAACATAGTCCAATGGCGTCGCAAGGTCTCTTCCCGGTACAATGAAGACTTGGGGCATTGGGAACCGATCATGGAACGCATCGAGCGAGAAAACTACGCTATGGTGGTCATCCCGGCCTCCCAATTCGTCGACTTGGTTCTAGGCGAAGAGGATGTCAGTCTTGAGTCTCATGTTTCGCGGATAAAACGCCTCTGTCCCAAGGACAACATCATTTACCTCATTGAAGGGTTAACTATTTGGCTTCGCAAGAATCGCAATGTTCGAAACAGGCAATTCGTGAGCGCTGTACGCAGCGGCTTAGAACCTTTGGACGAGGGCAACGATCAACAACAGCAACAACAGCAACAACCACCGCCCAGCTCCCAACCTCAGCGGAAGCGCAAGGCCGCCGCGACCCCACAAACCTACATCGACGAAGAGACCATCGAGACCTCCCTCCTCCAGCTCCAAGTCCTCCACGGCGTGCTCATCCACCACACCAGCATCCCCCTCGAGACAGCCCGCTGGATCGCCGTCTTCACGCAGCATATCAGCACGGTGCCCTACCGGCGCCAGCGCGAGGCCGCCAACGACGCCGGTTTCTGCATGGAGACGGGCCAGGTGAAAACGGGCGACGGCACGCACGACACGTATGTACGCATCTTGCAGGAGATTGGGCGGGTCACGGCGCCCACGGCATACGGCATCGCGGCCGAGTTTGAGTCGGTATCGGCGCTTGTGAGGGGGCTGGAGGAGGGCGGGCCGTTGCGGCTGGAGAAGGTCCGGAGGAGTATTAACAAGGACGGGGAGCTTAGTGATCGAACCGTTGGACAGGCTGTTAGTAAGCGGGTGCATAAGATCTTTTTGGGGCGGGATGAGACGAGTACGGATATCTAGGCTCGCTGTGGCCAAAAAGGGCGACACACTAAGATAGCTCAAGTCTAATCCATTAACATTCGATCAAATCTTAATAAATTTTGATT